TTATTTTCTTCGAATAGAAAGAAAAGAAATACCATGGATATTGAATCAAAGGTTCATTTTCCTTTGTGTACCAGATTTCTAATTTAAAAAAATTACCATTGAATATAACAGCATGATATTCTAAATTAAAATTTACTCGAATCACAAGCAAGATCCAAAAATATGACAAAAGCCTTTATCTCAATGGAAAATGATGTATTCGTTCTGAAGTAGTTCAGAGCACATATTGAAAACACAGAAAGAAGTACATCCATTTCAAACGATTCCAAATAAAAAGAGAGTGGGAGTGTAAATTATATTTCCTTGTCTCGCTACTGCCTACGGAACCAAATTATTATTTGTCATTAATTAAATTTGAAAACAATGTTATTTTTTCAAGGTTGAAGACACAAACACTTTGAGTAAAGAGGAAGAATGGTATAAATATTTTGCATTACAGATTTTGTCGCATTTGTTAAATGAAATTGCTTTAAAGACAAATAAGCTCCAACTTGAAAGTACCTTATGCTGTTTTGCTTTGGTTGCCATAACAATTTTAATAAAACAGAACAATAAAAATGCATTCCACAGAAATTCAATAACATGCAATGAATTGAAATAAGATTTAAAATTATTTATTCGTTTTCTTTTTATGTTTTTTTTTTTTTGCTTATCACTCACTAACGTTAAACTGCGATTGGAGTTTAAATATGGACAGATTGAGGTTGTCCTTCCGTCCCCTCACCAATGCATTCGAATAATAAGCTCTCGTGCTAGCTGTATTCTTAGAATATGGAAAACTAAACACGCCCAACATACCGTTCAGTCTATAAAAGATAGTTTTATGTCTTTTTTGATATCTATGCAGTTTTATCAATGTTAAACTAATTTTCATTGAATTCGATGGGTTTCATCGTTTGAACATTAAAAGTTACTCTTTGTTCTTCATTATTTCCACACCAAAAGCATCAAATTATAAAGATAATTCAACTAACATTGAAAATGCTTATCGTTCGAATTTAATTCAATGAGCAAAGCCAATAGTATGCTATATATTCAAAATATTCGCTGCATATTAATTAAAACTTAGCAATAATGTATTCAAACATTCCGATTTCCACCATATCGTATACGATGAAGATGTACATTGTTCACAGCTTGTATGCAATAAATAAAATTACTGCATTGTCTTGTGGATTTCCATATGGATGAAGCTCCTATGAACAAATGTCTATTATTTTCTATAAACAATTGTATTGCAAAATGATTTGCACAGGTTATGACTTATGAGTGATGAAATTCAATATTAGAAATAACTCATTTAAATGATCTACTCACGTCGTACTCATGGTTGTTGACATGCATAACACAAGCAATATAAAATTAACCCATTTATAACGGGGAAAACTTTTTGGATCAATTCGTTTAATTTTGGAATTTTCATTGTCCAATTTTTAATAAATTTCCGAAATTTTGAGAAAGAGAAAATGAAGAAAAGAACTTGGAAATGGTCAAAAATCAATTTTATTATTCAAAATGTACGATGAAAAATCAGTTAGTTGGCAAAACAGTGTTAACGATTCATTGCTAATACTCACTCACACATTCACAAACCTCAAATGCCATATCCAAAGTGAGGCATCAAGTCGGTGCAATTGAGTTCTCAGAACTTTGCTTTTAATAACGATTCATAATTAATTAAATGAAATATTTTGTACATTCAATGAGATTGCTGATATTGTTTTGACTTCAGTACACAATGACTATATTGATTCTCCTAACCAAATTGTGTTCGAATTTGCATAGCATAAAGCTATTCGGTTAATTGCAAACACAATGTTGAGCATCACCATTCGTAACCCGTTCGACCAACTCGTACACAATGAATTAATTTTGCATTTAATGAATTCCTCTAGTTATGACCACTATAACTTGGATGTTTTAATGACAAAATTTCGTCTCGAAGGCGATCAAGTGCTGCATGGAACAAAGGACACTTGCAATTAAACAATAACCGTTCTAGGCTGAACGATAAAATTTCGAATTTGTACATTTTCACTAGTATTTTGCATGATTTATGATGACATATGCCTAGAAAACGGGAGTTTACGACTGGAATTACAATGAGAACCATTTAACAACCTCATCTTGAAGAGATATAGCCTTTCTGGTTTGACCAATTCAAAACACAAAACGATGGCGTCGTTTTAACTTGTCAAAGTAGACATATTTCTGCCCATTCATCGTAAGCATTTGTATATCAATTTGCAGAACATTTAAAACGTTCAGTGGAATGTGATTTAATAAATGTCATGTTCAATGACAACATGCGGGCCGTTTCATTAAACATAAGTAATTCAATTTTATGTGTTTGTTTTTCTTTTTTTTCCAAATTATTGGAGCTTAACAATTCATATGAATCGAGGAACGGGAAATTGCGCAGTAAAAATACTAATTGACAGTGAAATTTTATGCAAAACACTTTTATGGGACCCATTGATTGCGTCGAAACTTACAAATTTATAGCGTTTTCTGCTGTCGAATCATATAGGACTGCTGGCTGTTTCTAACAATAAAATTTCTAATTTAATGATTTGCTATACTAAAAAATAACTTAACTTCTTATTATATTAAATATATATTAGCCTCTGTATAATAAAATGTGTTGAAAGCAAATGAGATTTGAATTGGAGATGTTTGTAAAAAAAATAACGATCGAGTGGAAATTACTATGGAGGCAAATGTTAACAAGTTCATTATTTTTTGAAAGCATAGTACATCAATCAATATAGTATTGATTAAGAGAGTAGAGTATCAAGCGTATGTGTATATCTATTCGATAAGCAATGACATTGTATATGTCTGTGAGAAGCAAAGACGCCGCCAAATGAAGTGATCACTTTTAGTATAAGAGTGAGTACTGAATAGTCCACCACACACCACCGTCTGAGCAAGAGCATTAAATAAAAACGAATGTTTAATAAATATTTGCTGTTGTGTTCTATTACTGTTGATCCTACTGACTCCGAACAATATAAAATGTCGAAGGGGGCAACAAATTTGTAATATCTATTTTAATTTATTTTTGCAAAAATATTTTTTTTTTATCTAAAAATAGACTAAGAATAGTTTGTACTATACATATTTTGATGATTTACAAATGATAAATGTACACTGACAAAACTAAGGTTATGATTTTGACAACTCCGTGTTGTAAATGCTTACATTCCAACAAATGTTGTGAAGTAGCCAACAATTGTTGTCGTTGTGAATACATATAATATATGCCATTGTACGTATTCACAATGACAACAATTGTTGGCTACTTCACAACATTCGTTGGAATGTAAGCATTTACAACACGGTGTTGTCAAAATCATAACCTTAGTTTTGTCAGTGTACTATTTAAAAAACGCTTTTTTGAGTGGAAGCGAAAATGTTTTAATCCTAAATAAATAAGCACTTATCGGAAAGGTTTGCATTTTTAGTTGAGTCATAAATTATGCTAGCTAATTTTTTAAGAATTTAATTTATAAAGCTTTCTTTCTAAAAAGAATTATTCAAAACTCTTTTTGGTCTCTTGATGATATTTGACTTATATATAAAATATGATATCGCGGCTATGATGACGCAGACTATAATAGAAATTATGATTATTTGTGCAGTGAAACTGAAACCCTCGTACCCAGTTAGTTTTGTCGGATGTCTAGTTGTATATTTAGTAATTGGACGTTTTGTTGTATATATGGTTGTAACATTCTTATTTGGCCGGCTAGTAGTACCAGCCGGTCTAGTTGTATTTCCATACGATGGTCTTTTAGTAACATTACTGAATGTATTGTTTATTTCATACGGGCTATCACTATCGTATGTTTCAGTCGCTGCAATTTTAAATAAAAATGAATAGAAGTTAGCTAGAATAGTTAAAGATAATGTATAAAAATTCAAAAATTATAAAATATATACTAGGGGGCAGACACGTGGAATAGCATTAGACTTCACACAAAAAATAAACCTGACAAATCATTTTAGGATTCCTATTAAAATATTAATTTGTAAGGTTTCCTTATAATATGGCAACATTTTATTAGGAAACCTTTAAATAATAAAACATGTTTTGTTTCAACACAGTGAAGTTGGCTTTGACGTTTAAGCGCGCCAATTTATCAGGATTCCTGTTAAAATATTGCGATTTTATAAGGAAACCTAACAAATTCATTTTTTAATAGGAATCCTAAAATAATTTGTGGGGTTTATCTCTTGTGTGTTTTAGTGTAAAGATTCGAGAAATTTCAATGAAATAGCAACGTCTGTGAATGGATTCACGTGGAATAGCGAAACAGTGGATGGAATAGCAAAAATTGTTTCACTTCAATTCCATTTGACATTTCTTTTGACGTCTATTGATGGATTAATGGAATAGTGGAGAATAGCGGAATTAGCATTTTTGACGGAAACAGTGCATGGAATAGGAAAAATAGTTTCGATTTGACATTTGTGTTTTTGGATTAGTGGAATAGCTGGATTAGTAATTTATATAGTGGATTTGGAATTTATTCTTTGGTGTCTCCCCCTAGAATATATATTGTTTAAGTAAAATCGATGAAATCGTGCTAATTTACCTGCTTCTGTGAATATCAAGAAAGTTGTACCACAAATAAAGAATAATAAGACTATTTTGATAACCAACATGACTTTTGTCAAATTCAATAATTTTGTTAATTGTTGATCGCCTTTGAAAAGTTAACTGAACTATTTGAATGCTATAGTAAAGTGAGCACACGTTATGTGTCTAATCCAAAATAACATTTGCTTTTATACACTCAATTCATAGAAAACTGTATTTATTCGAAGTGTTTTATAAAGTTTCGTGTGCCAAGAAACTGACTCACAAAAAATTCTGATAAGATAACTTGATGAGTCAGTTTTTTTGCACACAAATTTTCAAATTGACCATTTCTCCATATTTTGATATACCATTGCTTTTATTGTCATGTTGTTTTTGTCTTTTTTCCCTGAAAAAAATTAAATGTGTATTTGAGAATAGAATCGTCGTGATTTGCCAAATAGAAAACTGATTTTTTCACAAAGATGTCAAGTTGTAAGTGTTATAAATAGAATATAATTGTTAATTTCTTTAAAATTCAGAGACTCAACATATTCATAGTGCCTTTGTGATTTTGATGAAAAAAGCCAAAATTAACTCTTTTTCCGTAAATATCTATAGCAAACGTAGCTAACAAACGTGAACTTACATTAATTATCTTGAAACCTGACGCAGTACAGCGTGGATTGATTGGAAAAATTATTCAACGTTTCGAGCAAAAAGGCTTAAAATTATTGGCTTTGAAATTAATGATGGTAAGTGAATAGTTTCGAAAAAACTGTGCTGCTGTTCTTCGATTTCAAACGATTGGAATCGGAATTATTTTGCATTTAAACAAGTGTTATCTATTTGAAGAACACGTCGTTAGATTGAACGTTCTTCATAAGCTTTAAATTTCTAGCACCAATAATAATAATAATAAATCAAAATTTATTCTTATTTCAACTGATCAGGCAAATGAAGAATTATTGAAAGAACATTACATAGAACATGCCAATCGGCACTTCTTCAATCCATTGTTAAAGTTCATGAGCTCTGGCCCAGTGGTACCAATGGTTTGGGAAGGATTAAATGCTGTAAAAATTGCACCCAAGGGAAAATCCGACCCAAGCTTGTCAGCGCCAGGAACAATTCGCGGGGATCTTAGTGTCGATATTGAACGAAATCTTATCCTCGGTTCGGATTCAGTGGAAGCAGCGTTACGTGAAATCGACCTCTGGTTTAAAAAAGAAGAGATGATCAAATGGTCACAAAATTCAAATGATATTTTATAATAAATATTCAGACATTCTTATGAAGTATTCAATATTCCGATTATTTTAAGCTAGACAACTCGTTTTAGTAAATGCCGCATTGTTGATAAGTGGATATGGAATCAAAAGAAGTAGGAGTGAAATGTACTCAGTGTTGATAACAAAATTATTTGGAAATTAAGATTACCTGAACTAGTATGTTTAATTGAGGTAATCGTAAAAGTCAGTCTATGACCAAATTCTATATTTATATCTACAAGGACGTTATTTTTTTTAACAAAGTTTCGACGATTGACAAAACTAAACATATTTATTGTACTAACATCAACGGCTGTATCGATCATAAATGTTCGTATATGATGATATATTTACTCATTTTTCGGTGACTCAGTCTAATCGCCGAATACTTGTTTTGTAATTTATTTTAATTTCTATTTCAGCGGCCATAATCTATAATAATGATGACACGAAGATAAAATAAATGATATACTTAATAAAACAAAAACAACTGTTTGGGAAACAATCAACTTGTCTTTTAGAACTTTTATAAATTTACCATTTTTTACGTTGTGGATTCCAATAACTGAACGGAAATAAAAACTGGCAGTTGAACTGAATATACATCATATAATCTAAAATGTGAACAACGCTTCAAATAGCTTTACTCTGAGTTAATTAATATCGTATAGATCCAAGCTTTAATTTCACACCGGATTCACTGTTGCTTGAGAAGAATATAGTTGGGAAAAGAAATTTTACCATAGTATTAAAATGAGCATGCATATTTGGATAACACTGATAAAATGGACGAAACGGAGGGTTAATGTATATCGCTTTGAATCATGATAAGAAATTAGGAGAAAGAGCATAGTGATAAGAAAAAATCAGATTTTGAGTGCAAAAACTAAACACGTTTTTAGGCAAGGTCATTTCACTAAAATAACAAGAGCCAAACATATAGTATCATGTTTATAAGTGCTCGACCTACACGATTCTCTTCACCTTACAATATATCATTTTTCACACGCGACAAACAATATGTAGATATAATTTTTTTTAATTATGTTATCATCAATCATTATTATGTCAATGAATCCAATAGAGAAAAAGTAAAAAGCAATCATCGTCATTGTGTAATCTTATCATGTTTATGTTGATAAATGTTATTTTGTAACATTTCTAATTGAAAAAGCGATTAAATGTTGCTTCCCAATACATTCGATCAAAATATATCAATTTTTCAAGTTCATTGATGCGACAACAACCGATTACTCAACATCCTTCCTGTCTTCATATGCCAAAACGAGTTCCGTGGTAAAGAATCGTCGTTGAATGAATACCCGAAGTTTATATATCCAAAATAAAACTGTATGAATGACAATGATTAGAATAAGCACTCCGAGTACAGTAATAAGTGCTTTATCTGGCGTTTCCCAGTTCAAAGGCGGATAAATATATTTTTTGCTTTTATCCCTGAAATGTGGAGATGTGATTTATTAAATGCTTGACTTGAATTGATTACATTTTACTCACAAACCATATCCATCGCATAAGTAGTAAATGATTGAAAAAATCGTATAACACAATCCAAAGCCAATCGGCTGTATAACGTGGTACAATCTCATTGGAAATGCTATGACGAGCAAGTCCAAAAACATTATGGCAGAGTTCATTCCATGTACCAAAACGTTTGGTGTACTGAGAGGTTGATCTATAAATCGAAATAGTTCCCACATGGAATTATGTTAATTTTTTGTCATTAGTTGTGCTGCGAAAACAATTTTATCACTCACTACTATTTGGGTATAGAATAAACCAATAAAATATTGATATTACAAGAGACAGTTCTAGTGCACAATTGTGAATCGCCCAGTAGATTTTGAATGCCGTGGGGATGATTTCTTTTTTCTGAATATTTTCTGTCAGAAAGAACCAAACTATTGTTTCTCATATTTTTCACAAAGTATCGAAAAATATTATCTACCCCTATATTCGGTGTCACAGTGCCAATATGTAACTAATAACGCACCATAAATGCCAAGAATCATATTTATTAGAACACCCCAATGTGTTAAAAATATAAAATAAAATTCTATAGGCTTCATTTGACTAAATGAATAGAATGAAATGCTGAAAATGACAGTCGCAAATGTTTCAAATGACCATCGATAAATCAAATAAAGAGCACTGTTTGATTTTGATTGCCATTGCGAACAAACCAACGTGTCTGCATAATCATGATCAAATCCACAATTACTGATGTTTAGCTCTTTCTTTTTTACCATCTTAAATGTTATACAAATTCTAACCGAACCTGAAATGTACAAAAGATGATATTGAATGCTTTTTTATCATCAAAAGTGAGCCTTACTTGTACTTCGTTCGACTGTAGATTGAACACTGACTTATTTATAACCGTAAACAGATAGTACACTACAGATTGTTGAAATATTTTGTACGTAAACAACAGAAGCTATCAAATATATCTGATTACAGTTATCTCAAATTGTAATCAAATTCAATCAAACTTATTGCTGATTCATGATTAGTTGTATTTCTACACTGCCCTAATTATGGAAAAAATTGTAGTAGTTCAATAAAATATAAAAATTCACTTATAAAACAAATAAAATCAATCAAATAAGTAAATGTATTATTACTGATTTTTTTATTAAAGTTATTTTATTTTATTAAATTTTTTATTATAAAACTAATGCACTAAATGAACTTTTATAGCAAAATGTTTTCTAGTTATAAATAAATAAAAAGAATAATATTTATCGAATGTAAAGTAGAATAGAATTGATAATTTTCTTTATCTTATCTTATCCACGAAACATAACTCCATACATTGAAATAAACTGAAATAAAATCCATTGTAAGACGAACTTTTCTACTGAATATAAAATAAAAAAAGATCGTCAATACAAAAAAATGGATATAGTTTTTGGTTTGATTTTGTTGTGACCACCAGTTTCCGTAATACTTTTACCTAAATACAAATCACATGCTCAGTCATTGAAATTACTTTGCTTGAGGATGAGTTATCGTGTTAACAAACTGCGGAAAACTTAGTAGTCGTAGGGGATCGGATCACGTTCCAAACGTTGAGAATTTTGTGCTTGAAATTATTTGGAAGTGCTGTTTTTGGTCGTGCAGCACAAATCAATTTATTAACTATGTAAATTCAATAGTTCTGTAATCTGTATGCGTAATTTTTCAAACATCATGATTAATATCACTTTTGGTTGATTTCGAAAATTCAAAGAGTACCATCAATTTAAAAGCTGTTAAATTGAACCTGCATCGAATGAGCGCAGTGTCTTGGATTTATTGGGTTGATAAATTGGAGCCAAGACAAAGGTCAACAAAAGTTCAGACAAAAGAGTTGAATATATCGATTCTTTTTTTGTGAATTGTAACGTCTCAACTCGATAAGTCGATTTGTTGTTTTATTCGACAATACTTTCTTCTACAAATGTTTGTTTGATTTGACATTTTTATTTATCTAAGAAATTTTCACCACTGGATTTTTGTCATATTGCTACAGACAAATGGTAAACAAAGTAATGACAAGTGATTTATCAAGGGTTGATAGATTTTCATCTTGTTTCCATTCGATTATAAATGTTTCAATGCATACATGTGATGAAATCTAACATGAGAATCTAACTTTTTGAAGAAAATTTAATTAAAACAATCGAAATTCACACAATAACAGTTAAAAATTGAAAATTGATGTTTATTTGTCTGCTTTGCATCAATTCCTCTTTATTCAATTCTTACGATTGACAAATCGATCTATTGTACGATGTAAATGTTGGATTTCAAAAAAAATGGAACGTGATCCAATTCTAGTCATAATATTGTTTTGGTGTGAAAGTGTTGTTCGAACTGTATTCGTGTCCGACTTTCACTTTTCAAGTGTATTTGGAATCAAATTCGATTGAAAAGTGAACATGAACAATCCGTGGAAGAATATATGATGCAAATCGCTTCAGGCATTGGATGCTATTAAGTCACACAGACATTATGCGCGCACTGAAACTCATAACATTTCAACGACATTGGGTTGACAAACCACAAGAAAAAAAATTTCAACAACAAAAAAACTGGCTCATAATCATTTATGGAATGGATTATTCGAGTTTTTAAGTCCACTGAAGTTCATTTTGCATCTAGATTTTTTTTTTTTCATTTATTTGGCCTTAAGCATTTCGGTTTTTGATGCTTGATTGAATAATTCGACAACAGTCGAATTACATTGAATGCTTGAACATGAATCATAAATGAAAGTGAAAAGAAAATCAAAAGAACGAAAAAAGTGCAAATCACTTTCAATGCATTCTCATACTTTCTCTGTTACCTTATCTTGAATGTCGCCACAGCATACACTACTAGAAGAGACGAAAAAAATCAATGATTGGAAATTGAATCAATTTTTTTTCGATAGAAGTTTTCCATTAGATTTAAATCTGAAGCTTGAATGGAAAACGAAATGTTTTTCAACGGAAATTGTCTGGAGTTCATGTATTTTACATAGACATTTATATTGTTATTTGTCACACCGCAAATGTTTTGAATGATTTTTTGTCGTGTTGTGTGTGAGTATTTCCATTGAATTTAAGATGACAAAAAAAATCATGCCAAAAACTCTTTTTGCTCCAATAACATCACCGTAACACATAATTTTTTCCGTCATTTCAACGCAACCAGACAGACGCGATGAGAGCGATTCTTTTTGATTTTTTTCATTGAAAATATTCTAAGATTTCTTTCTGTGTTTTTCATCTTTTACATCATTTATTCGACGACTACTGGTAACCAAATGGCAATCGAAATACAGATGTATCCCTTTTTAACCAAACATCTTCATAGCAGTAGTAAAAAGATATGCCATGCTCAATTGAATGGAATTTTGCTTCGGTGATTTTCCCATTCACATCAAATAAATATGGCAAATGCGATCTAAATTTGCTTTTAAATACGAAATGTGCATGCAGAAAACACGCAACAACGAATATTGATTGATTCGCTCCGTAAAGAAAAATTGGCGATAGTCCTAAATGTTTAAGTAACTTATCGGTCTACGTTCCGTTTTGTATTTTGTCGACAATGCGTCTTTGCGTTTTGAATTCTGATTAAATCCTTCACATACAATATTATGTTTTTATGTTGCGTTTGCTTATGGTTGAATTCACTCGATTCACAACTTTGAATGCACCAAATGAATTAGTGTCGTAAATTTGATGAATAAAATGCTTAGTTGCTATTGTTCAAAGTTAACGATCCTTAGAAATTTCTAGTTTATGGTTTTGCAAAAACAAATGCAAACAGCACATTAGACATCATCCGAATACAGTGACTGCAAAGGGCTGAGCGGTATAAATCACATAATAAATTGAAAGTCTGCTTAAACATCATTAAGAAATTGATTGATGTTATACATGGAATCAAATAGTTAATTGCAATCACGCCAGAAACTCGTATCACACAACACCATCAAATCAATCAAAAAACATTCATAAAAGCAAGGATTTCTACAGAATCCAATCATCTTGTTTGATTACACGAACCGCTTTGGGGTGGTTAGATGTATTATTGAATGAATCGTCTGGATAGTTTCAAAACTGAATAGTCGTCGTAAGTATCTCTTCCATCCGCTATTCATTTACATTCTGAACAATGAGAACTGCGGCAAAGTTTCAATTAACATTAATAATCTGTCTGTGCTAAATGAAACAACTAAAGCTGTTAACCATAATTCAAATCGGTTATGTGAAAACAAAAGAAAAGACCAACTTTTTAACATACAATTTATTTTTTTGTAACTTGTAGACATTACAATGAATCTAATGTTTCAATTAGAAATTGAAAATTGAAAGAGTCACCATTTTCAATTTTACTAAATAAAATCAAAGTTTGCATTTCAAAGTCAAACGCGACAAACATTCAAGTTGTGTCAAACATATTATTGACTATATTAATTTATTTCAATTCATCAGCACAATTTTGTTCAGAATAAACAAGAGAACAAAACAACCGAAGGTGAGCGAAAGGGTGATTCTATTAGACTGCAACGTTATAACGATGTGTAAATAACATAATTGATCAATCAAACTTTGGTTTTGCCACTTAAACTGTGCACGTGTGACTTATGCGGTGTAAGTTTATTGGCGTGATTCAAATTGAAGTAGAATTCCATCCTTTGGATATAGTAAGAGCGACTGCGTATCAATAACAATTGGTTTGTGTTGCGGTGACAATTTAATATGCAGGTTCAAAGCGATTCGAACCAAGGCGACTTTCATTTGAAGAACGGCGAATCGCATTCCAAGGCAAATTCTCGGTCCTTCTCCGAATGTAAGGAATGTTTCTTTGTGACGATTACGTTGTTCTTCTTGGTTAAAACGTTCTGGTTTAAACTTTTCTGGATCTGTGTAGTATTTCGGATCCCTAAACATAGGTAGTAACAAAAATGATTTTATATTAGAATCTTTACCACGACACTTTAATCTCAGTGCTCGCTAATTTAACCAACGATAATGATCTATAATAGAGATATAGTCTATGTAATGCACTTACATATGAATTCCTAAGATTGGAATAGTTATACTGGTTCCAGGTTGAATGGTTGTTGGTTTCTGTTGATTCGCAATTTTCGGCAGAGTATAAGGTTTATTACATAATTTTGCCAAGTATAAAGCTGGAGGATGAAGTCTTGTTGCTTCATAAATGATACTTTCAAGATAAGTCATTTCTTGCAGTGCATCATAGGTGATTTTTCCATCATATTTGGTAATTGTTCTAAGAATTTCTTCATATAATATTGTTTGACACTGCGGATTTTGAGCCAGCTCATATAAAACAAATGATAATGCAATTGCTGACGTTTCTGTACCATCCATGAAAAACGATAGTGAATGACCCGCTAAAAATGTTTCGTCAAAATCTAAGGGAAAATCAATCGGCATTTATCAAGAATTTCATTGGATTGCGACAAAAAAAAATGTCATTGAGTTCATAAGTTAAGACACTCTTACTGTGTTTTTCTTGAATTTGAAGCAATGTTTGGAACAAGTCATTACTTTGATAATCCTTTGACCGTGAATTTTTATTTATACGAACAAGATTCCGAAACCAGGTATCCATTGCTGGCGGAACAAATCTAGAAAAATCATCAATATTCCGATCGATAAAATTTTTTTTTTATGAAAATGTATTAAAACAACTCACGGCACTGGTATGAGTTCAAATGCCCATTTTGGCAAAAATGGAATTGCCAAAAACTTCAAACCAACTAAAAACGACGGTGCAAATAAATCTTTGCCAACTTTTAAAAATTCACTTTGCTCATCTTTTTCAAAACAACCCGGATCAATGCTGAATGCAGTCTTTATTACATTCTCCGTCGTAAATCGGGTTGATAGCTACAAACAAATATGCGAAAAGAGTCAATTCGAAATGCAATATATTTTTCACTTGAATTGTATTTTACATCTTTTGCATTGAAATTCGTATTGGTTGGATACGATTTAATAAATTTAATAAAATCATCAGCAACTTCGTTCATCACTGGCAGTATGTTTTTCAACTATATTTTTTCAATAGAGAAAATGAGTTAAAATTAGTTTTCATAAATTTAGCTGCGTAACATTTACTCTGTTTTGTGAAAACATTGGAGAAATTGATTTACGACCCTCTTTCCAATCATCGTCTTCCGAAAAGAATGGATTTGTCGCTGTTAATGGATCGAATCGCTTACTAATGTTAGCATCATTGTTTCGAAAACTATTGAAATTGGTTGTTGTGACATCTTTAATAAGTTCAGGATCACGTAGCAAAACCGCCGGCTTCATCATTTTATAATAGCCAACATAGGGTACGTTTGGAAAATTTCTGACAAATAGTAGAAAAATATTCACGTTGTATTCTTTTTCCCATTGCTTATTCTTATTTGAAACTCACTTGTACCAATTTTCAGCCACAATACCGAAATGTTCAGAAAAATTTAATGTGCTCCCAACATTACCAAAAATATAGGTTGGATCCGGTCCAGGTACATTGTTTCGCTTCCAGTGCGAATAGTTCCATTTTAACCAAACATAAAATAAAGTAATGGCACCCAACAAAAGCAAAATAAAAAACATTTTACTTTGAATTTATTGCTTGCGATGCGCTCACGTTGTTCAAAGGTTGAAGTCGACTTTTTAACTAATAGTAGTCGCTCTTTTTCGTCGTGATTGTCTATCACACAACGCGACAAAAAAATAAATTGAAAAAAAGTGAGAGCATGATATCTTTCTCAATTGATAACGATTGTAGAGAATTAAAATGACCTTGTTGGTAACCGTGTGTAAAAATATTTGCTGACTAGCCGAGTAAGACGTTTTGACCGTCTCTATATGTGACTGTTTCGAACGAAATAAGATGATTATAGTCGATATTATCGATAATAGTCAACTTTGCATTAAGACAATGATGATTTGAAAAATTTCTATGAAAACCTATCAAGTTAGCCATCTATATTCGAATTAATTCATTTACGCTTGACTGACTTCAAATTATTTTTTTGCACTCGGGTTTACAAAGAAAGATTCAAATGTTCATATCATACAGATATCAGTTATTTTGTACTGCACTGTATTTTCTCTATACTTAATTGCGCATCTCAATAGCCCACCACAAAATTGATCATTAACCACATCTGTTTGTATGAAAAATAAGGTGTCAGAATGACATTCACAATATATACAACAACAATATGCATCTCTATAAATATATCGTTTGTTGACATTTGAACTACTAAAATTGAATGAACTGTCTCAAAAACCGTACTAAACATTCTTAAACTATTTAAAAAATTATAATGTATTACTGAATCGAAAGTCGAAAAAACCAATTGCCATAATCAGGGCTCGGACAGTTATGCACAAACAAACAATGAAATATGCACGGAAATATGCAAAATAAAATGACAAAATATCTAGCAAAATATGCAAAAAAATCCACAAAATCGCTCGAATATACAAAAAAAATATTTTTGGTATATTGAAATTTTAGTTCCATTCAAATTTTTCTCATTTTCAATGGTGGTAATTGCAAGCTAAAACAAAATTTTGTTTTAAATGTTCAAATTTATGAAACAGATTCTGAAAGACACACACAGTTTGATTTGAACCGCTTAGAACAAAAGTAAATAATGGTAGAAAGTTAAAAAAAAATCTCAATCATAAAGTTCTGTGAAAATAATACTCAATCAAGAAAAAATTAAAAATTAAAGTCGATCAAAAAATGAGTAAAAATAATACTCAATCAAGGGAAAAAGTGAAAATAAAAGTCGATCATAAAATGAGTGAGAATACGTAAAAGGCAAACACAATTTATGATCGATTTTTATTTTCACTTTTTTTCTTGATCGAGTATTATTTTCATAGCACTTTATGATTGAAATTTTTTTTAACTTTCTACCATTATTTACTTTTATTCTAAGCGGTTCATTTGTGTATTATATTCATTTTTATCGTTCTCTTGTTTATAGTAAAATTATTTTTTCATACTGGTATGTTCCATTTTATGTTTCAATTTCTTGGAAATATTGAAAATATACATGAAAAAATCTAAAAAATGCTCGATAAACCGAAATTTGCAAAATATGCATGCAACATGCACGTGCAAAACTTTCCGAGCCCTGGTCATAATTCATTATTACAAAAACTTTTTCAATACCTCCTGAAGCTGTATACAACTTCAATTATTTAAGAAACTTTTATACAAAATGCAATTATTTCGTTTAATTCAAATTTCATTTTAATGATGATGCAATTATCCGAATCAATTTATTTGGTTTGTTTCATAGCTTGTGTTTACTTGTTATAGGGGTGTAAATTATTATCGTGATTCAAATTGAATTAAAAATCCATCCGTTGGATACGATATCATTGTCTGTGGATTGATTGGTTTATGCTGTGGGGATATTTTGATTGTGAAATTCAAAGCGATGTAAACCAATTCCAGTTTGGACTGTGCTATTGTGTATCACATTCCAAGACAGACTCTTGGCCTCTCTCGTGACGATTATGTTCTCTATCAGTAAATCGCTATGGCCTAAATTCGTTTGGATTTGGATAATATTTCGGATTCCTGCGAAAAAGATTGTTTCCACATAAAAAACTTGATATTAAATCAAGTTCAAAGATTTGTAAAAAAGTATACTCACATTTGAGCTGCCAGTATGGGAATGGCAATAGTGGTACCCGCATCAATTGAAATCGGTTCGGTTTGTTCAGTAGTTTTCGGCCAAAGATATGCTTTTGTGCATACTTTTCGAACCCAAAGTGCTGGCGAATGTATTCGTGTAGCTTCAAATATTATTCCATCGAGATAGATCATGTCCTGTGTGCAACATTCGAGTGTTATACTCCCATTGTATTTGGCGATTGTGCTCTCAATTTCTTTGTAAAGTTTCTTTTGACAATTTGGATTTTGAGCCAACTCATACAAAGCATATGATAATGCGGCTGCTGAAGTTTCCGTTCCATTTAAATACAATGAAATCGCATGACCCGCCAAAAATGTTTCATCAAAGTCTGAAAATTTCTTTTCAAAGGAATTGAACGTTCATTCTTTTTTTAAGGAAGCAAATATGTTTGTCACTGTGTTTCTTTTGTATTTGAAGCTGTGATTGGGAAAGGTCGTTGCTTTGAAATTCTTTTGAACGAAATGTTTTGTTTATGCGCACCAAATCTTAAAACCTACGATCCATTGACGGAGGAACAATACTAAAAGAATGTCAACATCTGAGTGGAAAAAAATGAGCTTAAAAGAGACGAGGTCGCTCAAGGTATAGGAATAAATTCGAATGCATATTTTGGCAAAAATGGGACCACGAAAATAAAAATGTTGTATGGGAGATACACTTAATTTGTATTGAAATTTATTCAAACTTTCGATATATTATTTTTTGCAGAAAAAACATTCTGTGCAAAGTTTCATGTCATTACAATATCAGACAGACAATAGCATCAAACTTCATGGGGCGGAAATGAATGAGACGAAATTTTCTCTCTCATGGGCGCAGCCATATTGAAAATTTTGTATGCGCTTATATGTAAAATTGGTGGCGCCACTGGTATATTTGATGGAAAAAGAAGAACATGTTTGAGTCTCACTCGTTTATATGTAAATTACATAGGCATTTCCAGGCCATGTCAAACTTCAATACACAATTCCAATTTTTTGTTAATTTTTCATGAAAAAAGTGTCGAAATTATTTATTTTGCAAAATTAACGCCAGATTAGTGCCAAAAAACCCCCGGTGGACCATTTTTCATTGAATTTTTAAAGTGCTCATTCATCAAAATTAGATTTTTTTTTAAACCACCTGAAAGCGCGCATCACCAAAAATAATTTTTTTCTAATTCGTTGTTATAGTCATGTTTTTATTACCGCATGAAATACCATCAATTCGTTTTTAATTCTAACAGTGTTTTTAATTTTCAAGTATTAGCTAATTAAATTTAAAAAAAAAAAATTTCTTTTCATACATTGTAACAACAGTTTTGTTATAAAAAATTTTTAAAAAAGAATACTAATCGCAAGAGCTTTTGGCCAATACTGATTATTTATAAGAACATTTTGGCTCATTTCATTAGGTGGGCATATAGCCGAGTCTGCAAAGTTGCCAAGATTGCTATCAAATATGCGAGGGCGCAAAGGTGGTTTACACATCAAGGCCACTGCCAAAATTTGATGCAAATTCATTCTGACACAATCACCAACATCTTCATATAGTCGTAAGAGCAAAGATGCTGTGGAATGGGGATTGTTTTGAAGGTTATTCGCATATTCGCTAAGGCTATCCCAACTATGAACTAGGCTTGCTCCGTCTAATCCCACTACATACGAATAATAGTTATCGCTTATTTCGTTGGATATACGGCTGAATCTTACGCTTTCCGAAATGGATACTATAAGAATCATCACCCCCCGCGCCATTGCCGGGATATCCGAATTACCGTTGCCATAACGATATAAGCTTTCGACGGCATTGTTTATTACATTTGGGTTGATTGTAACATCTTCCAAACGTCGTCCAGCTACCCTTTCTAAACTATCGTAGTTGGAACCGAAGAGGGTAAAATTAGTGGTGGTGATGTTTTTGTTGGGTATATTCAGAGTTACATTAGAATGGCCTGGAAATCTATGAAAATCATCGTGCAACACGAAACCAACGATATATAGATTACTGTTTTGCATAACGAGTTGTACTCTGTTATTCCTGGAACTTTCAAGATTTATGATTGTTAAGGTATCGCTTCCAGAGGTTGAATTCAAAATTCGTACGCCATTAATATGCTCAGCTACTCTGCTCACCAGTTCTCTCAATTTAACAATAGAGCTACGATACTCGTCCTCATCTCCAAATTTGAAATCGACATCTCCAGCGTACAACAAGTTGAACAACAACGTTATCGTTATTACAGTAAGTAACCTCATTTTTTTTAAAGTTGGCGTTTTCTTATTTATTAAAACTGGATATTGAGTCTTGCTGGTTGAAAAAAATAGTAGTTAATAAGGTTGGTTTAATAATTTATAAATTGAACGCACAGACGCTCAACACTATAATTAGGTAAATCTCGAACATAAAAGGTATAAAACTTTAGTTCAAAATCTGATCACAAAATTTGTAAGAGCTGTAAAAATCTTACTTGCTGCTTGACAAAAGCCTCTACTATTTATTCGCAAGTTAGAAACACAGAGTTATTTTTTAGACATTGTTTGTCGATTTCATAATAATTATTACATTGACATCGTGATTGCAATAGTAACAGTGGGCCTAATTATTCAATAAATAATTTAAAATTTAATTTAATTTTTTGTAGAAAAAGTTTGAATTGTGAATAAAATATTAAAAAAACATGTAACTAATCTCTTGAATATTGCAAAACTATGCATCTCTACACTCAACAATTTCGTCAATTTTTATTTTGATTTCAAATGTGTCAGAGAAATAAATAAAAACCTAAATTTATTTTATGGTAAGTAATAAGTATAAAGTGAATAAATACAAGAAGGATTAACTTACTATACAGAATATAAGATTGCTTAAAAGTTGAAAGATTTACAAATGTTCAACGTTGTGTTCTATTGAGAAGATGAACTAAGTAAAATTTCCTCCAAATCACATATTTATACAAAATTTCTATCAACAGCGTGTTGGAAACTAAGGTACCAAAATACATTGTTTATGGGAAAAAACCTTGTGTAAACATTTCGTTTCTACAATCTACACGTGTGACATTAATTTTTATTTGAATTAATAAGCACTTGTTGTAACTGGAATTACATTTATCTCTATGGAGATACTCCTTCTGAACTAAAATAGTCGAATGTTGCTGCGCGTGCAAAGGAAATATTATTATTTTAGTGTTGATCAAACAGAAGGAGTCTGTTATAATAAGCAAACATGAACATTTTTCCTGTAAAACAACGCACTCCACACGTCTCTACATTATCCATAGCAACTTGAAATTCTTAGATGTTTTTGTTTTGAAGATAAGGTCACCACTTGTGAAGAAGGCGTGTGTTATTACAAAGAACCTTCAATAATAGTCTATTTGTATAGTCGTATGTAAATTCTGGCATTTTCTAGCGTACGTTTTATCGATGGAAAATTACCGAATGATTCATGAGTGTGATAATAATTGAAAATAGTGACCACTTTTAACGATAAATAAAGTTTTCACTTTTCTAAACGAAAAACATTAAATTTTTTAAACGAAATAAGTTTTCAATAAATCAGGCTGGATTTTTGAATCCACCTGGTTGACAATACATAATATTGCCACGTTTTGGTCATCGATGACAAAAAGAATTTTTTTATATCAACATTATCTTGCCATGTACAAGCGAATAACGAGTGCGAGACATGGCTTATTTTTGAAAATCTAACAAGACTGAACGAGCGGTCGTGCGATCGAAGGTCTTGTGTTCTATTTTTAGCCCTCCCTCTCCCATTCTTAATTTTATTCAATTGAATTAGGCTTGGATTCGGAAAAAATGGGAGAGGGACTGCTTAAAATGGAACAGGTTGGGTTGTTTCAAGTGTCGTAATTTCTGAATGAATGGGTTTGGCTCAAATTTCGTCGGTAGTCCTTTAAGGCATGGTTCTTTCTGAAATTTGTGTAACATTTGTTATTTTTGTGTTACTTTTGGTTAATTTGTGTAACATATGTCATTTTTGAGTTCTAAATGATTTCTCCCTGTATAATATTTTGTTTGAAAGTGTACCTGGGTAATTTTTTCAGAAATCTGACCTCTTTTTTTGGCTATACTCATAATTTTGTTCTGGGTAGCAATTTTCCAAATCCAACATTCTATGTTACGTTTCTTGGTCTTAAAAAGTCTAGGGGCTTCTATCTTCAAATGTATACGATTTATACTGTGAATAGTGAACTATATTGCAAAATCATCTGTAATACGCGCAAATAAATCTGCATAACTGCATATATTTGGTGTATATTTCGTGTATGTTTCGTCTATGGCATGTTTTTTCATTCTCTTTTGTGCGGATCTTCTTCGATTCTGCAGTTTAAAATACACCTTATTGACTGGTATAGGCGAGAAATTTTAATCGTATATATGATGAATAGGACGTGAATATTGTGTATAAATTTGTATGAACGAATGATGAAAGCCCATATTTCATACTACCTTTACCTAACCTAAGCAGGCGGGGGCACCAATACTGAAAATTTCCAATTAAGTGTAGGATCATTTTCTGTACACTGTACAGCCTTGGACATAAGTGTAGGTCAAATGACTCTACGCTTAATTGGAAAATTATATTATTGGCAGCCCCTCCTCTCGAGGTAGGAGGGTGGTACGGACAAATAACCAAATTTCATAATTTCATTCGATTTTAATGTTATATTTGCTTTCTCGGCAATCAATTTGAATATGAAATATTGGTTCTAAGAATAGTTTGTCAAATAAATTATCAAATTATTTTATGATCAAAACATTTTTTTATTAAACTTTGTAGACAACATGATTTAAAATGTACATAATTCAGATAATTTAAAATGATTTTTAGGAAATTTATCATCAGTCATGCTTTAAACTAGTATCCAATCCCTGTTATCCAATGTACACCGCCAACGCTTATTGTAACGTGAGCTCTTAACAAAAATGCGTTCGCGATAATTTTGCTTCGTACTTCATTTTCTTTATAATTAAACTGGACACATCCAGGATCACCATTATCAGGTTTAAATATGTAATTCGTCGTACCCCAGTCATCTTTGTCGATAATTCCAATAAATCTTCCAGTATGAACACCATTGGGCATATGCCCTGGGCAGACTAAAGATGGATTTGAAGCAACTATGTGAACAATTGAAATTGAAGTGACGCAAAGCCATAACGTGATTTTCAAGCTCATTCTTGACATTTTCCTTGTCACCGTTTACTGAAAAAAACAATAAAAGCTAAATTTATTTTATGCTAAGCAGTGATGAGCACATTAGCTGGCCAATTTTCCATCACTGTGTACACCGGCTAACGAATGCGTAAGCCAGCACTAACACACGTCAGGAGAATTGGACGTTATCACACGCATACTATCATACACAGTCACACAGACAGTGTAGACGCTGGCTAACGCAAAACCATCACTGATGCTAAGTAATAAGTATACTGAAAACATCAGATAAAGTGAAAAAAATATAAGAAGATTCAACTTACTGTACAGAATATAGGATTAAGCGAATTGAAAGATTTGCAAATGTTCAACGTTGTGTTCTATTGAGAAGATGAACTAAGTAAAATTTCCTCCAAATCACATATTTATACAAATTTTCGATCAACAGCGTGTTGGAAACTAAAACACCAAAATACATTGTTTAGAGGAAAAAAACTTGTGTAAACATTTCGTTTCTACACGTGTGACATTAATTTTTATTTGAATTAATAAGCGCTTGTTGTAACTGGAATTTCATTTATCTCTATGGAGATGTATAGATCACGCATGTCGTGGTTAGGAATTTACTAACTAAACATTTTTATATTGGTGAATCAACCTTATATTCAAAAAAAAATATCCAAGAAAAACATCCAAAAATTTCAAGTTGCTATGGATAATGTATGGTGAAGTCAGGTGAAGTGCGTTGTTTTGAAAGAAAAATGTTCATATTTGATTATTAAAATATACTCCTTCTGCACTAAAATAGTCAAATGTTGCTGCGCGTGCAAAGAAAATATTATTATTTTAGTGTTGATCAAACAGAAGGAGTCTGTTATAATAAGCAAACATGAATATTTTTCCTGTAAAACAACGCACTCCACACGTCTCTACATTATCCATACTATGTTGCTGGAAGTGAAAGCAAGAGATAAGATGCGACGTGCTGTTTTTGCTCTCAGTCTCTCATATATTCTCCTTCATTTCGTATGTTCGCTGGTATATATTTTTGACTGACTCCTCAAAGAACAACGCACCTTGTAAATAATAAGAAATTTTACCAATTCACACATTTTTTTCACTGTTATTTTATCATAATAATAAAATACATATAAAAACTCACAATAATAAATTAGAATTTCAAAAACTCAAACACGGTTCATATCAACAAACATTAATGTCACATTTCATGAAATGTCAAAACACTAATAACAGTGTTGCCAAAAGTACTGTAAATGTGATGGCGCCACCAGTACTAAAATACTACACTGCGCTAGGACGGATATACGAAAACAAGATGGAACAGTGTGTACATAATGATTTCAAACTCTTTTCGGTTTATTAATGCAAAAACAAAGCGTTCAAAACAATAAGACCTTGTTCTTAGGTCTGATTGTTTAAATCAGGATTCAAAAAAATATATTATATTTGAAAAAAACATACACAGTGAGCGTCGGCTGATATTTTCTTACTGTGTAGGTTTTTTTCAAACATAATATATTTTTTTTGTATCCTGATTTAAACAATCAGAAAAAATTAAGTCAAGTAAAATCAATTCCAAGATTTATTTTTATTGCTGTTTTCATTTAAAAAAAATCATCAACATAACAGAAGTACAGCGGATAAAATAAATCGAAGTACGAGCGTACATAGCGCTTCATATAGAACGCTTCTTTCACATAGACACGCGTCTTCCATGCGTCGAGCGTATCGCACTAGCACTGCTAGCCAGCAAATGCTGCCTAGCACATTACTCGAAGTAAGTCTTAGTGTCAATAGCAATTAACGAATCACTGAAAATGAAAGCGAATTAAATATACGGATGGAAATTTGCCCAACATTTTAAATGGATGTTTATTTATTCTATTATCTACTACAAAAGTAGAAGGCGAAGAAAAAATGTGTTAAAATAATGTAACGAAATGGTCTTTATACGGCTCGACTTTCGTTACATTTTTTGATCAGAAAAGATTTATAAGACTATGAATCAGATTTGCGTTTTGCACACTGCCAGTGCGCGTACATAGTAGACTAAGTCTACTAGACTTCGCACTCTCAAACTGTGTGGGGCGCACACAATGCTTTTATTTTCAATCTGCACACACATTTACATAGAAGTTTGACAGGAGTCGAAAAATTCAAAACTGATATTTGAAATGACAAATTTTTATGTAAATGTGTGTGCAGATTGAAAATACAAGCATTGTGTGCGTCGCACAAAGTTTGTGAGTTCGATGTCCAACCAGAGAAAATAAAAAACAATAGAGAATCGCATAAGTACTACAAAGTGGACGTTTGATTTACGTTTTGGATGAGGTGTATGTGTTTGAAATTCTGAAGCATGTTTCATCTGCAAATTGAATCAATTTCGAAGCAACATGTAAAATACAAGGTTTCTCATTCACCTTTATCCAAAAATTCAGAACGAAAAAAATGTTAAATCAACTTTGTTAGATTTGGCTTCTGAAAATTGGCCAAAAAGGTGAATGAGAAAAATATCAATTCTAACCTAAGGTATTTTTGCCTGCTGATTCCGAATTTCGGAGTTTCAGGTTAAAAATATCATATCTTGGGGGTTTTGACCCTCCGACCCCCTTAAGGGGTGGGGGGACTTGGAGGCTAATTCTTAGCTACTTACATTCAGCCGATATAAAATGTGAATTTTGGACGTGAAGCCAAAAATGATTTTCAATGAAGTACTTTATGGCTACGATTAAATGTTTATTACTCGTAAAGCCGCCTTTTTATTTGCAATGATTAGAATCAATTTTTTACGGAGGCCATAATGTATGACAAAAATCAATTTCATGGTGGCCAAAATACCGCCGATCAGAATACATGCCATGGTCTAATCACCCCATGTAGAATGGATTTGGGAAATTACCCCTTTACAAATTGAGAAAAATAATCTTTCGATTTGCTAGGGATTTTCTTCTTTAAAAAGCCTGGGATTTGAATAGAATGATGAATCTGAAAAATTTATTAATGCATGGGGATTTAATTTCAAAAAGGTTACAAATATTCTAACCGATTCAATCATTGCATGCGGTTTATTGAATATTATTTAAAATTGGTAAAAATTATCTCAATATGTTTAAATGTTGATTATAATTGTTGTAAGGCTCATGTCAACGTTGTTCATTGAACGGTTTTAAGTTTAGACGTTATTTGTACAAATAATGGAATTTGCTGTTGCCGTTGTTACGATTTTTTTACATTTTTACCTCGAGTATTATCTTACATGCCCGTCGAGCGTCGGCTGTAAACCTTTACATTGACATTCAATAATAATTATTTGCTTTTGCAAAAGACAGTTTGATTTTTATTACTTTGATTTTACGTGTTTATTCTTCTTTTGAGAAAAGTGTAAGTAGATAGATATCCACATTGATGGGAGTTGCCATGTGAATGGTACGACTTTTATTAGAATTGATTTCATTATTTGCTTAATTCGGTTTTTTTATCTAAGGTGGAAACAGGCGTATTTTTATTCAAAAACTTTTCAACACGTTCGCGCCAAAGATTGCGACGAATTGAAAAAGAATTTTTAAGAAAGTTACAATGGCACAGCCCATAGTGCGAGAGCGAGATGATGTTTGTCAGTAGCTTTAATCAAATTATTAAAGTCAAATCGGAGTGACATCACGTCGCATTCATAATGAACGATGTGCTCATGTTTTTTTTTTCATTCTCGTACGTTTTGCAAACAATAATGTATTTATCTTGAAGTACTTGTTTTTATCGATTTCACATTCGTAAGCAATTGATCGTATACTAGATCGTATATGTACAATAGTATTGAAGTGAAAAAAAAATCAAAATTGATATACAATTGTTGAAAAGGTTACGGAACAGCGTTATTACCAAAAATTCCATTTCGTTACAATTTCGAAAGAAATCAATTCCTTTCAATATAAATGTATCTATTTTTTATTTGGTTTGTATTTTATTAACATTCAAATCTTTTAAAACTAAGTTTTATGAACAAATCTATGTTTTTACCAGAGTTTGAAATAATGATTAGTTTTTTCAATTCATTTATTTGAAAATTAATTACCATTAGTTAATGTAAATTGAAATTTTCAATTTATTTTTTTCAATTCATTAAATTGAATTTTCAATTACCATTTACATTCAAATTGAGAAATGAATTGAAATTCATTTCAATTGCGTGAAGTTGCAGAGATTAATCTCTGTTGGCTCCCATATTCTAGTTGGCTCCCATATCACTACTCTCGATTGTTTTCAATTTTTTACCGTCAATTCATTTATAATAACATTTTGAATGTAAATTAAAATGTATATATATTTAAAATTTAATATTAATATACAAATTAAAAAAATTAAAATTTGAAACTGTTTTCATTGCTGCGATTTCTTTTAAACTTATTGACACGGCAACGAGCAACCGTTATTGTTGAATGTGCGCATTCAAATATTAACCTCACTTTTGACATTAGCTATGCACAAATGCCGCATAAGGCATCAATCTCTGCAACTTCACGCAATTGAAATAAATTTCAATTCATTTATCAATTTGAATGTGAATGGTAATTGAAAATTCAATTCAATGAATTGAAAAAAATAAATTGAAAATTTCAATTTACATTAACTAATGGTAATTATAATTGAATGAATTGGCATTGAAAAATTCGAAACTCTGGTTTTTACATTTAATCAAATACTTTCTTATTTTTTTTTTACTTTAAGTCTAGTCGCATAAACCAACGAACATTATAATGCACCAAAATATTAGAAAATGTTACTGTTACAGAAGAACGCCAAGCAATTCACTGCTATTATTTCTATGCACCTCAACTTTGTACGTATGCATCACGAACTTTTTCATCAAAAAAGCATTAAGCGCACAACTATAGCCATTAGTATCTTCGATATTCATCAAAATTATCTGACTAACATTAATAATTAGTATGTAATAATGTCTGGCTAATGAAAAAAGCCATTAAATATGAATCCTTGAGAAAAATCATGACTCAAATTATTTTTGAGTACACAGAGAAAATAAATACATTGAAAGCTATACGACATGTCATATAGAAATTGGATCTAGTTGGCAATTAGTATATCCTAAAATTCGATTTGTTTGTATAGTTTCATGTAAATGTATCGTTCCGTTTGTGTTTGTTCTCTTTTGTGCGGATCGTCTTTGTTTATTATAGCAAGTGAATAGAACGAAGTGAGTGAACAGCGACAACGAACAAGAAAAAATGTCATCCGTTGCCGCTATTCACTCACTTCGTTCTCGTTTACACGCGACTTACGCATATTACACCAATACTGGTGTAAACCGTACTCCTTTAACTCATTTTGAAGAGTAAACCCTTCATTTACTCCGAATATCAGAGCAACCTTACTCTAATATTTTTGTCTGTGTTTATTGGAAGTGTTTCGGTGGAAGAATAACATTAAACTAAAGCTGATGGACCGAGAAACAGGGGAAGACCAGGTGAACTTTATTTGGATTCAGTGAAACGTGATTTAGATGTTAGAGGGTATGATTGGAATAGAGAAACTCAAGACCTGGCTCTTGATAAGGAAGTTTGGAGAGGAATTGTTAGAGGAATTCAAGTCTAGTTATTTCGTACAGGACCACACACCGAAAGGTATAATCGGTCTATAAATGATTGTTGTTGCATTCAAATTTATATTTTGCTCAAGTTTCATTCTTCAAATTAAAAATACTTGAGTCATGATTTTTCTCATGCATTCATATTAACATTGCCTTCAATTCAATTTGTGTTGTCATGTCACATATAGATTTGTAGAGTTTCGCTTTTATATCAGCAAGTCCATAATTCGTCGCATTTCGTTCGTCAGTCAAAATTGGAAAATCTAAAAGTTGATTGGAAAATGTTTTCTACTCAAATAGTGCAATTTTTAAACTTTTTCGATTTGTTTGCATACAACAGTGGGTTCTCCAAACTCTCCCAATACCAAAACTTTACTTGTTTGATGTCCACTTTTCACATATCAATAGCAATTTTTCTAACACTTTTCCAATTTTACATGATTCCTGAATATTATGCTTCGCTCAGTACAATAGAAATAATCAGTGAAAGTGTACAATATTCTTCACCACTTTTTACACTTTGGCTGATAATATTCGACAGTATTTACCATCGGCGAGCGCATCAATGTTTTTGGGAAACTCTTCAAGAAATTAACAAATATTACAACTCTCAAGCAACATATAATTTTCGAAATTATTTGATACAGTTCTTGGAATTTTTTTCAGTTGACGCAATAATCGTTTTGATGCGGTTATTAGAAGAAAATTTTGGCGTTGGTTTTGCATACCATACTTTATTTAACTTATCTCAAATCAGACTATTTTATTATCTATTTTGTGTGGAAGTTGTGTCATTTCATTTTAAAGAAATTTGCAAAGAGCTCAAGTTGGTGAAAAGGATTCACACAGAAACGTCAACGTACATCAGCCGCCTAAAATGGATTCGTGAATATTATGGACGAATTTCAAAAATGCAACAACTTTTAAATCAATTTTTCGGTTGGTCACACGTTGCAGTAATCACATATTGTTTTTACCACGTTCTTACAGAGCTAACTTGGATTTACATACACTTTAACGAATCACCAATTGTACAAAATATTCGTAAATATTTCAAATTCACTACTGCATGAGATTTCCCAAACGAAAAAAACTCTCCTTTCAGGAATGTCTGTTTTGGCTATTCACTGCCATTTGATATCATTTTATCTATTTCATAGTGCAGCCAGATGTTGTGCTACGGTATTAGAAACAGTATTACGGGGTTTTCGTTCACTAACCTTTTCTGTTTTAGGTAAGACATATTATTGATCTTGTGGGTGATATTGGTTTCAATTTTTACAACGATGAGAATGAATTGCAAGTATGTTTGTATGGAAATATCATAAAAACTGATTATTAGTTAGTTAATTTTCAAAATATTTAGACTGAAATAACACAACTGTATTTGGTTCATCATCACGTTTGGTTTCATGCCAGAGGAATGTTTTTGATAAATATCGGAACATTTCTTAAGGTATGACTAGCATTCACCCATCTAATCACATTTGAAAAACAATCCACTAAAATTCTGCTTTAGTTCTCAGGCGCAGTTATCATTTATCTAATTATATTTATTCAATGCATTGAAACATTTGCAAAGTAATGATATGCAATCTAGGACATATACGGTCAATATATAATACAATAACAACACTGTTGACAACATATCAAATCAAATTTAACATTCATTCAAAGCCATTTATCAATATCAATTAACCGAGTTCGTCATTTTTGTTTGGCCCTTGAAAACATTTGAACAATCAATAATATTGTAATGCGTGTAATCATAAATAAACATTACTACAATTTGTCACAACGTTAATTGGAATGTTTTGTAATTATAAAAGTATATCTATTAATTTCATTTCGTTTACATATGCTCCATTAGCCACCATATTTTAATTGTTTTTTCCGTCCGTGGATATATAGTATTTGAGTGACATTAAGCTTTTGTGGTCAATGTGAAAATGTTTTCCAATCAAATGTTGAAGTTTTTGAACTTTTTTGATTCGTTTGGTTTCAATAGCGGTGTTTTCCAAATTATAATAGCAATATTTTTAACATTTTTTCAATTTCATTCAATGCTTGCCTATTACGCATCACTTGGTGTTATGGAAGCAATAGGTGAAATTTTGGAATATTCCACGCCACTTTATACATATTGGCTTATAATTTTTGACAGTATTTATCATCGGAAAACGCATCAACAATTTTGGGAAAGCTTTCAAGAGATCAACAAATCTTTTAGCTCGTCTTCAAATCATAAATTTACAGCCTACTTGATCATGTTTATAGAATTTTTTTCGATGAAAGCAATAACACTTATCGTCCGATTGACCTATGGCTTTGTCATGATTGCCCTGGCATATGATATGCTATTTAAAATATGTCAGATTAGAGTGTTTTATTACTTATTTTGTCTGGAAGTTTCATATTTTCGTCTAAAAGATATTGAAACAGAATTTTTATCACTGAAAATGCGCCCCTTCCCCACATCATTGCCGCAATTTTTGTCATATACGCGTTGTTTGAAATCGATTCGGGAACGATACCACAATGTATATAAAATGTTTGATCTTTTAAACAAAATGTTTGGTTGGTCGCACATTGCATTAATATCATTTTAACGGAGTCAAACTGGATTTGAATACATTATAGCAATTATTCAAAAATACGACGAATAAGCAAGTATCTAACCAAACTTGTGCATCATTTTTCGTACTTTATTGCATGAATATTAATCAGTGACCGGTTCGCGCATATTTCTATGCCTGATAGCTATGCTAAGCATAGCGGAGACGCAAGCCGCAACGCACCCGTCGCCATTCGATTCGAGCTATATATTGTATGCGCACGGTCGTCTGCATAAACGAACATGTGTATTTTTCATATAGAGTGAACGGCGATACGTCGGTTGCGTTTGCGGCTATGCTTGGCATATCTATGCTACCTAGCGTATTTAGGCAAGCATAGAAATATGCGCGAACCGGTCACTGATATTAATACGTACATACGTTTTTAGGAATGATAATTCTAGTAATACATTGGCAGATAATAACGCTTTATCTGTTTCGTAGTGCAAATAGGTGTTCTGTTTTGGTAAAAGAAGTATGTAAAAAAAAATAAAAAAATTAAAATGAATGACTTGTTTTCTATACAATTCAATTTAGATAAATCGCATCTGTGGTCTGCTGAATGACATTGATTCCAATTTTTATGGATATAATGTACCGTGTAACGCGTTGGATTGCAGGTATTGATTTTTTTTATAAATTGCAGTAAATTATATTGAAATCTACTGAAATATTTAGGTTGAAACAACACAACTTCATTTCATACAACACTCGGCCTTGCTTCATGCCAGAGGAATATTTGTGATAAACTATGATACATTTTTGCAGGATAGAGAGAAACGGAAAATATCTAGGGGGTAGACACCTATGAATCCAGTGTGAATTATTTGATTTCTATGAAATCTTTGATTCTTGCGATTTCGGTGATTTCTCGATTCCAAACCTCAATATTGGACATAATAAAATACACTTAATGTTATATACAAAGCTAATTTCACTGTGGTAGTGTGCGCCTATAGTAGAAGTCGCACACATAGTGTGTGTGCGGTACAAAATACACAACATTTGACAGAAATCAAAGAAATCACAAAAATTGAATTCTGCGATTTCTGTGATTTTAATGATTTTTGTGATTTCTGTGAGTTTTGATTCCACGTGTCTACCCCCTAGGAAAATATCCTTTAAATTATGAATTAATTTGTTTTGCGTTATATTTTAGATGACAGGCGCAGTTTGTATCTACCTAATGATATTTTTTCAATTCAATGAAATGTTCGTATAATGAATGTTGAATAATGTAATGCGCTTATAATTATTTGCTTGTATAAAATGCATCTAGGTAAAATATGTGATGACTCGAAGTGATATGAAGCACATTACCCCGATATTATTTCCTCATTTTAAAATATATATTTCTATCATTTATCGATGACAAGAGTTCAAATGTTTTTGATTATTTGTAATTTGTATTGTGTATCACATTCATACCAATTTGTCACGTCATTCGTCAAAGTTGTTGTTAAAACATAATTGATTAAATTTACAAACCTTTAAGCGTGTATGATTTTAGTTGTTTGTTTAAATTTACTACGTTGTATATACCAAAGTTACTACCTGAACACGGTAAATCTTAAAAATCTTCCAATTTCCTTCGTAACTTTGAATTTTTTCAGGTCACATAAATATTTTACCGCAAATGTTTCCCAATCAAATCGTTCAATTTTTAAACTTTTTCGATTCCTTCGGGTATGAAAGTGGGTTCACCAGAATATAGCAATATCAAAAATTGACCTATTTCATGTATATCGTTCAAATTTCATTGGCAATATTTTGTACATGTTTTCAATTTTTCTCGGTGCAAGAATATTACGTTTCGCTCGGTTTAATGGAGGCGATAAGTGAAATTTTAGAATACTCTATACATATTGGTTGATTATTTTCGATTCAATCCGACACCGGAAAACTCATCAACGCTTTTGGAAAATACTTCAACAAATAATCACGCATTTGGAACCACAGCCAAGTTATAATTTTCGATGTTTTTCAATAAAGCTTTTCGAATTCTTCGGAATTATGGCAGTATTACTTTTGTATAGACTGACACTAGAATATGCAGCAGTCGGTTTTGCATACTACACACTATTCAAAATGTGTGAGATCAGAGGATTTAATTACATGTTTTGCCTAGAAGTTGTGAATTTTCACCTCGAAAACATTCAAACCGAACATGTATCAATTAAAGCGCAGTCATTTCCCACTAGATCACGGCACTATTCATCAAATCTACAACGTTTGAAATGGAAGAGAATATTTTGCGAATATTTATCAAATGTTGGAACTTTTGAATGACATTTTTGGATGTTCACATGTTGCTGTTATAACATTTTCATTTTATTTAGTTTTGGCAGAAGCAAATTGGATATACATACATTTTTTTGAATTTTCATTCGCGCAAAAAATGAGTGAGTATGCAATTGCCATTCGTGAATTATTTTTTTTACACACTGGCAACTGGCAATATTTTACTTATTTCATAGCGCGACGAAATGTTCTTTTATGGTTGTTGCCTTGCTTTGTTTCGTTTACTTTTAAAGTGAGCACTATAGTTTTGAATTTTATTTCAGATGAAACGCATTTTTATCCTTTTGAATGATATCGATTTCAATTTTTATGGATATGATGCTGGATTACAGGTGAGCATATCATTTTGATTCGATGAAAACAAAATCAATGGTGCAAATATTTAGATTGAAACAACACAACTGCATTTGAACCAAAACACTCGGTGTTGCTTCATGCAAGGGGAATATTTGTTATAAATATCGGAACATTTATGCATGTAAGAATCACAAATCGCTTCAAATAATTCGATATATAGTTGGTTTGTATTCGTGTTTGTGTTTTATTGCTCTAGTTGGAAGGTGCTATTTGCATTTATCTTATTATATTTATACAATTCTTTGAGACATTTGGATAATATGCAATAATAAATTGACTGCTGAAAGATTTTTACATCCGAAGAGACTACTTCCACATTTTGCTAATTATTCATATTATTCCAAAATTACAAACATTCATGATATTCATTGGAAGCCTTGATAATTCAATATTATAACTTGTATTGTTTATTTCATCTATATAATAAATTACAATTAAAATGAGTCTAATACATTTTTATTAAACGAAAATGTTGTTGTCATGATCACTATGTGATCAAATAATTTTGTTCATATGATTAAAGTTAATTTTATAAATAAATGTATTTTATTCATTCGAATTGCCATTGTTTGCGGTGGCCAAAACATGAATTTGAAGGCTTTTTGTTGCATTGTAAATTTGACCGGGAGGGAATGGCTGTAGTTTTGGATGGATTTCATTCTTTTCAGCCGAAATATATTTCGACAATCTTATATTTGGCAGAGGTAAAAATCCAGCTGAAAGCGGTAAAACTTCAACCATTACAGATTGTGCATCACGCTCTGCCATGGAAATAACACCAGCCGTCCGTCCCACAACCGCCCATAGATTTTGATCCGGAACAACTTCATACATCAGGTCAACGTAGGGGCTCGAATGGACTTTAATAATTTTCAAATTCAAATTATATACGGAACCCACACGACACAATTCACCTGGTTCTAATCGGGCTTCAATTCGAAACAATGTTGCATAATCGGTCACATCAAATTTGCAGTGATATCTTTTTTTCAATTTCGATGTTTCACCGTTGTCATTTAATTGAGCATAATCGAGAGAAAAATTGACTTTGATAAGTTTCAATTGACATTCGGCTTGTAATGGTTCCACTTCAATTTCCCACAATAATGAAACAATCAAATTCTTTTGGCATTGATACGATTTGACCGATTTTGGATTGTTGTCGTGTAAAGTGACACCATTTGAATCACATGTCATTGATATATTTGTAAGTTCTAGTTGAGATTCAACTCCTTTAATCATAACCTGCAAGAACTTTCGAGTACCAGATGAATGTAATCGACACGATGCAACCATGGCCGGCATAAATGATAATGGTATGTTGACTTCATTTCGTGACCATGGACATTGTAATGTAATTTTTTGTTCGATCAATTTCTCATCGCGTTGTCCAAGCAAATCACATATCACTGATAATGGAATTTTACGCTCTTGGAAAGGTTTTACATCATACAGCCGTATTGTTGTTTCCGATTTGAAATCTTTGCATTGATCGGTCAACATCGACTCATCCTCACTAGCAGTCTCTCGTATTTTCAAGTATTTTGAACACTTCAACGTTATTGTTGCCTCTTTTGGAAATATAAAACTTCCGCTTGACACAATTAAATCAACGTGCTGCTCGATGCCAGCAACTAAATTTTTGAAGCTCAACACAGCCGATGCTGCTTTCGTTTGGATTTCGAATCGATCGCATTTGAATGGCAACGCACCCGACACAAAATCCAATTTTTCAATGCAGATTGATACCTGATAAGTGTGCAAATATGGAAATAATTAATTTTCGGAAATCAAATTAAATGAGAAAAGAATTGTGTGAATAGTTAACCTGTTTGAAATTCCATAATCCAACCCGAGTTGCTTTGGCATTCAATTCAATTGTATTTTCGCCGGGTTTCAATTTGACATTTTCGGCTTGAACTTGATTCGTGAAATCGTTTCGAACTGAAATAAAAGATACGGTTAAGGATGATTAAATGAAGAAATTAATTCAAATTACCTGTCAGTGTGGATTTTCCACGTGTACTGCTCGATCTTCGAACTGGTTGTTTGCTCTTCAGTTCACACACAACCGATGCACAATTAATTGTTGTATCTTGTTTGTAATCAAGAAAAGATGAAACTGGCATTTTTGAACTGAAACAAAATTATACATTTTGAATGGATTCAAATTGGATCAATTGAAGAATTGATTCCCTCACCTGCTTATAAAATCATCAAGGATGTTTTCACTCTGTTTTGAGTTTGACTCAAATGAAACAGAAATGTTATTTACTAGAATATCTTTCGGAAAGTTACTGACCACCTTTAGTTTTACTGTTATAATATCGTCCTGCGAATTAAAAAGAGAAACATCATTAAAATCAGCAATGGTTTTTTTTGTTTGAAGAAATTAAAATTGCAGACAAACCTGAATAATTGGTCCATTTTGTGTTACTCGAATGTCTTGTATTTCGAAATGATCTTCTAATGCTGTGATGCAATCGTTTTGGTGACTTTCAATATCGATAATATCCAATTTGATTCGCACCGAATTAATTGACTTGACAAATTCATCGAAATAATGACGTCGAACCAGAGTCTCTAGTTGCTTGCTACAAGCAATTGCAGCGCAAATCTTCGTATATGCAGTCATATCGTCCATTTTTCGATAACAATTTGCCAACTCTAACAATGTTTGACTGGCCAAATTGTTCCAATTTTCGGCCTTTAACTCACGCATCAAATCAGTAAAAAATGTGACTGCTTTGTTGGGCTCAGAGAGATTGCAATAGAAGTTACCCAAATCCAAGCCAACCAAACGAGCCGAACGAAGTCTTGAAACATGTTTGTATGTGCTGATAGCTAATTCACTAAATTCCAAATACAATTTTTCGAATGCTTGATTTGAACCGAGCGCCTCTCGGAGACGTTCGGTGGCCGATTTTTTGGGTTTACGGCCTGGCGACATAGATCGCTGTTGCTCCAAAAGTGCTTCACTGGCTTTATTATCAAGAACAGCTCGGTCGGTTTCTTCAAAATTATCACCCATTCCAGCCGATAGCTGAACAACAATATGCAATTGCTCCGAAGTGGGTGTAAAGCCTGGCAATAATCCACACAATTTACCCAATTCATATAATTTATCCTTGGCCAAATTCCATATTGGTGCGGTATACTTGAAAATGTTGGTCGTGTTATTTGATTCGATGGCCATTTCACAAGCATCCAACACTTCGAGTGCAGAAATAAATTCCCAACATGCCAAAGCACCATCAATCATTTCTATTTTAAGTGCGTCAAGTTCACGAAGTGTTGAAAATAGAAATGGCAACAATCGTTCGGCAATTTCGGATGTTTTTTCGGCCGCTTTAAGAATTACTGCTTGTCGTTCAAATAAATAACTTCGAAATTCCAGCAATGTTATTGATTTCTCTTCAATTTTACGTCGCACTTCTTTCAATTGCGAATTATTCATTTTAATGCCATGGAATGAACTGAATGGTCGTTGGAAAACTTCCAACCATTTTGGTTTTTCGCCATACATTGAATTCAATATGAACTGCGAGAACATTGCATCCAATTCGTCGTATTGAATTAACGCCTCCGAATGTAAGCCCAACATTTGTAGCACGAATGCCAATTCTTCTTGTAGCAAAAAATACTTAATGAAACACCATCCCTCTTGATTGCGTGTCTCGCGATTGGCACGAATCAATTCTTCATATTTGTTTATCGTACGATTATAACCGCACAGCATTAAATGTCGTATGCGTTGCAAAAAACAGCGATAGGATTCGGTTGCTTTCATTTCATATTTCATTGGATTCAATATAGAGATGCATCGATCGCCATTCTTCGATGCGAAATCGGTACGAATTTTGTCGAGCACCGTTGTTCGGGGCAAAATATTTTTCGTTTTCTTTATATCGAATGTTTCCACAACAAGTATCATCCAATCGGTAATTCCGTATGTGTTGAGCATTTTCAGCCAACTGTCAATGTCCTCTTTAACATTACTTTTATATGTATCGATGTCATTGCATTCAGTTACGTACAAATGCAAAATGGGATGCTCAATAATGCTCCATTCGCCCGACTTATATTTATCCAACAATTTCACGTTGAGCGGATGAAATGATGCTTCCAATTGGATATCTTTCACTGGACGACCATACGAACGTTTCCATTCACACGTATCCAATGGTATTGAAGCCACAATATGCGCTTCCAATGAACGGAAAAGTGGCCCAGCGCCCGAATCTAAAACAATCATTTCGTTAAACTTTCGCCTTGAATATTCTATAAAACACAAAAACTCGATAATTATACTTACACGTAACAATTGGCTTAAATTCCATTTTGCTTGCACAGTTGAAAGAAAAAGTTAAGAAAACAATTAACAACGTTCAAGATACTAATTTATAAAGTAAAACTTTTGTTGCATCTTTTTTAACATATTTAATTGAATACACGACAAAAAATTTCACCAGAACTTTTCTTTATTTATCATTTGTCGATGACGTCGCTGTAGATATACAACAATTACTTGTCAAAGGCTGACAGCTAGCGCCATATTTGTTTTGAATACAAAACAGAACTGACAGTCCCAAAATTATCACTGTCACAAATATTTGAATTAAAAGATAGTTTGAATAACTTTTGTTGTTGTTTTACAAGTTTTAATGCATGTTTTACATTGGATCCACACAATTATTGTTGAAATATATCGTCATTTATCTAAAAATATGGATGAGCTCATCCTGTAAATACAAATACATACCATTGGATGGTGTTCGAAACAAATAAAATTAAAACAAAGTGTTTATCTAGGATAAAATTTATTTTTCGTTCTTACATTCATTATTTCGTTTCAATTACAATTCAGTCATAAATTATTTTTGTAGTCTATTCAATATTATTAATAAAAACATTCCATGTGAATGATACCGGCTATTAGCGGCGTTTTTAAAAATCATATGACGGCTGAGTTCCATTCTTATCGGGTTCATTTGAATTGACGGCAAAAGTAAAATTTATATAAATAGAAATAAAAACACGATAGAAGTGGATAGATTGGTATACATTAGAAGAGTACAACCATTTAGTGATTTAGTTAAGAATATTTTGGTTTGATGTTTGTCGATCATGAACAGTTAAAAAGGAGCATAAGGCAATAATTCAAAAAAGTAAAATTACAATTTCATAACATTGTCATTTGATTTGTTTTACTAAAGACTTTATAGGTACATTTGAGACAATTGACTATTTTTCTCGATTGGAACAAAAAGAGAAAGTTGAACATATCGAACATATTTATTTGTTGAATGAATTTTGGCACTTTTTTAAAAACAATTATTCCAAAAATGTGTTTTTATTGAAAAGAAATAAAAATCTTTTTGAATTTGATTTTCGATTTGATAGTCTTAGCTTTTATACTTGAAAAATTGTTCTTTGCATTCAACGTATTAATGTTTTTCAATATTTTCGATTTTTGTTCAATATCGCCCGAAACTGTTAAAACTGTACTTTTGCAAGTTGGTTAATGATTAATAAACTCCACTATAGTTAGATAGATTTCAGATGGTTGTGACTTTGTGAATCTGAATGAAATGGAGAATTTTTCCCGTATATAAAAATGTAACAAATCTGCACGTACTGTTTCCCTTAAAGATTTATTTTGGTGCTACATTGTCTTAATGATACATTTTCGAAAGATATCTAATGATATCCACAAATAAATGAATGGAACATCTGAAAAGTTTTACAAAATTTGTGGATTCTAAAATCTCTATGAACACATATGCGCTTCGCCGTGAACTTTTTATATACTTTATGGCTATTGAATGCATCTTTGCGCATGTTGGTAAGCATCTAAATGCTACTGGCCTTTGTTTAGTCCTAGTTTATGGCATGCGTACCTTTATTTTGAAAATTAATTAATAAAAATCATTATGTTTTCATGATGGCAGTCATTTGAAACGTTCATTTTAAGTACATATTTATTTATATTGTTTCGTTAGCATTGAGAGCGATTCTTTAGAGAAAAAACAAAGGATACGTTTTGCAAAATTCCAAAACCGTACAATCTCTTGAGGCTATTTCATCATCTTTCTGATCTAAAAATAATATTTCATACTGTTTGAAAAATACATGTCACGTCGTGGCAAAATTTTGAATTTAAATCGTTTTGGTCATTTTTGGAACTCAGCTATGATGAAAACTTATTCCAAACCCAATTGAGAAAATGATAAATATTCTAATCATTGTTTGAAACGTCAACAAAATCAAAATAAATTTTATTACAGGTACTATCAACTGTATTCAATAATAAATATTTGTTTAATGCTCTATCAACTATATTAATTTGTGTTTTTTTTTAATCCTAAATTAAGTCAGTGAATAAAATTATAAATGACTTGAAGTTTTTGTATTTTCATCTCAATTTTTAGATAGAACACAAGATTGTCGATTGTTAAATATTATATTGTGTCAATGAGGCATGTTCTTTCATGAGAAAATCTCTTATAGACACTGATTACTACCACTTAGGTGTGTATTGTAATTTTTCCAGGTTTGTTAACGAACAATTTTTATATTTTTTTGTATTTCGAAGTCTCGATTTTAAGATAATTTAAATCGTACTGTTTTAAATGTATGATTAAGCATATATTTCTATCAATGAGCAAGGAAGAAATGTATGGTTCATCCAAACATTGTTTTGCAAATTCTGATGTAATAACGAGATTATCTACTAACTTTTTAAATTAACGTCGACAAGTGCAAACTTTCTTCAATCTCACGAATAGATTCACGATACATGAAAGATCAAATTGAAAAAAAAAAATACGTTCGTCTGATGTGGATGTAAAGCTTCTGATTATATCTCAAATGAAACAAAAATAAAACAAAATACTTGATTGATTTGTATTTGAACATTTTCAAAATGAATACGACCAAGCCGCTCAGTTCGAGAGAAGCGTACATTTTGTTTCGAAATACTTTGTGAAAACGGAGAGTATGTTTTGTCTGTAATTCTTTTTTTTTTGAGTTTATAATTCTAACGACAAGATAACGAATTTGTTTTATTTCACAGAAATTGAAGGTCTTTACAAGCTCTACAATTTTGTAAAAGGCAGTATACACTATATCTAATGAAATAAAAAAATATTGCATACTCCCATTTTTCTATTTAAACGAATGTACATTCTCACGACGTGTGCAGCGAGCGATGGATATTTCTATTTTTTTGAACATAAAAATTCATTCTGCTAGAATGACTGAAGTGAGATAAAAAAAATATTATGAGATCAGACGAACTTCCATATTTCTCAACTTGTCTCTTGCATATTAACCAATAATAATACAATATTTCGAATACGACTACCATACTCTCTGAATCAGAGAAATAACTATTACTATTTCGTTTCAAACGAACTTTTACCTATTTTCGATTGCTTTATTAACATTTAATCATTATATCTTCAACTTGAATACCATTGAATACCATATTTTGAATGTGTAAAATGTTGGAATAAATATTCAACCTAAATCACTCTACTTCCATTTGTAAAACAAAGGTTCTACTAAAAAATATTTTAATAAATTGATTTATCATACTGAGAATTGTGGCCCATTTTCAAGAACAGATCATTTCAAACATTGATTACTTTGAAATTCTTATAATTTCATGTTTAATTCCATGAGACGGTAAGTGTTAAGGACTTCGCAATGAGTGAAAAGTGTTTTTTTTAGCTAGTTTTCATACAATAATTTCTCTGTAATTTGTTTATTATATCGGACATAAGCCTGGTTTTTTCTGTTCTTTTATTTGAAATCGTACAGCTGTTGAAAGTTTTAGCTGTCGGTATTTGTTAATTGTTATAAAGAAGAGCCAACTTCTTAATAGCAATAGTGTACTATGCCGGCTATAAAATATAAAAGGAGGGACCCAATTGTTTGAAGAAAAGATTTCTTTGGTCGTTAAAAGCAAGGTGGAAACTAACACGATAACTCAACTCATCAATTCATCTAGAACATAAAAGATTCAATTTAATCCAATTCACATATCAATCTAGCTTCAACCAAGTTAATTATTTCATGTGTTTGTGATTGTTATTTACTACTTATCCTATTTTTCAGCGTCGTTTATTATATGGTATCTCCACCAATCGTCTCATTTCGACTTAAAACCTTTCTTAAAGTATATAGATATTAAAATTTAAAATTTTATAGCTCATAAATGAGATTGACACTTTAATTTCTCTCAACTGCTATCAGCATACCTGATTTCTTTATCAGAACAAATTTTACTTGGCATTTACTTGTGTATCATTTGGGTTATATGGAATATTTTATGTAGATGATCTGTGGCGTTGAACTATGTTAACCACCTTGGTTAAAAGCTTAAATGAGGTAAGTTAAGAAAACAATGATTTTATAATGGGAATATCACGTGCTTACAACCATGTTCAAATGTAATGAACAAAGACCTGTTGAACATATCATTCAATTCAGATGGAATTCTGTGAGGAACGTTGAGTCCAACAACGCTTGTCACTCTAAAAATGGTATGTGCTTTTTTCGTATTTCCTTTTAACTTTGACACAATTTTTGATAAAATACTCGATGTGTAAAAGTTGATGTTGTAGTAGAATAAACACTACATACGTTTTTCTGGTTATTTTAATGTCTATTGAAGATTCCAAAATGTTTGTTCAAGTGATGTTTTACATTTAAGTGTCGAAAATTATTCTCTATATATCGATTATATATTTCTTTGTATGTTTTTTTTCTTATTGCTTATAGCTCATTCATTATGTGTGTCTGAGAGTAATCAAGTTCATTAACCAATGCATCTTACATTTAAAAGTGTGCCATGGATAATCCTGTGTTTTTGTTTTTTATAGAAGATTTCTGAATATTATTATAGTATTTATGGTGCACAGTACATCACTAACAAGTTATTTGAACATTCGGAATATTTTTTGGACTTGTGCCATTTTCGTTCCAATTTCTTGGCAACATATATTCGATTACGTACCATCTTTCCAAAATTGTCTAAACGTAAAGGTGTGGTAAGAATGAAAATTACTGTCACACCCTAATTCAATCTGGTACATAAAAAACGCAGTGATTTGTCGATCATGGAATTAGATCAAACTTAAAGCATCTCAATTTATCCACATTTTTCTGTTAATTTGTTTATTTTTACGTTCTTTTCCGAAAATCAATTTGTCTGCATTTTTTATGTACTAGATGAATTGAATTAATTAACTAGTAGCATTTCCCCTGTTGCTTTCCGATTAAACTGCAATGGGATTCGGTTTTTTTTTAAACCAGTGAAACGCCTGCTAAAGCTCTTTCATCGCTAAAACGTATGAAATCGTTAAACTCTCTTGTGTTGTGCGTGTCCAAACTACTCTAAAATCAAAATCAACATTAAATTTCTTCAAAGAGCCATCCGTTTCCATCATATTACATTAACATTTTCACTCCATATAACGAATTATTTATCCAACAAGTAATCTTTATCCTCACATTCAATTATCATTTCTTGGTACAAGAAAAGAGAAAATAATTGAAAAATATGTCTCTCTAAGGAAGTGAATGAAATCTATGATGTGCATATTTGTTTTGGTTTTTTGAATTTTTAATTGAAATGAATAACAATTCTGTACGACATAAAATGTGAAGGTTGTCAGACCGTTGTCACTCGATCAACCTCAATGTATCGTACAGAATTGTCGTTTTGTCAGCAAATCACATCCTTGTCTTCGAAAGTAGTGGTATCCATTGAACTAAGTGATTTTAAACGTGTTTGCAGTATTGATGATCCACGGAAACTGCGTTTTATTTTACTAAAAATGAAAGAAACAAACAAATTAACCACAATAATAAATAGATTTCAAGTCAGAAATCTTACCGATATAAACATGCACTGAATGTACAAATTGTCAAAATTATCGATACAAATAATCCGGCTAGTATTTCTACTGGTAGTTTTAATAATGCAGAACAATGTCTGAATGATTCGTCATAGCTGGAAGGACAATGGATGACGCCATCGCAGAAAACACTCGCGTCTACACATGCATCCAATTCAGGACAAATGAATGTACAGTTTTCCGCTTTAAATACAATGAAATCAATTAATATTAATGCAATTAATCAATTTAATTATAAACATACCAACGAGTCCTAGTGATACACGTGGCACTATTTCGAACCACGTGAATTGATAGTCTTGATCATCTGGATCGATGTATTCTATTGAAATCGAACGGATCGGATGAACGTCTTTAAAATCGTTGTAAGATTCCCATCCGGAACTGAATATCTCTACGAAACCATAGTCAGCAGAATTTTCGGTACTTGGACATGCGGTGATTGATAGACCTTCACCGTTTGTAAATACGAAACGGGCCTTTGTTGGACAGTGTGCGGCATACGAAGATTTTAATCCAGACTCTGATATTAAGTTTATTGGATTGTGTTTCCTCAAATAGACGCCATTCATGCGAACGAATAAGTACCTATCTAGCGTTGGTTCTATAATCCATTGATGAGTACGACACTCTCTCTGTAATTGAATTTAAAAACAAATGTGTAGATCTTTTTTTTATACTGAAATTTAAACATAAATTACGTTTTCTTCAGCAACATTAATTGTACCGCTTGTACCAGATAATCTTTTTACTTCTTTGCATAACATTGGCAATTTTATAAATTCATATGTAGCTTCAAAGTTCAAATTATCGGGATCATCGTGTGCAGTCATGTTAGTGGCAGTGAAACGGACTTCAAGTGCTCGACTTGATGATGTATACACTATTGGAAGATCTGATGTGCTAGATGAATTGCAAGCACATCCTCGTTGATAGAACGTTTCACTTCCTGTTGGTTGTTCCATGATCTTGAATAGGGAAAATATTTAATTAGTTTTGGAAAAAGATATCAATTCATATATAAATGCGATGGTTGGTTAATAAAATATTCGCATCATTTACCTGCAATTTTGCTCTTTGATCTCCAAAGCAATACGATCGCTTTGTATCTGGATCAACCCGGGATAAACACTGTCGATTTGACGTTACAATTTTCTTTATTGTAATGCGAATTCGTTCATCCTTCTCCGATTCAAAACGATACACACAGCTAAAAAATCGAATATTCACATAAAAGTAGGTCTTTAACGTTCAAATTATAAATCATAAGGATCGTTTTGCTATGCTATAATTATTTGAAACCATAAAAGAAGCATAAAATGTAATTATTACTTTAAGTTGACTGCACCGCCGCGACCAAACAAAAAGACATTTCTAACGCTTCGAAATTTTCCCATGTCTCGTCTCTCAAGCTCGGAACTAATGAATTTCCGTTGACATTCGTGTTCGGAGAAAATTGGTGCACCGTCTTGTTGATAGTCCACAAATTCATATTTCAATTTAAACTTGACTGGCCTGTAATGAAAATAAATTTTTTATGATATCGGGGACCTTACGATATTATGACCAATTAAAAAACTTACTGCAAAACCGTGCTTTCAATATTTCGGAGTTCAAGAGTTACATAGTCACTGCTCGATACATAGCTTTCCAGAATTGTGCAAGGGCGTGATAGTGATTCATTTAAAACGCCGTGGTCACAACTTTTTGGAATACGATTATAACAAAAGCGAGCAATTACACTGGTTAAGTTTTGACCATATTTTGTTTTTGCTTTCATATCGCGTTCGCTGAAAATGTGCATAATACGATGATTAAGTTAATATTTCTTGGAAAAAACGAAAAAAAGTAAAAAATAAATCTCACCAATTCAAATCATTGCAAATTGGAACTTCTCGTAAGGGACCATCCCAAATTCGCATCATACCATTGCATTCCTCGTTTGGATAATGATAACCAGCTCCGCCACCCTTTGAACTGGGCATACTAACACTTGCAGGATCCCCAGAAATGATGCTATTCGTGATTGATCCCAAACTGTTCGATTCATTGAGATCATCGAATTCACTCAAAAATTTTGGGAATAAATTAAACTTCAGAACCGAAATCCACACTTTGAATCTTGACAATTGCGGTAAGATAATTCCCGTTCTTCGTGGTGAATGGAATTGATCGTACGGTCGGTAAATTGACTCAGTTCCCTTAATAAAAATGTTATTTTTATGAAGTTAATTTCAAATCTTTCATATTGTGATTGAGGAATAGGGAAACAATCACAATAAATAATCAATACCAGAGCATTGGTCTCTGGTGTAAATAAGTAAAAATAATAAAAAACTCACTTGTAAATGATATAAGCAAGTTGTATTTGGAGGCAATGAGTGGCGTACACTCTCTAATTCACCATGTCCGGTACCTCGAATCCAAAATTCACACATTTGCTTGTTTTTTGCATATAAGTAACTTTTTGTGTCGACAAATTCAACTGAAATCTATTATGAAAATTGAAAAAGTTTTATCATACTTCATCAATGTAACATTTATGTAAAACTTACTTCCAAATGAAAACCGTTAAGAGTTCGAGACTGTACTGGAGATGATTCAAGTGTGCCGAAAGGTGATGTGACAAACTCAATTAATAGTTCAGGACCGCTCGATGTTGCAGCTGCAAGACCATTGCCGCCGCCACCACAGAACTTGAGAATAACCGGATCTCTCGTTGTGTATCCATCATATATGGTAATGAAATCCTTGAAAATTGTTAAAATGTCAGTGATAAGTTCGATATGTAACAGCAGCGGTTGATATTTGGTTTGAAATTCATTCATAACTCACTTGCACTGTGTCGCAATCGTCCCATGTGGTAAGTTGCAGTTTGGCTTTATCATTGTCATCTTTGTTTTTGTTAGATGAGGTTTGTATCCACATTAAGTTTCCATTTGGTTGACGTACCGTTATCAATGCATGTTTTCCAGGTGGAACTTCATGCTAATTATAAAAAAGTAATGTTGTTTTATAATACCCGAGTTTTTAATACTGGGATTTGTGTAAATTAAAAAGTGATTCAAATGTTTTGGTACATTCATATAAATCTGGCTTTATATCTGGGTTTATATTGTCTCTTGTTTCCTTTTGTATACGGTAAATTTGCAGTTTTGCGAAAATCGTGAGATATTCACGCTTTTAACTATCTGATCACAATGAATTCTCTTGTTGTCATTGCATTTAATAAAAACTTTAAGATGACTTTACTTGTTTTTTTTTTAAACGACGTTACAACGTATTTCCTTCGCAAAATGTGCAAATTTGAACTACTTTTTACCCAGTTCCAAAAAGGTCATGTATTGATTTTTTTGTGTGTTGTTGTAACTTCGAAACTTTAAGATTCTATTGCAACGTACGACATATATTCAACTGTTCACAATGGGGCACCAAATGTTTAGTGAGGTCAGTCGTAGACAAGTGTTCTCAACACTTTGGATTTGAAATTTATTTTATTTGTTTTTCCTCTTTGCTTAATTTCGTATATGCTCATTTTTCTCGATGATAAAAAAAGCCGAACACTTACCTGACGTATTGCATAATAACATGTCAAGTTTCTCGGATAAATGCCTAGAAAAGCACAGATAAATAGTCAAAAAAGGCAATCGATGTACAATTTGTGTTTATAAAAACCTGGATAATTTGGTGATTGTAGTCGGCATGCTTTCTTGTCACAATCGCTAAAAATTCGCGAACAATGTGTGCCCGATATTAGAGTGCCTATAGAAAACAAAGCGTATGATTAGGAACATCAAGTAGACGTATAATTTGAATTTCAAATTCAACCTAAATAATATTTTGGTTCCGTTTTGTTTCCATAATAATTGTTGATATCCTTATTCGAGTGGAATGGCCACACACCATGCGGCTTATTCATTACAAATCCTTTTGATTGTTTCGTAGAGCTTTTATCGTAACTTTTCTCCGGATATCTTTCGCTGTGTTCCATACTGCTATGGATTTTATGGATGTTATCGTTGTTATTTTTATTTATCGATGAAAAGTCGTCGAAATGATGGCGATTTTTTTTATACTGGTCATTTTCATCACGCTTTCCTCCTTCTACCAAATGGTCTTTATCTTTGTCTCGATCACGTTCTCGGTCTCTATCCTTTTTATTTTTGTCCTTATTACGCTTTGGTGTGGTCGAAAAGTTGTTATTTTTTACATGGTTTACGGTTCGAGTTGTCATTACCCAAAGGTCTTCTAAATTTTGGAAGAAAATATTAGTTTTTTTGTGATTTTGAAATAAAAATTATTTTAAATTTGAATAAAATGTACCTTCGTTCTGTTCGGTATCCTTAAATACGTTCTTATTATAGTAACTAGTTATATTTCTATTTCCTGTTCTTTCTGGAACGCCACCAAATCGAACAATTGCATTTTCTCGTGACAATACTTTGTAAGATATACGAAAATCAAATATATATCCGATTCCTTTTGGTGGCCTGAAATGATTTATTACATTTTTTTAGTTGTTAAGTTAAAGATCGATTAAAGAGCAAACCCCTATCGCTGAAGAACACTTACCGTAATAGTTTTAGCGCTAAAATTAGTGTACGTGTTTCGCTATAAAATACAACAGGGCCACTGTCCATTGTGCCACACCACATTCCACCAACATGGGATGTTTGAGATGCTTCTGAAATTTGTAGATATCCTTCTGGACAACCCTCCATAACGTAAGAACAAAACCTTCCCACAGAAAAACCCTCAACAGTTATCTAGGACAAAGAGAAAATGACACATCCAAGTGGTAATAAAAGACGAAGAATATAAAAAATAATATGCCTTAGATCTACCTGAACAATATCTCCGTAAATACCGCCAGCTGCCGTAAAGTTCATCTCACATACAAATGGTAATCGTTCGTCTTTTGGTCTTATCAGTTCAATGTAATTCGTCATTCCCAAATTGCCATAATAAGTGCGATTACATCCTATTTGAGACAGCAAAAAATTATATTGATTTGAAATCTTTAAAAGTCGTAAACTTTGAATAATAAAATACAACAGAAGGACACTTGATTTTGCGAAGAGTTGTCGAAAATCACCTTGAACTGATACGAACAGTGATTGAGATGTGCATCGATTTTTTTTTTTATATATCTTACATTTAATGTTGTAAAATTCACTTACGTGTGCAGAACCTTGGTTCGTCTGAACTATCTTCGCAATCACTGATTCTGTCACAATATTTTGAAGCAGGTACACATTGACCACTTGAACAAGTAAATTCAGAAAGTGAGCATCCAATAAGTGGTTCTCTTTCATCCAACTTGTATGCAGCAGCTGTTCCCAAAACTTCTGCAGGCTTGGTTGGTGTTGCAGTCGGCATCGTCGTACTCAAATTTGAAACTACATTATTAACAATATCTGTACTCGTTTCAGTTACGAAATTTTTAAAATCTTTTTGAACATAAGAGCTTGTTGATGCGATTTCCAGACTCAACGAATCTCCTATGAATACTACTAAAGTTTGCACCATAATCCATATCAAACAACGAAATGCAAACATGTTGGCTGATTTCAAGACATCTGCAAAAAACATAGTTTTAAAGATAATTTTAGATTAAATTACCGTTCGGATTATTGGATTTATGGTAAATCAATTTTTCTACTCTTTTTTGCTTATTTTTCGTACTTTCAATACATAGTCATGTTTTTAATAATATTTGGAGTAATGGAAATGAAAAATACTATGATGTGAAACACTGAACAGTGTTAAATGATTTTTTGTCATGTTTCGCAACCAAATATATGCACTCCATCAAACTGAGCGTGACACTATGACGCATTATCTCTGCCAATCGATAGTAATTGAATAAAGTCATTAACGTTCGGTGATAAAATCATTCAAAACGCCTATAGGCATTCGTATTTTTTTTATATATTGTAATAATGCTATGTTGGTTTTATTTATATTTTTGTGAAAAGAAATTTTTTTTCTACTCAAATTGAAAGCTCTTATATTTATTACAATATTTCAAATGTATATGGTTCAGTTTTATGTTAGAGGAGTGCGATTGCTGGGAGCCGCTATAGTGCTCCTATATATGCGTTAATGTGATTACTGTCGTTTGTGTGGGCTGTGTACAAATACGAACTCAGGAGCGGGTCCTGACAAGAACACTAAGTGGTACTGCATTTGCTAAGTAGGTACTTTGTTTACGAGTTGCGATTTCACGCTTATTGTTTGATCTAAAAAAACTTTTTCGAAAAGTTCAATTAATTCGTAACTTTCAACCCAGTTACAGTCGAGAAATAAAACCATCAATAGAAATTGAAAAATAACATTTAAAAATACGATTTGAACTTTTTGCGAAGTTCCAAAGCATTCCCGGTTCATTCTGACCCACGTAATATTTGATTTATGCATCAAGAACAGATGATTTTAGCCAGTCTATGTATTTCGGATGGATATCCATCCGAGATATTTTAGAATATCTGGATATTTAACGCAATTGCACAGAGCCAGAGCTGTGTGCGTCGCACATATAATCTACGGTATGTCGCTACACGTAAAATACAAACACAGTGTGAATGTGTACGTGCGACACTTGATACACATATACGTCGCGACATACCGTAGATTTTATTTGCGACGCACACAGCTCTGGCGCTGTGCAGTTGCGTTGAATATCCAGATATTCTTAAATATCTCGGATGGATATCCATCCGAAAAACATAGACTGATTTTAGCTCAAAAATAGCCCGATAAAATAGAAACTGAAAATTGGTTTTAAATGGTCGTATGAAAGAATGTGGTAAAGAATTATATACTATTCTAATTGAGTTCCTTTTTCGTCACTTTGGACATACAGTTCAGTGGCAAAAATAAAATACATTTGTGTGGAAACAGTGCAAACAAAAACGTAAACACTTTCGAATAGCAAGAAGTATATTCTAGGGATCGAATCACTTGTTCCACATATATTGTGGAAACCCGTTACTTGAAAGGTCAAATGTTTACCCAATTCGGTGTCAAAACCCGCATGGTTCCATTATGAATTTGTATAGAGTCATAATGGAGCTGACTGGAAATGAACGTATAGATTCATTTGATGGACATGTGCGTATACATACTGCATTAGTTACTTTCGTACTCTTTCCACTTAAGTGGCATTACATACTTTTTGTTATTAAATACTTAAAAAGAAACAAGTCGTTTTTCCATTGTCTCTTAATTCATACTCTTACAAAAAGATATTCGCAACATCCAAAGAATATCATATAAAATGAATACAAAATGTATAATAATTTATTATTAATAAATATAATTATGAAAAGAATTTACTAAAGTAAAAAATATTGTTACTTGTCAACTTACACATCGTTTATGTTGTGAATGTTAGCAATACCACACAAAACGCTATTTGAGATGAGCTAATTGCCGCAAATCAGTTTATTCGCGTCCTCTTTTTTGAAACAGTCACTTCATATGCAAGTTTTTGTTTTTTCATCAGAATAAATGTTAACATTTCATTATTATTGATTTGAAAGTTTCTCTGTTTAGAACGGTTAAGAAAAAGAAAAATTCCTTTTTATTTATAGAAATCATCACCATTTAATGAAAATCTATTTCCATCGAAGCAATAGCACAATAAGAAGTTATCAACTTATGTAATGACATTTGAAAGTACCTAATTTCACAATATGGTATTTATTTGAGCTTTTAAATATTTTCTGATATGAGAAAAAGCTTCATTCACAGCATCGTCGCACCATCATTCTATAAATGCATAAAAATTAGTTTGTTCAAATTAGAAATAATTGAACCAATGTCACTTTCGCCGGTTTCAATTGCTTTCGCAATATTTTCGATTTTGATTTCGTTACTATATTTGGTAATTTACAATAAAAAAATCACATTTATACTTTTTTTAGAACACCAAAACTATTCAACTTATGAAAAACTATTGATGGGGCTATAAAACATACACACTTGTTTTGTACGATGTATAAAAGAATGGGATACGGCGAAGTTCACTGAGTGCTTCACTATATGCATATATTTCAAATGCAGACGTCGTAGTAATGCTATATTTGGTAACACTCCCAGAATCGTTGATTTATTGAACCATAACAAAATTTGATCTCATTTCTTCAAAACCAAAATTAGAGGCATAAAAATAAAAATACAATTTCGTTTACCACAACATCTAAAAGTTATTTTATTGAATATAATTCTGATTTTTGCTAAAATTGGAATTTAGGATGACAAATCTGGGCCTTATCCACCTAGTGTGCAGTGAAAAAAAAATCTATTTCACGCAAAAACTCTGTATATTTACTTTGCAATGAACTCTTAACCAATTGACAAAACAATTAATCACTTGTGTTTATAATGCAGAGAATGAAGGAAAATCGGATTTTATTTTTATTATATGGATCAATAAAATTGTCCTTACACATTTTTAAAATCGTTCATTCCACGGGATAAAATGATGTGCAGACGAATGTATCTGCATCTGGACTAGTACTGGTACGTGATGTGACATGTATTGGATTTGTTTGCAGCGGGTGTAAGCTCTACGTGTGAATTTTATCCTTACGAAAAATTGGGAAAGCTTTGACTATAAAATACAAATACATCAACAATTCACGTTCAATGGCATCTACTGTTAACGTTCTCCAAGTATACCAATTCATATATGAAATGAGGTCAGTTAGAAGACATGCGCTTTATGTATACTTCAATGTTTTCAATGTGCGACCATCAAATTCGAGACTTTGACGTATATAAACCCAATTCTTATTTCTCCGTATTGCGATAAGCATGTGAAACCAATCCTCGTCGGCAGCAGTGACAGTTATTCGAAAAGAAAATCGTTAAGGACGAAGGATTATTATTAGAAATTTGAAAAAAGTCAAATATGCTTACTATGACTTTGGCCGCAAATTTAAATTAATTGTTTCCCGCTTCAGCACAATCAGAGGTTAGACACTCAATCTTCTAATTTTCCGAATAAAGAAAATGTTTTAAAAATGGACTTTGTTTTTGTTTTCATTCACATCTCATCATAATTATATAAAAAAAACGTTTCATCTGAGTTTGGAGTCAGTGTTTTAGTTTGGGCATTTTTTCACATCTGAATAATGACAATAAAAGCAAAATTATTTCAAAGTTTAACAAAAAGTTTTTATTTTGAATTCTATTATATTATATTGAATGGTATGAATGAGTTTAAAAAACGACCCCATGAAAAAGGGAGTTGATTCAGCAAATATGCTCGCGCAATTCAGCACTCAAAATGACTTTGACATTCAGCAAGTGTTTACCTATAAAAAATAATGTCAAAATTTTGTTCGGTAAATAAAAGAAACGTCACCGTGCCACGACTATTTCAACAATAAAAGATAACAATACGTAAGAAGCACAAATTTGTTATTGAAAATAGAATAAAATAAAATAATCTACAATGTTAAAAGCCGTAATTCTCGTTGGGGGTCCGCAAAAAGGTTTGATTTTTAAATATTGCTTTTTACTGGTGCACCTATTTTGAACTCCAACATTTTCTTTGCAATTTGCACAATTGATAGGAACTCGCTTTCGACCACTATCACTTGACTTACCAAAACCACTGTTCCCGATTGCTGGTCGCTCGATCATTCAACATCACATAGAAGCATGCGTTCAAATAAAAGAGCTCAAAGAAATTCTGGTCATTGGATATTATCCAGCCGCACAAATGGAACGATTTGTAGCCGATATGCAAAATACGTACAGTGTCAGCATACGGTAAGTGTTCTGTAGTAGTTCTCTATTGTGAATTGTGTTTGAAGTTATTTTTATTTTTCAAAACTTAAAGCTATTTGCAAGAATTCACAATGCTTGGCACTGCGGGTGGAATGTATCACTTTAGAGATCAAATTAGATCCGGCAATCCTGAAGGATTTTTCGTTTTAAATGGTGATGTATGTTCCGACTTTACACTAAAAGCACTGTACGATTTCCACAAATCCAAAGGTTCAGATGCAATCATTTCAATAATGAGCACCGAGGCAACTAAACAACAATCTATTCATTACGGTTGCTTGGTCATCGATTCGAAAACTGGATGTGTTAATCATTATGTAGAGAAGCCGAGCTCATATGTGTCCACATTCATAAATTGTGGAATTTACATTTGTTCAATGGATGTGTTTAGTGAAATTTCTCAAGTTTTTCATTCACGCGAAATGAATTATCAGTCGAATGGTAATGGACAAAATCGTGATCCAGGTTACATTGAATGGGAACGAGAATGTTTAACTAAATTGGCTGGAACTGGAAAATTGTTTGCATTACCAGTGACTAATTGGTGGTCACAAATCAAAACAGCTGGAAGTGCCATTTATGCAAATCGACGGTTCCTTGATTTGTACAAGCGCACCAATTCAGATAGATTAGCAAAGCATAGTGGCCAATTTGGTTGTGAAATCATTGGTGATGTTTTCATACATCCATCTGCAACGATTCACGAGACGGCAGTACTTGGCCCAAATGTATCAATTATGTCGAATGTTGTTATTGGTGCTGGTGTTCGAATACGTGAATCAATCATCCTTGATAATGCATCTGTTAATGATCATACACTCATTTTACACAGCATTGGTTAGTGATTTTTGGAATCACTGTCGAAATCGATTTACTTACATATCTACTTATGTTACAGTTGGCCGCAATTCACAAATTGGAAGTTGGGCTCGAGTAGAAGGAACGCCATCAGACCCTGGTAAAAATAATTTTCTAAACTTCGCAATATAAGAATAATTTAGCATCATTTCTCATCTTTTTCTCATGTAGATCCGAACAAACCATTTGCAAAAATGGAAAATCCATCGTTATTCAACAGGTTTGATCTTAATCTTATACCTATTCTAGTAAAAATGGCAATTCAGTTATTTTCAACTCAACAATTTTTCTTTCAGCGAAGGAAAATTGAATCCATCGATTACAATTTTGGGTTGCTTTGTTACAGTAGCACCAGAAAAAGTGTTATTAAACTCCATCGTTTTGCCGCACAAAGAACTGACCCGAAGCTACAAAAACGAAATCATTCTTTAGACTATGTTGTTTCAATGATTCTTTTAATTCAATTTCGAAACAATAAACTTTTTAATTTCAGCTTTTAATTTTAACTTGACCTTTTTTTGTGAACAAAATATAAAATTTAAATATATATGTTGAAATAAATGGTATATTTTTTCGATTTGGTCTACATTCAACATAATGGTGTATCTACATTTGGTATTGCCGTTTATTTATGTTTATTGTTTGTTTAGGTCATCTGTAGCCAACTTCATGTGTATGTTGTTGTCTTTGTTGTGAAAATAGAATGCAAGTCACAGTTTGATCTCGAAAGTGATTAGTGTTTTCTGCGTATTAAAATTTATTTGCAAACTCAAAGTTCATTAAGAGAATTGAAAAAGTTTTAAACGATCAAAATGCGAGCAATTTGTATTTTGTTGGTTTTTACCTTAGCAACTGTACTTGCTGATGGTATTGATGACCCATTATCCGATGAATTTATTGAAATTATTAATCAAAAAGCAACTACATGGAAGGTGAGTTATACGCAGTACATATTACTTGTTATATTGAATGAATGCCTAATTGGATGATAGCAGACTAGTCCAAGGACTATTTCCATTTTCATTCTTGTTTTCGTTAAATTATCCTTCATTTCAATAAATATATCTCCATTAATTAAGACGGTTGAATATTTTCGTGTTCATAATGGATATGTGACTAATATTTTTTTTCTTTAATTCTTCAAAGGCCGGCCGAAATTTTCATTCATCGACACCAAAAACTTACCTACAGAGTTTGATGGGCGTACATCCGGATTCGAAAAACTATCTAAATGAGCCAAAAATGCTATCCAGCATTCGTGCCGATTTACCGGAAAACTTTGACTCACGAGTCAATTGGCCTAACTGCCCGACTATCCAAGAAATTAGAGATCAAGGCAGTTGCGGTTCCTGCTGGGCATTCGGTCGGTTTCTGGCATTTGTTAATAATTCCATTTATAATAATATGATTATCAATAACTTTAGGTGCGGTTGAGGCAATGAGCGACAGAGAATGTATCCATAGTGGTGGCAAGTCAAATTTCCGTTATTCGGCAGAAGATCTTGTGTCATGTTGTCATACTTGCGGCTTTGGTTGTAATGGAGGTAAAGTTTTACTCTTAACACTACATTATGTTATTATCTAAATAAAATTACATTATCGAAATTGTAAATGTAGGCTTTCCTGGAGCAGCTTGGAGCTATTGGGTGCACAAAGGTGAGATCACTCAAAATAAAATGATTTTGGTTTTCAATTTTTTTTTAACATATATTTTGCATTTTTTCGCTGTAGGTATTGTTTCGGGTGGTGCATATGGCTCTCATCAAGGCTGCCAACCGTATCAAATAGCACCATGCGAACATCATGTCAACGGTACCCGTGGACCTTGCGAAGGTGATCTACAAAAAAACTACAATTTTTAAACAAACTCGATTTTAACTCGTTTCTTTTTTTTCACAATAGGAGAAGGTGGAAAAACTCCAAAATGCGCGAAACAATGCAACAGTGATTATACCGTTCCATACAATAAAGACAAACATTACGGTAAAAAATCATATTCAATCGGAAAGAATACAGATGAAATTCGTCAAGAAATCTATGAAAACGGACCAGTCGAAGGAGCATTCACAGTTTTTGAAGATTTACTTAGCTACAAATCAGGTATTTCTTTGATTTTTACCAAATTGAAGAAAGTATTGAAATAAAAATGATCGTTTATTTTTTCGTTTAGGTGTTTATCAACACGTACATGGAAAAGCACTTGGCGGTCATGCAATTCGAATTTTGGGTTGGGGCGTAGAGAATGGCGTCGATTATTGGTTAATTGGCAACTCATGGAACACCGACTGGGGTAACAATGGCTTCTTTAAAATTCTCAGAGGTCATGACCATTGTGGCATTGAGTCTGAAATATCTGCTGGTCTTCCGGCAAACTCAAATTAATATGAACATTCAACTGTTCTTATCTCTTCTCATTTTGATAGCAATGAGTTTTGTAGAAAAAAATTAATAAATAAATGATAATAAATTTGGACTGACTTTCTAAATTTATTCTTTTTATTTCGAATTATTTTTGTTTCTTTGAACCTTTTTCACTGGGAATGATAACATCTTTTTCACAATAAGCCTTAATGGCATAGCATGCAATGATAATCCAAACGGTGATTACTGATGATGTGACTGACAGCGCTGTGATGGTAAATTCTGGCAGATGCGTATGTTCATGTAGTACGTGTCTTGTTCCAAAAAAAGCCCCAAAAGGCAACGTAAACATCAGAATACTGTAGAACAAGAGATAGAGAAGTGCCGATGATGCTTGTTTCCAAATTAGTTTTTCAGTTTTTGGATCATATTTTGGTTGCAATTGTTCTTGGCCAACATTATCTATCGCCTCCGCAGAAGTTGATTCAACTGATTTACGTTTTCCACCCATATCCAATCGCTCTTGTTTATGCACAACCTTCTGTTCTTTAGTTTTACCTACAAAAAATAATTGTACACATATGTTAATGATTATCAGAAGGAATATTTTTCTGTATTATGTCATGAAAAGAGGGAATATGTTTCGATTATTATTTTTTTTTAGTTTGAATTTAAAAAAAACATGTTATTGGTATTTACACACAAATCGAAGGCTTTCTCAAGTTTGTAAATCAAAATCAACAACACCATATATATTAAACTAAAGAAACTAAATGTTCCTTATGTTAAAGAATCAAATACTCACCTTTCGAATTAATCGAAAAAAATTAAAAAGCACCTCCAAAATGAAAAAATGCCCGTTCTGTGTTATTTCACGTGATTGTTTGTATTTCGAATGATTGTGTCAATTTTTTTTATTTCAATATTATTTTGGGATTATATGAAGTTGTCTGTGGACGCAACATGAAACGTCAGAAGTGTCAATTGTACAGTGTATCGCAATTTTTTGCAATAAAGTGAGTAATTTGAGATTGTAATCAAATGACAAGATGAGAATTTAAGTGAATGTTAAAATAGTATTAGTTATGTTTGTGGTTAATCACAATGTTTTTATAGTTTTTGTTTGATAAATAAATGTGAAAGTCCTGTTTAAATTTGCATTCTATATTTGTATAATCTCATCCATTTTGACACACATATTATTTCAGACAATTGTATAATTTTACACAAAAAAAACATAGACAAAGATTTAAAGTAAAAAGTGAAAAAAAAAACAAAACTGATTTATCTCTACCAAGAAAAACACACTCAATGCATTCCATTCTTAAGTTATAAGATAAAATATTCATCATGCCGCGTATCGAATATAATGAATGTTTACGTGATTCCCCAACTTTTCGGTATAATTTTTTTTGCTAATATTCCACTCAAATTCACAAGAATTGTGTCAAAACTTTCTAAATTTATTTTTCATTTAATTTTTTTTTTGTTGAATAAAGGAAATATTTAGAGGACGAAGAAGCATCTATCGAACATTTGGAACAAAAGTTAGACCGAACTTTAAAACTATGTGCCCTTATGATTGATAGCGGGAAAGACTATGTCAAGAATCAAAGGTGAATAAATAATGAATTTAAATTTATAAACAACAAAAACAATAATAATCAATGAATTAATTTTTACTATTCGTTTAGTGTATTTGCGACATCATTATGGGAATTACATTCACATTTTAAGGAAAATAAAGTCGCACAAAATGCACTCAATAAAATAATAACGTGTTTCCAGGTATACTTGAATGAAGCATAAAACTTGCTACTGAGTCATTTATTGAGTCATGTCTTTTTCTCTATCTTTTTGGTTTTGTGTAGGAAATGAATAAATTCCAAACGATTTTATTGGATCAAGCCAGCTGTATAATTCTAAAAAATTTGACATCATTCGTCAAAAGCGACGTTAAAAATGTAAAAGAGACTCGGGCCCATTTTTGTAAAGTATCCGAAACGTATGACGCGGCATTAGTTCGAAATGCACAAGCAAATAAAAATCGTTCGATAGAGGTGTCAGACGCCGTAAATACCTTGAGTGCTTCTTCGTCATGCTTTAAGCATATAGCGTTAGATTACGTTTATTCTCTGACTTCCATTCAGTCGAAAAAAATGCATGAAATTTTATCAACGGTAAGTTTGTTACGTATACATGCATATAAGTTTATGGAATTTTTCGAACTATTAAAATTACATTTTTCAATTTGTTTGCAGCTGCTAAGCTACTATCAAGCATGTAACACATTCTACCACCAGGGCTACGATTTATGTAAGGATTTTGAAGACTATTTTAAAGGTTTTAGTAATGAGGTAAGTAGAGTCAGAGATAAAGACGCCAACTATTTCTTTTATCACAATAACAAACTTTTTCTTGTTCTGAAAGATTTCAACAATGCAATTTGAATCAGGTCAACTGGAAAAAACCATGCAAAATCGTCACTTGAGTGTTTCGCAGTTTTCTGAAACTCCAGCTAACACACCAGCTATTAACAAGTTTGAAGGTTATCTTTTTAAACGGACTTCGAAAGGATTCAAAACATGGAATCGACGATGGTTTTATATGCGTGACAATCAACTACTTTATGTGTATGTATTGAAAATGACACCGCATAAAAGCGCTTTTACTTTGTTTGAAATTGTGTAAATAACAATATTCGTTCCATTCATTTAGCAAGCGAGACAAAGAGGAAGTGCCAACGGTAATGGAAGAGGATCTTCGATTGTGTACAGTTAGGCCAATAAATGACTCTGATCGACGATTTTGTTTTGAAGTGATTTCTCCAAACAAGTAGGAATTTGTTTCACAATTCAAATGGGAGCATTGAAGTCTTATTACTTTTTTCTTTTGATTTAAAATAGAAGTCACACATTACAAGCGGACTCAAATGAAGTATTAAATGCTTGGATAAGTGCGTTACATAAACGTATTGATGCCGCCATAGCGAAGAATGAGGATGGAGATCCTAGTCTAAATCCAATAAATGCCTCTTTGCCACCACCAGGTGCAAAACGAATTCAAAAAATGTATGATCCATTTGTATTTGTGGTGTATTGAAATTAATTTTGTGCAATTGAATTTCGTTTCAGAAATTGCGAAGAATTCTATAAAATTCCGGGAAACGAAAATTGTTGTGATTGTGGTTCCATCAACCCCCGATGGGCTTCAATAAATCTTGGTATTACGCTCTGTATTTTGTGTTCCGGAGTTCATCGCAGTTTGGGAGTTCATTACAGTAAAGTACGTTCATTAACTTTGGACGGTTGGGAGCCGGAAATTGTTAAAGGTAAGTCTCTTCCATCTTCGTCATTTTGTTTTTACTTCGTTCTTTCAACTTGATCATTCTCGATTGGTTTCGTTCCATAGTTATGAAGGAACTGGGGAATGATGTCATAAATGACATATATGAAGCGAATTATACGGAACATCAGGATGTGTCGGATAGTGAATCTCAAACAATGCAAATACGACGAGCAACAAGCGATTGTGATAATTCCAAGCGCGAAGCTTGGATTAAAGCCAAGTATATTGACAAAGCATTCGTGATATCAAATGTGAATTGTGTTTCGGATCAAAAAAAATCAAACGTACTACAGTATATTGTGTTCAGAGATGATGGATGGTTTGTACGTCATATACGACGTAAACGAATTAAACTAAGGGTAGAGAAAGCGGAAAAGTACTCAACAACGACGGATGACACATCAGGCAGTGAAATATCAATTGATTCAAATCGGGCTATTGACGAATTTTCAGACGATAATTCATCAGACGATGATGATGATTGGCTACATAAACCAATTGAGGAAACATTAGAAAACTTTAATAGCGACACACTGTTATATAGATCGACAATTGTGCACAATTTGCCTGTTATGTGTTATGCTCTTGCAAGTGGTGCTTCTAAGAGTTGGTCAAATCTAAACGACTCCAAACGTGCGCCACTTCATCAAGCCATTTTATCGGTTTGTGTTTTTTCAAAATAGTATTTAAAATTTGGGTTTTTGAATGTCATTGAATAGATTGATAAATATGTTTGTCTTCCAATTATTTACAGAATTCAGTCACTGCATGTGAGTTTCTAATCTTGAATGGATTTGAAATAAATGCAGTTGATGATCAAGGATATACACCACTTCATTTAGCAACACAAAGAGGATTCACTGCACAAGCCTATCTACTTTTAAAACACCAAGCTAAACATGATGTGACTTCCAATGATGGGAAGAAACCTATTGACATTGCTGTTGACAAGGCCAATGCCGACATAGTAACATTGTGAGTATTTTCTTTTTTGCTTTTGTTGATCAAATCAGAAAACTATGAAAAAATATAGTTCGAAAATGGTTGTTTTTGATTTATAAAATTATTGTTTAATTACATGCGATAGGTTGAGACTGACGCGATTAAATGAAGAAATACGAATGGAGGAACATGGAAGCGGAGAAGGCGACACATACAACGATGTTATGAATGACTTTTCTCGATTTGCTGTTGATCAACCGCAAAAGTTACAAAGATCCGAATAAAGCGATGGGCATATCAATGATAATCTCGAACCAGTGACAATGTCAATTTATACAATTCCAATGTTTTTGTTAAATCATATAAAGATCTAGCTCAGTATTACTATAATCACTTTTTTCAAAAATTAGTTATCCAAAATCAAATTCATACATTTTTACGAATCAAATAAACACCATGAAATCATATACTTTACTGTGTGTTTTTTTAAACGAGTGTATCCAGGGAAATATTTATTTCAGTATTTGGTACTAAGTTTCATACTCTATACTTCATATTTAACCACTATTTCGAGCAAAGTAAGCGCTACTTTTTCATCGCAACGATTCGTTGATAACTGTCATTTCGGTAAAAAAAAGTCTGTGTAACATAACCAAAAAATTTGTTTACTTTCTTTGAATTCAAATAATCTATCGACTCACACTTGATAGCTGATAAGAAGTTAATGTGACATTTCATGTACTCCGTTCTGTTGAGTCTGCATTTTTAATTAAAAATATGTTTCGCCTGCAAAATAGTATAAAACACATTCGACAGTATACTCGTCAATTTAACTCACTGGTCGATGTTCGGCCTGATATTTTGGACTTGTTGAAAGCAAATAAACCAATTGTTGCTTTGGAATCAACAATCATTAGTCATGGAATGCCTTATCCGCAAAATGTGCAAACGGCACAAGAAGTTGAAGATATCGTGCGCAATCAGGTATTTATTCGATTTGACATATCCTTTTGCCGTAAAAGTTAACACATTCATTGGGATAGGGATCGATTCCAGCAACGATTGCAATTCTAAATGGTAGAATTAAAGTCGGTCTTTCTGATGAGCACTTTGAAGTTTTGGGAAAAGGATCTAAGAACGTTCCGACTGTGAAAACATCCAGACGCGACTTGGCCTATGTTTTGAGCAAAGGTTTGAACGGTGGAACAACGGTATCGGCTACAAGGTATGTGAAATTATTTTAAATGTGACTTAAAATGTGGTCGTCTTGACGTTTCGATTTATTTTAAAATCATCATCAGTTTGATTGCAAATTCCGTTGGAATCGATATTTTTGCCACTGGCGGAATTGGTGGTGTGCATCGCGATTTTGATAAAACTTTGGACATATCTGCCGATCTAACCGAATTGGGACGCTCTTCCATGGCCATTGTTTCAAGCGGAGTCAAATCAATTTTGGACATACCAAAAACCTTAGAGTATTTAGTAAGTTAACTGAATTCATTCTTATTTCATAATTATTATGTGAACATCATTTTTCAACAAAGGAAACGCAAGGAGTGTGCGTCACAACATATGGAACAGATGAAAAAGATTTTCCGGCATTTTTTTCAAGAAAAAGTGGTTTCAAAGCACCATATAATATTAATAGTCCAATTGAAGCGGCCAAATTGATTATAACATCGAAAACTTTGAATTTGAATTCGAGCATTTTAATTGCTGTTCCTGTTCCTGAAGAATATGCAATGAATGGCAAGTAACGACTATACTAATTATGAAATTTCCGTTATAAAATAGAAAAATTGCATGTATTCAATCAGGCAAGGATATAGATGCTGCGATCGAAGATGCCTTACAAAATGCCAAATCGAGTAACATCCAGGGCAAGGAAATCACGCCATATTTATTGAGTGTGATTGGAAAAATTACAAACAATCAAAGTTTAAATACAAATATTGCGTTAATCAAAAACAATGCCCGTGTTGCTGCTCAAATAGCCGTTGAACTATCTAAAATCAAGCAGAATATTCAACCCAATGAGGCACATTACGCATTACCAAACCACATTAAAAATGCTGTGGTACCTGTTGTTGTCGGCGGTTCGATTCTAGATATGAAATGTATCATTGAAGATGACCAAGTCAAGGTAAATACTACTTTAAATTTTTAAATTGAGGATTTCGTTATTTTTAATCGCAATTTCAGCTCGATGGCGCAACGTATCGTACCAAATTCTTGCCTAACTCGGGAGGTGGAGTGGGGAGAAATATGGCTGAAGGGCTATGCAAATTACACGGACAAGTTAAATTTATATCAAAGATTGGGAATGATAAGGTGATTCTAATTCCCCACTTTCTTGAGTGATGAATAAAGCAATTAATAGTAGGGATCGTTGAATTTTTAGCTGACGTTTCTAAAGAAGCTTGTCTATCTATTTGGTTCTAGAATGGTGAAATATTGAAAAGTTTACTCTCAGCTGATTGTCAAGAATGTCTGGAAATTGATGCGGAGCAATCAACGGCCACATGCATCATTGTTTTAGACAAAGCTGGTGATTCAAAAATTACGTTAGCGAACATGGATATTCATCAATCCATCGATTCTTCCATGGTATTCCTTTTTTGAAGTTTTGAACGATACGAACGAAAAATATAACTACTTTTGAATTTGATAGATACGAAAATATGAACAAGTGCTAAGGTCAGCTCCAATTGTCATCTTCGACGCCAATATTCCAATCGACAGCATGGGAACGATCCTGGAGTTATGTAAAAAATACAACAAACCAGGTAAATGTCTATATTTTTATTATATAAAAAAATTGTATGTGTGTAAGTTTACAATGGACGGATTGGGTTAAAAAAATTTAAAAGCTATTTTCTCAAGATCATTAATGAACAAGTGCGATATGAAGTGCACTTTGTCAAAACGCATAGAAACTTATCCAAAATCATCATTTTGAAAAGTGTTTTTGCACAATTGTTTTGAAAACTAAACATTACGATTTTTACTTTGAAACTAAATTGCAAAAGACATCGATGAAAAAATGTTTGATCATTAACATATCGACAAATGACCAACTACAATACATATGTTATAATAATAATGAGCACTGCTCATTGAGCAGTGACAAATTTTGGATGTCAAAGTTCAAAGGATTTTCTTATATATATCCACCACTGTGGAGACTTCGAGACAGTGACCGAGATGGATGAAAACTTGGTTCTTGCATTTCCATTTGCATCACCAAATTTTTGGCTTGATGGCGATTTCCATAGGCACGTAGAGCTTCACGATATAGCAATGCAGATGCTGCACCCAATAGTGCCATTGCAACAACACCCAAACCAAATGACCATGATATAATATTGAATTTTGGATACATCATCCAATCGCGACGATATGCATTGAACCAGAAAATGAGAATTCCCAAAAATATTAATGAACCTGCAATTGAAACCAATGTTATTATTAAAATTTGATTTCTAAAATAGAATGCAACAAATTGGTTAAGTAAAAAACGAAATAACATACTTGCTACTGCGAGTGCAATATGAGATATTTTTGTCATTAGCCATTCATACTGCAGCACTAACTTTAGGGGCCATCGTACCAGTACTAGCGCCAACAAACCCAATGTCCCAAAAGTTAAAATAAAGGCCAAAGTTATGCAAATTTGCACAAATAATAGCCAGCCAGGGAGCAAATACTCTCGAATCATATAGTATTCCTGAAAATAATACAATTTTTTCATATTATTTTCAATTTTTTTTTTTCTGGAAAGTGAACTTTGTACACAATACTCACATAACTGAAAATATTATGGCAACCGTTAAACTTTTTCGGGAACTGGTAGTTTGGATAGTAGAAATCTTTGAAACAATATTCCCACAATCCCATTTTTTTGAATGAACTGAATGATTCATCATATGACTCAATCCAATACGGTGAACAAAACGACATTAACAAAAATATGCTACCAACATAGGTGACGATCGACGCAAACACCAATCCACCTAATGCAAACAAAAAGAACATGCAATTAGAATTGGTTGAAAAAATTTCACAACAAAAGAAAACACAATTAGGGCGTAGCCCATACATGGAACCCAACATATTTTATCGGACACATTTCACAAAAGGAAACACAATATATCAGCGGAGAATTTTAAATAATAACATATTATTTCGATCATGTTGAAGAGAACTGGAGTGAATACAATTTTTTGATAGATTTTCTTTTGCATTTCTATTTTGTTTTCCAAAATGTTTTCCACTAAGAAATGTGGCTTGACTCCAATTATCTAGCCGAAAACAGAGTTTATTTCTTTTGGAAAAGAAGAAAATAGTTCTTACGTGACGCTCGTGGATATTCATTTTTCTCTGGTGCATCCACACTCATATTGGTTTCACGAATTTATTTTAAAAAATGATATTCGGTTAATGGAATAAAATAAACAAAACAATTTTCGTCTGTTCGAATTATAAAAATGGTTTTAGGTGCGTATATGTCATACACACACATACAGGTGTGTGTACTATTCATTTGATCATTTTATGTCTTTTGTATCCAATTAAGCAAAGTGTGCCAACATTTAAGTTTGAATAATGGTGATAAATTAGTTTGACTATTTGACGAAAGGGAGTGCTGATTATGTTCTTGTACAATTTGAGAGCGCTTGAATTTTATATTTTATTTTAGTTTTATAAATCTTATTGAATAGTTGGAATATCCACAAATTTATCGAACGTGTATGTTATGCTTAACAATTATAGCTATGATTGATCTAATACGAAATGATTTTTGAAAACCATTAATTTATCAATGGTTTAATAAAAATAATGATTCAATTCATATTGATAGATCATATATTTCCATAAATCTGGCCAAGAAATTAAGTTTCAAACTTAAACAATTTTAATGAAGGCGATTGTCGTTGTTTTATCGCATGATGATCAATAATTTACAAGACCAAAACCGTTGATAAACAAATTGAAAATTAATCACCTCCTCATTAGTCTTTGTTGCAAAAAATTGAAGAGCAACAAAAATATCTTAACATTGATGAAATCGATCTCAGCCCAGCAGCTATATATATCCATTTATGAAACACTGTTAGAAAGATACTGAGCTGATACATCAAAATCGAATGGGATCATACTAATATTAACAGAGATATTTTTAACTGTGGAAATGAACTCTTTTAGTAAGTCTCAACCGAATTCTTTCAGTCTTTTCACATTTCATTCTACCTGTAATACGAATCCGTTGTTCGGAAGCTTCATTTCAATTTCTTCGAGGAAAAAAAGACTTCAACGTTTAAAAATATATAATTTTATTATTCTCCTTCGCTATTTGTACAAATGGTTCTTACATGTATGATTAGCGGGTTTATGGTTGCTTTCATATACCGAAAGATTTAAAAAAGTTTCGACGTCGATGTTTGGAAACTTATCAGAACTATTATTATTTTTCAAATGTTCGAAGTAAAAAGAATTTGAGATTAAAATGATCGAATTAATAATGCTTAAAAATATTTTTTAAAAATGGACGGATACAGTACGTTTGTAACTGCTAAAGATCTTAAAAGAAACAACATCAAAAAAAATGTGTGTACTACAGCGTATATACGTAACGATTTTATCTAAGTCTTTCGTTAGCTTCAAAGATTCTGGTGTGCGGATATTCGATTTTTTTCTCTTTGTACAATAGAAGAACTTATTGTTGCTATCGCGATTTTCTACATATATGTAACAAAATTCGGTTTCATTGTCAATTTTGAAATTCCTGTGAATTATGAACATATGCGGTCTTTGGGTGAATCGATTAGCGAATGTGTAGTCAGTGTTCGTGCTTATTATTTAGTTGATCTCTCAAGCTCAAATCGAGCCTGTGAATCTTTCAATTGTTTTAGTTTTTTGTGCTGTACATTGGCTTCGGTTAAAAACAGCACAGAAGAGGCAACTAATCCAATAGCTCCAATAACAGCCAAAATGAATGACCACCCTAGAAAGATATAACAATTGGTTAGAAATCTTATAATTGCATAGAATTTATTGTGATGTACTCACCGAAGAAGTTATTGGCGTGTTCGGGCAACCATTTATCCTTATTTCCCCAGATGGCAAAAATAATAACACCCAAGCAACCACACGATCCACCACCCAACAATAGAAATCCAGTGCCCTAAAAACAAGTTTTTATTTGTATCATTATGACAAATTTTAATTCGAAGAGAAACCCATTTTAGAGCATTTATTGCTTCGCTTACTTTTATCAATTTAACGAAAAACTTTTGATCCGGTCCAGCGCATAGGAAGAAGAACATGACTAATCCAAAACCAACTAGAGATGCAATAAAGCATAGCGTGTAGAAAAATTGTGTCGCAATCATGAATGCTGAAAAAAGACAGTATATTTTTTTGATATTTATGTTAGTTAAAAGGTATTTAAAAAGTGAACATACGTGGAATTAAAAAGCCTCGAATTTCGTCATATCCTGTTGTAAAAGGGTCAAACACCCAACGACATCCGACGAAAAATCGTCTATTGTAATCGTCATTTGGATCGGCCAGTGATCGGAAACAGTGTGTCCACAATCCAAGGCGATCTAGCTTTGCTCCTGTTATTCTGTAATCACTGACTATCCAACTCGGTGTGGCAAACGCAAGGAATACACAAATGAACGATATCATAAACAAGCCAATTCCACAGCTACCAGAAAGGGTTCTCCGCTTCATTTTCAATCTAAAATTCAATATTAATGTTCAACTTATCAAAAGATACGGTTGTTTCTTCTCAAAATAGTTGCTTCGTCTTTGTCAAACGACAAGACGTTTAAAATGCATTATAATAATAATCTAATGATCTCGCGTGTATTTCATTCAAAGTCACTGTCCCATTATCATACATTGAATTAAAACCATATTTCGAAAACTGCAACTTTCCGTGTACACAATAACAAAAGAACAATAAAAAAAGAAAAAAACATTACAATGGGAAACTATTGTGTACATATTTTTCTTAGTTTCACACAATACTTCATTTACAATGATTAAATATCACATCGGACGTTTTTTCAAGCCTTTAAATGTCATATGGGTCACAATTAAAAATTCTCAAGTTATACTTGAAAATTAAAAAACACGATTCAATGTGGTTTTGCATTTTTGTTTTCAAAATTATATTGGTTTTATCAATTTGGTCGTGGTAATCGTAACTAAATAATATAAACAATCGTTATAGGTAATATGAATCACAAACACCATGAGTAAGGTTATTCTGGGGTAATTTCAAGAATTGTATGACGAAGTATTTGTTGTTAAAAATTATATATCCAAAAATGCCACTCTTTTTTGTAAGTCGTGGGGTCTTCTTTCATTAATACAAACGAATATGATTATTGAACGATTTAACTGTCAACAACAATTTAGTATTCATCATTTTAATGTATTCGCAATGATTTGTTATTTAAAGCTGAATTTGTTAATATGCACCAACTGCAACCATTTTGCCACACAACCATTTGCATTAATTTGTTTTTTTGAAAATTAATTTGAACGAAATTCACGAATTTGTTGACTCACATTGACTAGGCCGATACTCGAATTACTAAAAAAATAATATTTTGAAACAATAGATTTGTTCTAGTGAGATGCTTACAATGCCTTGGCACGCCCTGAAATTAACTCTGAATTTTGTTGCATCGTTACCGTCGTTAACAACAACGTGAATATGATTTTTTTTTTAATATATTGGTATGTAGGTACAAGCAAGTGTGTATTGTAGGCTTAAATACGTGTGATTGTTTTAGTTGGTGTTAGTTTATATCAAACAGGTCAAATGGAAAAGCTATACACAAAATGAAAACAACATCTGAATTGCGCACGCATACTTACTCAGAATTTGGATACTCCTGTTGAATGTATTGTAAAATGAGTCAACTTAAAGTGTGCGTATGTGTGGGTGTTAGTTTATCCATTTATCCAGAACATAGTTTGTGAGGTTGGCAAACCTTAACTCCAAAAGTCTTGTAAGATATAAATTATGCAAATAAACAACGTTGATCGACTGTGTATTTTTAAATTATTGAATTATTTTTATTGATTATTGTCATACGGACGGAATGTTGAATAATACTTTTTTCTTCGATTAAAAAATTGTTTTTTAAACTTATCGATAAAATTGTTTTTCAGATATGAATTTTTCAAATATCTGTATGTCCATGTTGTCGCTGTTCGAACTTTCGGATATCTTCTCCAACACTGTAGGCACTTGCTTCGCGGGTACCGATCTCATTTAATTGCTTATATCGTTCTCTTCTCGCCTCGGCCATGTAAAGAACTCCACTCGGTAACAATGTACAAACACCTACACAGGCACAAGCATAAGCCCATCCCATGTTATTATTTTCCCAATGTGGCATCCAATCTCTTCCATCGCCTCTTGCACCAAATATGATCACGGCGATCAAACCAAATAACGCTGGAAAATGTCATTATTAAGATATCTGCACATCATGTAAAATTCAAACAGTTTCTCTTACCTCCAGCCACTTGCGATGCCCCATTGCTGAGTAAAACGACCATATAGCGATCGTCATCTCGTGTAAAAGCAAAGATACCAAGTGTCAGTATGATCGATATCAGAAGTAAAGTGAATGCCAATGTGAAGAAAAATTGAACGGCTATATAGAAACCCGGCAAAAGGAAGTCATGGATGATATAGAATTCTTCCTCAAATACCCACATACATCCTTCAAAACGATAGTCATAAAATCGATGGATATCGGTGAAATTTTTGAAACATACTGTCCATAGACCTACAAAATAGATGATATTATCAATTATAAATTTATCTCCAAAAATTAGAATGCATGTTTCTTTAAATTGAGGTGTACAATTGTGCACTATGTTTACTCAATTAAGACCCCGCCTTTTTCGTGTGTACCAAATACTGTTTTTGATTTTCTATAGTATTCAAGGTACTTACCAAGATTCAAAAACTTTGGATTTTTTAATTTTCCATCAAATACAAGCCAATAGGGAGAAACAAATGCAATAAAAATCAAAATTAGGGCGAATATTGACAGGCCCAAAGCCACACGAAGATTTTTGTTATGTGCACCCATCTTGTTGATTGAAATGAATGAAACATACTAATTGAAGCATACATTTGAAGTATATGTGTGTTATTATTGTTCAGGTTTTGAGCTCCATTAATATCTTAAATATGAGTGTGTGGCATACACACACACACACATACGCACGTATTTTGTAATGTGCATAGTGATTCACCATTAGTAAATAAAGTTTGGGTGAATTTTAATTTTCAACAGTTGGTATTAAAATGGTTAACCAGTTGGATAAATTGAAATTCAAAATAAGAATTGCCTTTACGAATTTTCGATTCAAACCTTATGAATGAAAAAATTACTAATTTAATTATTTTTTTATCCAATTTTACAGCATTTTTTGAACCAACCGATATGCGTCTCGCAACAAAACCTTTCACATTGCCAAAAGAGCTCATTAAACAGATAAAATTCACTTCGCCAAATATTTACGAACTTGATGCAATTGCAGTACATCTCGGTTGCGAGACTTTATTACAAAATGATGACATCAACATTGAAGACCTATTCCAAGATAACATTATGCTCGAAAAAGTGAAGAAATCTTCCGAACTTCTTGCAGAATATATTGATAACGTCATAATAACGCTGGGACCATTAGGAGTATTATTAACACGAAAAAATACGCCAGCTGATTTTAAATTTTTCGATACAAATCTTAGATATAATGAAACGCAGTCAGCCAAAAGTGATTTACAACATAGATTTTACTGGGCAAAGCAACTTTCGGGTATTGTGAATGTATCAGGTGCGGGTGACAGTTTTTGTGTTGGATTTATCACAGCTATGCTTAAGGCTTTAGAGGAAAGTGTTTGCTTTTCGGTTGGAATGGAGTGTGCAAAGGCGGCCATACAATCACCCAAAGCTGTTCCCAATAAATACTTTGATCGAAATCATGAATGTTTCAATCAGCCAATTAAGTACAAAATTGTTTAATAGTATTGGACAAATTTTGAATAAAACAGAAAAAAAACAATTCAAATAAACACCAAATTCTTTCGAATTTTACAAAATTTTAATATGAAATTGATATATATACCGTAAATATTTTTTTCAATCCCAGCCCAATACATTTTCTTTTGAAATTTAACATGTGTATTCTATAAGTTGAAAAGAAAATCTTACATAATATGTCAACCAAATGCTCGAATAATATCGTTTAGTCAATTGAATAACTACCATAAATACACCAAATTTGTGTAATTCCATACACAATTGTGCTCACAACATTTAACTTTGTTGCTCATTTTGATTTTACTTTTGAGTTTTGCGCACTTGCACCACCCGATCCCAATACCTTTCTGCGCAAAGAAAACATGTGTAAATACAATTGCGGGAACAATGGAATGTACAGAAGCATCACAATCCAAAGAAAATAGAAATAGGAGAATGTAAAGTTGTAACTATTCGGTAGTTCAATGCTCCAGATTTTGTTTTTATGAGCATATCGTTGTGCCCAAAATAGACATAACAATTCGCCAGTAACGCCAGTCGGGTAGAGGACGATAAATGTAGTGTACCTGTAATTGAAACAGAAGATTTTTATTATCAACTGCCTATTTTGGTTTATACGCAATTGAATATACCGTAAGAAAGTCAAAAAGCTGGGAACAATGTTAAGCAAATTAAATCCGTAAAAACTATATCGTATGATTTCAGTGATTGACCAAGCGAGCAATGCGAGTGGAAGTCCGGGTGAGTATATGGCATTTGGTGTTGCTAGTAAAACTCCACAAACTAGCATAACCCTTGACAAAACTTGAAAAGTGGTCAAAACAACGTTGGTTCGCACAATTTTCGTGGCTGCGTGCACAATCTATAAATATTTCGTATGTCAGCAGGTTTTGTCATTTTTTTTGATATTGCATGTACACTTACTTCAAGAATTGCAGCATTTTGGAAAATAACTACGGTCGTTCCAATATACTCCCACAAAGTCGTTGTTTTACGTAAATCAGTTAAATAATAATTGAAGAGCTGATACAACATGAATGACCAACTGGAAACAAATGGGTAATATTTATTAACAATATTTCTGCTTTTAATTTAAAATTTACCCAAAAACTTGGCCAAAGTTATATGCTAATAGGTACGCCTTCACTACAAATGATGGTTCCTTGGGTTTTTGAGATTTATTTGTTTTATCAGCCATTTTTACCGAGAATCTTCGCCAACGAATGTCAAATATCACGTTACAACACTTTTAATATTGAATTACGAATGACGGTATGTTAATGTAGTTCAAAGTCTCAAACTTATTAACTCTCGTACATTGAAGTTACCTTTCAATAACAAATTTCTACCTTTGATGGAAATGTTGAAAGTAAAACGTCATCGATTTCTTATATATTTAGTTTTTTAAATGTATTTGTATCAACTGGTTCATTGGTATTTCTTCGACATTTAACATATGTCAAACCAAATTTGACAGAAAGCTATATTGACAGCTGAAAATGAGGTTATTTCCACAACTTTTCGAAATGAATGATTCAGTTCAATTAAACACAATTCTTTACTCAATGTGTTAAAAACTTTATTTTCAAAATCAATCAAAAATTCACATTCGTGACCCATAATAACTCTCAATTTACTTTTATTTTAATTTTATATGATATCTTTTAAGTTTTTCGGTCAATTGGAATAATGAATAGTATTTACATTTCCAACTTCGATAAATTTTCAAAAAATTGAGCCATTTTCTCATGTGCTAAGCACAAATGCAACAGGGTAGCTGAATCTCATCCGGGATCATTTTATTGGAATATCATGAAATGTTATACTTGTTTTGCTTTTCAAGTATTGCTCAAAATATTTGAAAAGGTTTTCCTGTAGCCACATATTTGTACTGAAATAATATTAGATTTTTAAGTGAGAAAACGGCCAACTTTTACTCATTCGGGTACTCTTTCATTGAATTGAGGCAAAAAATGTTTCTATACTAATCTCAAAAGCCGTTTATAGGTTTTTTTCTTCAAATTTTTGATTTACAACTAAGAATTGAAGAGGGACATTTTTTTAGGATCTTATCTTTTTAAATTGTGCTGCAGATAAATTGAACTCTACTAACAAGTAAAACTTTTCATTTGAAGATCTCTCTTGTAAAAATAGAACGATTAGTAATTTACCTATATGATCCCCGCAACATCCGCAGTCAATGTGATCCACCTCACATTCATTTATATCAGTTTCACCTAAAAGTGTTTCATACAAGATTATTTATCATGCAATTTTTTTCTTCATGAATAAAATTCTTAATTACTTTACTCAGAAAACAAAAGAAAGCACACTGTTCAATTGTGAAGAAAAATAACTTACAGTTAATGCCTTCGAATCCAGTTCCAGCGCATCGACATTGATATCTTCCAATTAGATCCAAACAGTCAACTGCACAGAATGGAATATCACACAAAGTGCCCTATCGTTTCGAAAAGTCGATAAAAAATGAGAAATTTTCATTTTGATAAAAATGGATAATTTTTCGTAAAACATACTTGATATCGGCATTGATGGTCGGCATGAGCATGTGAAATTATTTCCTGTTGTTGAATCTGAAAATAATGATAAAAATAATTGAGACTTTTTCTATGTATTCCAAATGTATGTGGCTTTAATGCGTACTGTGTCCATCAATGCAAGCAAAGCTACCAGTCTTGCAAGGCTTGTTTTCGCATGTCACCAGCTTAAGAATATCACATTGTGGCCCATCATATTCCTCTGTACAAGTACACGTATATGATGCAAGCAGGTCTGTACAATTTCCTCCATTGTGACATGGTTGCGATTCACATTCGTTGATTTCTAAAAGAAAATTTGAATTTTAGATAGTCTGCACATGTGTGATAATTCGTTGAATAAAAAATTGATGATTAGTTGGTGCGACAACGGGGCCGGAGTTATGACAACCGAACGAATTATCAATTTTTTGCTTTGTTTACGTGTTGCTGATGATGACAAACATTATTGTCGAAATGCATACCAAAATTTAGTGAAAATAAATTTCATTGCTATGAGAATTCAATTTAAGGTGTTTTAATTTTTAATACAGTTAAAATTTGTCGGAGTTTCTCGTTAAAATTGTTCAGAATCAAATCATTCATATTTTTTGCTTATAAATTCTATTCATTTCACTTCAATTTAATGTTATTGATAAAACGAAGAAATAAAAAATGTAAAAATATTCAAGTTTTTAGATTCTCGAAATGAAATCGATTTATTTTTCTTGATTTCAAAAAATGATGAACAAAATAATATGCATTAATGCATTTTGCTATATAAACCGGTTTTTCTATTTTATAATCTTGGGCATGTCAGGAATGTGATTTTTTTTCTGTTCGTGTCCATAAATGGTAAGAGTAAAATGTATCTACCCAACAAACATTTGTTGTGGCAAATTCATCCATTATCGGGCATATGTTGATGGTCAATATTGGGGTTGGATTTGTGTGTAGTTTCAGTCAATTTTACCGTCAAAATGGAAAGGAAAAAAAGAAAAAAAAAACAATTCAGTTAGATTGAATGCAAAAATAAACTATCAATTCAATAAAGTACTCACCTACGGGTTCTTTTATATTCCGCACAGCCCTAAATAGGGACCCGTACTGCGGTCAAGGGTACAATAGAAATCCTTAGATTTAAACTATTCACGCCTAGTAACTAACAAAATTGTTAAAATATTCTTTTTATGATTATTGTTGATTTTATGCTGCTATCAGTTGACATTGTTCGCATGGTGTGGATTGTCAGGTCTCTTCAACGAATCGGGCAATGGTATGCCAAAAAGACGACACATTCCTATAAAATCAGAAACAAACACAAAACATTAATCAATTAATATGAACACTGAACACCTAACGCTCTGCTCTCTATTCTCAATTTAATATTAATACAATATACAATTATGCACATACCTTTGAATAAAATATTCTTTGCCGCAACAATGTCACGGTGCCAAATGACTACGTGCTCAATCATGTCTTCTGGTGCAGCATCACCCAATTCATGGTATTCTCGAGTTAATGACCAAGTTTTGAAGATAACTTTTATCTTTGGCACTAAACGCTCGATGTTCTCACGATCTGGATTGATTGCTCTCTCTACAATTCGCTCTTTCTTAAGCTCTTGTCTGCTCAAATTCGTCACAATTATCGGTGGAAGTCCAACAATCGGTTTTGGTATGCAATTTCGACAAATTTTGAATCGATGATTTTTGGTTTCTCTTGGAAATCGCTCGTGACAATTGGCACACGTTATTGATGTACCCCATTCATCTTGAAAACTGACCTTTGTGTGCTCTTGTTTCTTGAAGCTGGTCGCCAATTTACGCGTTCCTGGGCATCTTTTCCGCTTCTTTATGCCCCATGGCCGATTTGGTGCCATTTCTCCAGCACCAATCCAAATCCAAGACGGTTTGTTGTTCGTTACCCGCATGGCAACTTTATCACTTGTTTTGGTAGCCTTGATGTGGTGATCGAGATCCAATCGTGCATATTTTCGAGTCGCATATGCTTGCATTCCCATCCGTAGCATTTTGATGCGATGCAGAATGTACGCTTTCCATGTGGATCCACGCGGCGATGGTATCACTGGGTACGACTTGAAATCCATTTGTTCTTCTTCAACAAACCACCAGGTCAATCGATTTGCCTTTCGATCTCTCTTCTTCTGCTCGGTTTGCCAATGAAATCGTGGATTGGATATTTTAATGTTTTCCTGTTAAATAATAACGTCAAATTTCAATCACGTTCCGAAAAAAAAAAATGTAATAACAAACTTAATTTACCTCAATGTTTGAATTGATATGGCGGCGCACAACGGCCACCCACGTTTTCTCGTTAGGATCGATGGCACTAGCATATGTCATGTTGTTAAATGTGGCCTGCTCCGAATTTTCCACCCAAGCCTTCGCTGGCTTCTCGTACAATATTGACACGCAAACACTATTGGTGATGATTTGCGAGTGAAACCGCTTCTGCTTGCCGATTTGTTTGATTTTATCCATGTCGAAAACCAAATTCCACAATTCATCTCGATGGCCGTACAAGTAATAGTCCAGTGTGTATTTGTTCATTCGATTGGTCAGCGGATTGCGAGAACTGGGCACCACTCCTAGTACAGTGTTCGCCAAATAATACATATCTGTCATATCCAATCGAACGTTTTTCAGTTGGAATCGGCATAACGGGACAAGTGCGAAATTGTTCACTTTTGGCGGTCGATTGTTCGTTATCAATCCATCGCGACGGAACGCATGCCATTGTTGTGCATATTGATGAAACACTTCGATTTGGCGTTGCATTTGACCGAACATCCACAGTGATTGGAACCAATTGTCCTTAACGAACTCATTGACAGTGACCGGAACCAATTGTTCATTATGAACTTTTTGACACTGCCAACCGATTCTTTCCAGTTCATACAATAAAATGTTCATCTTATTTGTTCTCTCTACATCACCATGTGTCAGATCTTTGTTACTAGTGGCGTAAACTTTTGCGTTTCGTATATCGATGCCGTCAAATTTTGATCCATTGTATTGATGACCATTGATATTCATGTTATAATACCAGCGTTTCATTTGAAAAAACGATTCAACATGTTCTGAACAATGAGTGTTGAGATTGGTCTGATTATTTCGAATGTGATCTTGGTAGAAATAATTAAAACCATTTCCCAGGCATTCTTTATCGGGCCATTCAAAATTCTCTACACCGAAGTGTGCCTCGACAATGTTACGAAAAGCTGGCGGCATTAGTTCCTCTCTGTCGACTTTATCGGCTAAAACACCGTTAAAGCACTCGATGAAAAATGTTTTACCGTTTTGTAGAAAAAATTGTCGGTTCTCATCATCGATGGCTTCTTGAATTTTGTACAACGCCAACAATGATGCCAGTGACGAAATCAGTGTCATTTTGTAGCTTCGATGATCCAAAAACTGAATCACTCTGTCGCGATATTCTTCCCGTATGATTGACTTGACGCCTTGTTTTATGACTACAAGGTTCTTAATGTCGTCTTTCCTTTCGAGTGGACTGTATAAATGAAACGAAAACAAAGAAAAACATACACACTTATTTAAAAAAAACTGGTCACAAAACAATATCGCGAAATTGCATCGAAAATCCAATGAAAAAAAAAACACAGAATAAATATTAAGAAAAACAATGCTTACATATTAAATTGATCCTCTCTTGATCTTGTTCTACTCATGGTTTAATCAATCAATCACAATTTCTGGTGCTTTTCCAAATATTATGGGATAGTTATCACTATTTTCGGTTGCAATCAATTCGCATCAATTTCACAATTCAAATTGTAATTTTTTATGTGTTTTCAAATAGCTTCACAGCGCGAACGGTAACTTTGAACTAAAATGAATGCAGAAATGCACCGATATTTATAGCAAATTATTGCTGTATTGCAAAAAGTCAAGCCTCGAAAACTAAAATGACTGGAATTAAACGATTCTATTGATACATCAATATATGCAAACAAATTTACAATATTTTCATTCAACAACTCAATCACTCCACTTTGATTTGCCACAAAACTCTGCCGAAAATGCATTTTTAAACAGGAACATAACAAATCACAAACGAGAGAATTGTCGAAATGGTTTTTTTTTTTCAAATGTGTTTCGATGATTTGGAATATTAACAGTAATACTTTATAAATGTTCTGTCGTTTGAATTGAAAACAGAAACAGACACAAAATATTTCCGCAAATATATCCATCACATTTCGTGAACACACGATATCGTTGTATCAAAACACTGACGAAGCACATCACAAAAACAAGCGGTGATCGGGAATACTGTTGTACGGTCAAAATTCTACAGTTTGTTGCATTCGCACTAGTATTTCGTTTACAGAAAAACAAAAACACAAACACATATTATATTGTCTCTCTCACATGTTTCGTTTCTTTGTGCTGTGACATAAAAAAGCCATTGATACAATATTAGCACTAAAATCCATTTGTCTTATTTTATCATGTTGAAAACTGAAATCGGTTGTCATTTTGAATTTAATTTGTTTGAAAAAAAACAACAAAAACGCACATTTTCTGACCGCTAATAAGAACAAAGAAACTCGTGCGTATGAAAATTCGATTGGAAATCATGGATATACTCTACATTCCGTTTGACACTAAAATGGCCACATAATTATCCTTGTGAATGTGTGACTCTCTCTGTTGTGCATTTGTGTGTGTACAAACTTTCAATTGTTTATATGCGCGACCGGTTCAATATTGCATGTTTCAAACCGAAACACCGAATGAATTTGTTTATATCACTTTCCCTCACACACACACAAACTCTGTATTCGTAGCGATATTTGACTTTTTGAATTTGTCCAACTGAATTTTAGGCGACGGAGAATGCAATCGTATGAGATTGTTGTTGTTGTATACCAAAAATCATCTCTTTCTAAACTGGCGGCACTTCTCAGTATAGTTTTGGCCGCAATAAAAAAATCAATCCCGTTAAATATTGAATAGAGTGATTTGTTTGTTTGTGATACATGTTAAATCGAAGCACAAAAAATTCCTTTGCTACATTAATTCTGTTGAAAACTGAAAAATGTGAATACAAACTTTGTGTGTACTCCAGTTGAAAAGAAAACAAATCTGAATGGCAACTCATTATATTTCGTTGTGATTTTGTGTATTGAAACATTTTTGTCAATACACTGTAATTTTGTCGATGTGTGATGTTCAATATTCAACTGATCCTTGCCTTCTTAATGATGCTGGACATATGTATGAATATAAGTGATACAAAATGCAATCAAACAGCGAAAACAGTCGATAGAATTGTTCATATAAATTTTATGTAAACAAAATCGAACATTTGAATCTCATGTTACACATACTTTCATTCTTTAAACGAGTAAGAGTCAGCAAAACGCGCATTGTATCAATACCGTTGTATGCTTTGAGATTCAAACAAAAACGGCAACACATTTGAGTGAGTTTGAATAAGACTGAAAGACTAATAGGAGAAATAAATTGTAAAATGTTAACGTAATAAATGAACAATTTTATTAGAAACTATGCATATAATCAACTTTCCATTGACACGAAAATTACCACCGAAATGGGTGAAAACGTTACATTTTTCAACGTTAAAATAGATAAAAAACGTTACATTTTTGTTTGCTGGGTAAGCTGGAATGTTCATTAGGTTTTTCGAACTAACAAAGAAAGGTTGTGTGTGAATTGTCATTTATCGACAGCTAGACGTACACTGAATATTCTTGTATTTACATGAATAAGTGTTTTGAATTGTGATCAAGTGGTGAATTAAATCGTTATCAAAATGTAATTAGTTATTTGCCATTCCATCGCTATAATTATTTACTAATTATTTCCGTTAATTTTTTTTTCATCTATTACTCAATTTTAGGCGATTATTGTTATTGGCAGTGATCTGTTATTCCCTTTTGCCATTATTTCATACATACGTCCATAGATTCGCGGATAGATATGTGAGTTTTGACGAGCCGTGTACGATACAAGCAGATGATTTACAATATGCAAATGAATCATGCACGAAAAATCCTTGGACTATTTGGAATACTTTTGGTGAAATTACTGAATTGCAAATCATAGGCAAAAATAGTACAGTGCCCAGACGTTTTGTAGAAAAAATACCGAACGTGGAATCACTCAGAATTCGAAATAATAGTTTAACATCAATCGATGGAATGTCAATATGTCAATGGAAACAATTGCAATGGATTGACGCCGATTTCAATAGTTTGGGAAAATTGACAAATGGTTTTCTGTTCCATTGCAAGCAGCTGAATAAACTGTTGCTTCGCAATAACAAAATCAAGGAAATCGAATCCGACGCATTCATCGGCTTAAAATCGTTGCGATATTTGGATCTATCATCAAACAAACTAACTTATTTAGATAAAAATGTTTTTAAACAGTTAAAAAAATTGGAAAATTTGAATTTGAATACGAATCGAATCCAGAAAATAGATTTTGAATTATTTCGATATAACATGTTGATTGGCGTTTTGAGTTTAAGCAATAATGATTTAAAAACGATTCCATCTGAATTATTTCTATTGTTGGAATATATAGAAGTTTTTTTTGCTAATAACAATCCAATGTTAGGCAGTATCGACATGAGACATGCGGATTCGTTGAAGGAATTGAGCATAGCCAATGCGTCCCTGACTAAACTTTTTATACCATCAAATGTGCAAGAGGTGTATCTAGATAATAATCAAATATCTCAAATATTCGTTGAACCAAACAACACATTAGTTGATTTGAGTCTGGGAGGTAATCGCATTACTAGTCCACTACTTGAAGGAAACTTCAATCATTTGAAACGTTTATCTTTGCATGAAAATCCAATACCATTACAGTCAATAAATGACTTAAGCGTTATTAGAATAAAAACAAAATATCCATCGATTACATTTTTATCCATACCAACTATAGACGATAGGAAAGCTGAAAAAATGATATTGGAAGCGGAAGAAAACCAAATTGTTTTCGCAATAGATCGCAATCGAAACGATTTACGTTTTGACATTCTATACGATTTGAAGTATTTACAATTTGAGAACCAAAATTAAAAGTTTTTTATAACATCTTCAATAAGAAAATACTTCACAAACAAGTGGAAAAATCTTATCGTTGCAAAAACAAATGAATAATACTGTACCAATCAGATGGTTGGGTTTTTATTTAAGAAAAAAATTATCTAATAAATACTTTTTCTATCATTTCTATTTCATTTGCAAGAAGTCTTCAGCTAATTTTCTTGCATATTATATCTAGGTATAGATGACGATGTTACCATTATAAACATCAAACCCCCCTATCTTCACTTTGTTCAGCTAAACAATCTTGTGGTTAGTCGGTGATTTTATCTATAACTGTAGCATACATTTTAATTGACTGAAATTTATAACAAAATTGTCAACAAACAAAATAAAGCAAAACACAAATACAATTGAGAAAAATTGGTTTTATTGGATGAGTGGGAATGAAAGTGAAACTAATTCGCAACACTTGCAAAATGCAACAAAAAATCAGGGGCTTTGAAAATGCAACACCAAATTGAAAGACATGGATGGAACATCAAATGATAAATTAATATTGAACTCGATGTTTCATTTTAAAACGCCTCCGATTTTTTTGTTACATTTCTAAATGTTGCGAGAGAGAGAAAGAGAGATTAACATTACATTTGATTAGCTTTTGATCAGAAATCGAACACCTTTCCGTATGTGTGCCGTCGTTGTAATAGAAAAGAGAATAAAGCAGCGGCGAGTGCATTCCACACGTTACGATTTGTGAATCATGAACACGATCGAGAGGATTTTTTTTATATCAAACGCATTCGAAAGTGTAGCGATGAGAATATTTCGATAAATATTCCTCAACTCGCTATAGGTATAATAATACTGAAGAATTTTGAACTTGCTATTACTTTCGATTTATACTTTTGTCTTATTTATTGAGAAAACGTAAAGTGGTATATTTGTAGGCAAAATTCATACATTTTTTGATGAAAAATATGTTTTTGGTTCCCAGTGCGGAAAAGTACATCTTACGAATGTAAGACCATAATAATCGAATATTCGAAAACGAAGTGAGTGGATAGCAGCCACGGATGATATTTTTACTTTTGTTCGTTGCCGCCATCCACTCACTTCGTTTTCGTGCGTCGCCGCTATTCACTTGGCTGTTTACAAGCGACTTATGCATGCGGCAATTACCGCATGTAATACCAATTGGTATGAATACCATTTGGTATACTATACTATATTTCCAATGTATGGTATTTCTTCGGCATTTAACATATGTCAAACCAAATTTGACAGAAAGCTATATTGACAACTGAAAATGAGGTTATTTCCACAACTATTCGAAATGAATGATTCAGAACGAAGATGTGTACAAAACGTAAGAAAAAAGTTAAACATTGTTTTCAATTAAACTCAATTCTTTACTCAATGTGTTAAAAACTTTATTTTCAAAATCAATCAAAAATTCACATTCTTGACCCATAATAACTCTCAATTTACTTTTATTTTAATTTTATGTGATATCTTTTAAGTTTTTCGGTCAATTGGAATAATGAATAGTATTTACATTTCCAACTTCGATAAATTTTCAAAAAATTGAGCCATTTTCTCACGTGCTAAGCACAAATGCAACAGGGTAGCTGAATCTCATCCGGGATCATTTTATTGGAATATCATGAAATTTTATACTTGTTTTGCTTTTCAAGTATTGCTCAAAGCTATTTGAAAAGGTTTTCCTGTAGCTAAATTTGTGTGCCATATATTTGTACTGAATTAATATTAGATTTTTAAGTGAGAAAACGGCCAACTTTTACTCATTCGGGTACTCTTTCATTGAATTAAGGCAAAAAATATTTCTATACTAATCTCAAAAGCCGTTTATAGGTTTTTTTCTTCAAATTTTTGTTTATTGTCCAGCCAAATATCTCTGTTCGTTTTTTTAAAAAAAATATAAGGCAATTGAGTGCAGTCCATTTCAATTATCTCAGACCAAAGCGATCAATTTAAGGTACATTCAATTGGGCTTGTACATAATATGAAAAATCAATTTACATTTTTGTTTTCTATAATATAAAGGAATATCATTTTTTTCCCGTTTACTAAAAGAATATAAATACTTAAGTACATTTATGGAAGGAATCTGTTATTGATAAAGTAACTTACATTTAAATTGATATTGTGTTTTCATACCCTACCGACGAAAAGTTCGGAATACATTCGAAATATTTTCAAACCATTTAGGATCATATTCCAAAAATTATTTTGAAACTTTATTGAATTTTTCCGATACTTTTTATATGAAAATTTGGTTTTGTATTCCAATATTTTTTTACAGTTTTGGCGGTTACGAAATTAAAACCATTTTTAAAAACCATGCAGATATTGGAATAAAAACGTAAATCTATTTACATATAAAAAATAGTAGAATTTTCAATCGAATTTTCCAAAAAAAAATAAAATCGGAGAACATGTGTGGAAGATCCGATAGATTTCGTCAGGAGGATAATCAAAGCTTTGTTCGGATTTATTATTGTTTCATAATGATATAAAAAAGAATATTATATCACATGAACAAACTTATATTGACGGTTTTTTTGAGCTAAAAATATTCAGTTGAATTCTTGGTTAAAGTATACTTTGAAGATCGATATTATATAAGTTTCTGGAAAATAGTTTATTTATATCTAAATAATATGATGTGTTTTAAATTATTTTACAATAAAAGATGACATGTTGACGTAACATGAAATTGGTCCAGGTTTTATCATAATCAAATTGAAAAACTTCACATGAATTTCACACGTGGTTTCAAGCTTTTGGTTTCGTCCAAAATAATTTCTTTTTTTTTCGTGAAAAATTGAACATCACACATGCAAGTACATATTGCCATTAGATATGTAAATATATATTCAATAGTTTAACTAAATATGGTCAGAGAAAACGCAGTCTGATATTCTACAATTATCGTTTTAAATTAATCGCTCTTGCGGCGGCACTTTTAAAACATTATCCATTTCCAAACGAGGATTGCAATATTCTTGAGCGCTCGGACTGTATGTACCGCGCGTCGCTCTTTTGTTACGTGCCATTATTAAGAAGGCAACTAAAAATATTCCACCAATAATAAGAATACCCACCAAAATTGGTATAACAACAATCGCAATCGCAGTTGGTGAAAATCCGCTATCTTTCTCCGATACCGCCTATTAATGAAAATAACATTTATGAGAATAACGCCATGCAATCTTATGTGTGACATTGAAGAATGGAAAAATCTTGCTTCTGCTACATAATAGAAAAAATAAGAGACTATTATCACAAAAGAGTTACCTGTTCGGTACAGTTTTTGCCAGCATACTCATTTGTACAATTACAATAATAGTCAGCCACATCAGTGCATTTTTCCATACAAATGCCGCCATTTGCGCAGGGGTTAGGAACACATGGATCTTCAAGCGAGCAGTCGTTTCCACAAAAACCATATTGGTTGCATTTACAACTAAAAATTGAGAAGGAGAATTTTTTTAAAGATTTTATCTTTATAAATTGTGCTGAAGATAAATTGAACTTTACTAGCAAATAAAACTTTTCATCAGAAGATCTCTCTTGTAAAAATAGAAAGATTAGTAATTTACCTATATGATCCCAGTGTGTTTATGCAATATCCGCGACCTCCGCAGTCAATGTGATCTATCTCACATTCATTTATATCAGTTTCACCTGAAAATGTTTCATACAAGATTATTTATCATGTAGTTTTTTTCTTCATGAATGAAGTTCTTAAGTACTTTACTCAGAAAGCACACTGTTCAATTGTGAAGAAAAATAACTTACAGTTAATGCCTTCGAATCCAGTTCCAGCGCATCGACATTGATATCTTCCAATTAGATCCAAACAGTCTCCATGCACGCAGGGAGAACTTTCACATTCATTCAAATCACTTTCACCTGTACACGGATAAAAAGTTGAGTAAAATTCGATCAAAAATATTTCATCAAAAAAATAAATGAGTAAAACTTACAAAAAGTGCCGGTGTAGCCTAAGCTGCATTGACAAACTGGAGATACGCCGGTAGTCAAACAAAAGCCTCCATTTTTACAAGGCTCAACTGCACAGAAGGGAATATCACACAAAGCACCCTGTCGTTTCGAAAATTCGATAAAAAAATGAGAAATTTTCATTTTGATAAAAATGGATAATTTTTTGTAAAACATACTTGATATCCTGGTCGGCATGAGCATGTGAAATTATTTCCTGTTGTTGAATCTGAAAATAATGATAAAAATAATTGAGACTTTTTCTATGTATTCCAAATGTATGTGGCTTGAATGCGTACTGTGTCCATCAATGCAAGCAAAGCTACCAGTCTTGCAAGGCTTGTTTTCGCATGTCACCAGCTTAAGAATATCACATTGTGGCCCATCATATTCCTCTGTACAAGTACACGTATATGATGCAAGCAGGTCTGTACAATTTCCTCCATTGTGACATGGTTGCGATTCACATTCGTTGATTTCTAAAAGAGAATTTAAATTTTAAATAGTCTGCACATGTGTGATAATGATCATAACAGTGGAAATTTACCAGTTTCACAGTGCATTCCAGTGTAACCTTGTTGAAAAAATAAAATGAGAGGATATTGTAAATTAAAACGATGATAAATCTTGGGCAATCAACAGAGACAAGGATAATTAAAAAGTATAATTTATTTCTCACCTGGAACACATTTGCAAGAATAATTTGCAACGAGATCAATGCATGTTGAATTATTCAAGCATACAGCGGTAAGACATTCATCCGTGTTTTCTGAGCAATCGTCCTGTTCACAAATCGATATTTTTTTTCAAATTAAAATGTTTATATACAATTACTGCTTATTTAACACAAAGTAAAACTGTACCTGTTCATAACCGGCGGGGCATGTGCATGCATAGTCATCGTTGGGATTCGTACAAATACCACCATTTCGACAATCCGATTGGAAACATAAAACGCAACCTTCTTTTGGTTTGGTTGAGTTCAATCGAAAACTTGAAGGTGGTCTATTCTTCTCGTTGTAAATTTCGTCATGTGGAAAGAATGGTAAAAGGTATCCGCCTATGCGAGCCTCTCCAACGCATCCTTAACAGAGAAATATATGACAAAAATGAATAAAAGTCTAAAGATGATTTATAACGGATTTAATACCTTTAAACGCGGCACCTTCATCGTCTCCAATTAATTTTGAATCGATTGCTGGCTCCAACCCACCCAAATAGATTAAATTTGTGCCTGAAAGTAAATTATACGCATTTTATTATTCTTGATGAAAAACAGTTAACTTGAAATTTTGAATTTGAAGTATACAAACCTGAAAACAATTCAACAAATGCATTTTGATCAATCTCCGCTGACGTTGACTGTTGAGTATCGTATGCTTCATCATATCCTTTAAAATGTGCCTTAAGCACATTATCTTGAACATTAATAACTAGAGTTTGCCAATCATAGTTAGAATTTTCTTGGGTGAATCTTTTGATTTCGGGTAGATCGCCAGTTAAATTCCATAGTAGTGTCACTTGATTCTTATAAATAGCAATTTCAAAGTATTTTCTTTGATTTTGAGCATAAAGCAATGTTCCCCCCGTCTTTGTTCTGTACGTAATTTCGATTGAACCTTTCAGTTTCAATTCGTTTGATTTGATTGGTTCGATTTGATGGAATGTGAATGCCAATGGATTCATTTTATCACCTTGGAAGGTGACATTAGTCTGACACTCAAAACCGTCGTCTAGATTTTGACAGATTCCATTTCCTGAAAAAATAGCACAAAAACGGTTCATTTTTAAAAAAAATGTCACACTCTATACCATTTTTTATTTCAAACTCACCTGGACAAGTGGTCAATTCACAGAATTGCGTGTCTTGACAATAACGACCCACATATCCCCGTGGACAAATGCAAACAAAATCATTCCATGTATTTCGGCATGTTGCTGAATGTAGGCATGGGTCATGTCTGCACAAATCGTCCGATACCTCACCAGCCAAAATGGATGTATCATCAAAGTACGCGATGCCCAATCGTTTTGGGAGTCTCAAGCTTTTATCTTGAAGCGGAAACAGTTCAACAATCATCGACTGTGAACCATTTGATATCTGGATATCTTGTATAATTCCTTTGAAATAGTCCTTGTCGGAGTTCACCAGTGATATTTCATTTTCACTGTCATCGTCTTTCGATTGATACGCAGTCGGTGGGCCACCCAAATACAAATTTTCAGCATCCAATGGTCCAACCGAACTAAGTGTTTTTCGAAAATATTCAGTACCGTTGATTTTGACCTGAACAAGAGTTTGATTACGAATCACTTGCAGAAGATGGACGAATCCATTATCTAGCCGATTGCCACCAACTGGTTGCTCTTCATAGCTACCGTTTATTTGAAATTTAACCAATAATTCACCACCATTCAATTTGGCCGAAACACATGAAAGATTACCACCGCCCGAAGCTTTTTTGGGATCGCTTCCAATGTAAAACACATGACCTGTGGGCTGACGCGTTCTTACAAACATTGAAATATCAACCACACTGCGTAACATACGTCTGGCAGATTCTGTTACATTGACAAAAACGACGGAATGTGTAGTATTTTCATTTCCGAATGTTGCCGCTGTTATGTTGTATTCACATTTATCGCCGAGATGAGGTCGCCGGCAACTACATTTAAATACAGACCATTCGTCAATACATTCGCCATTAATCCCGCACGGATTTGGATCGCATTGCGGATTTCGATGGCAACCTAAAAAAAAGATTAATTAATTAACGGCTCAGTTTGTTTCACAACACTACGAGTACATACCTGGTTCTATATTTTCCAATGTTTGATTTGGAATTTTCTCCAACGGGAATATCCATTGACCATTGATCGTAATATCTTGCATACAACCAACAAAACTGGATGCCGCGTGAGTTAGGTGCCTCAGGTACGTCGTTAGACGTGGAATAGATCCACCTTAATAAGTGATTGAAGTCGAAATGATTACCATGATTTTTAGCATTCTATCGTATTGAGTTACTTACCAACATACGTTGTAGGAAATACGGTGTAACTTATACTTGAATCATATTGTGTAATTGGATAGATTGTTGTCTCTTCATTGGCCGATAAAAGCAAGTGTGTCGAGTTAATGGCAACGACAACTCTATGCCATTGGCTATTATTTAAACCACTTCCAATGAATACACCTTCCCATTTGTTGAGCTTCATAAAGAATAAAATAATTATTATTACTAAAACGATATGATGGTGGTGATATTACAATACTAACCAAAGAAGAATGAAGATTCAGCCGGCCGTTTACTAATTCCAGAATAAATCGATTAAGACCGGTTTCAACTGAACCGCCTCCGCTGCCAAAGACCAAAATGCCATTTGGCAAAGTTGTTTGGAATCGCAAACTGATGTCGTACCCTTCTGCACGGTTGGTGTAAACAGTGACCAAGCTCTGTTTGTTAAGTGATAGCGTTGTGTCTTTCTCACATCTTTCACCAGTGAAACCATCAACACAACTGCAATTGAAATGGTGCTGGGTCTCATTTTCCAGTGATGGTGTGCAAAGTCCATCGTTTAGACAGGGAAAATTTTGACACCCAATCAACATAACAGAACAGTTTCTACCACCCCATTCTGGATCACATTTGCAATCATAGTAACCTTAAAAAAATAAAATAAAAACGTCTTAATCGGCATGCGCATGATATGTGTCTAGTAAATGATTTCAACTTTATAAAGTCATAAATTAAAAATTGCAATATTGCCATTTTCCAATCTAAGGTTGGTTCTTACCAATGCGATCAAAACATTTCCCATGAATACACGGCTTATACGCTTCACATTCGTCAATTTCTATTTCGCACAAGGTTCCTTCATATCCATTTTCACAGCTGCATGTAAATTTGTTGACCTAAACGAGAGAATGTATATTATTTTAAATATACGACTCTATGAATGAAATTCAACTTTAGAATCTTTGGAGTTTTGTTCTATATTACGGGTATTCAATTTCAAATATTCCCAATTTTTTTAATTATAAATCTACAAATATCTTTGTGAATTTTATCTCCAAAGAGAAACTAATTTTTATAAAACAATAAGAAGTTGTTTTGATCGAAGCAAAAAACATAAAACGACCTCAAATGCACTTTTCATACATTATAAGCATAAATACTGTTTTTCAATCAATTGCTTCAATAGCACTAACCGAATTGATTTTGGAGTTTTTGTTTTCTGATATTAACGAGTCGTTAACGAAAAAAAAAATGCTAATTGAATGTCAAGTTTTACGACTGACATCATGTTAACAATGCTCAAAAACTTGCCTGACATTTTCTTGATTTTCGTAACAAAATTAAAACATTTCGTCGATGATAAAATCCACAAATTGTGGTCTGCATTCACATGTTTAGATGCAAAATGTTTGTTAAATTACAAAATGAATGGAATAAATATGAATGAGTCAATGAGTGTTAAAGTGTTAGTTATGGCAAGCGTATGCCCCAAAATTACCTCATCATTACATATTCCATGTATGCATGGGTCTGATGCACATTCATCGATATTAATCTCGCAGTTGTTGCCCTTTATTCCTGGTACGCAAACTATAAATGAAATTCAACGTAGTAAATTCATCGGATATCAGTGAGAGTGTTAATCATATTCAGAATAAATCTTCATCGGTACATACCACATTCATATCCACTTGCATTTTCATAAGAGAATTTCTCATAAAATATTCGTGGCATCTCTATGTCTGTGTGTTGGTTTGATAGAGCGTATAGAGTTTTATTTGATCTTTCCAAACATGTTCCATTGTTCTGGCAGGGATCAGTCGCGCATTCATCTATGTCGATTTCGCACATTTTGCCACTATATCCTGGATAGCAGTTGCACTATAGAAAAAAAACACTCAATTATTCTAAGAAAACTTGTGTAAAATATACGAAATCGAAAAATATCTATTGAATTTACATGATAGTCGTTGATTTTGTCAGTACATTCCCCACCTGAAAATACAAAATGCGATAAACACGTAAAATAACAATTATCATATGATGCAATTAAATGAGATGTTGAAATCGAAATATAAACGCAAATATTTTGTCATATTTACCATTTACACAAGGTGAAGATAAACATTCGTCAATGTTATTTTGACAATTATCTCCTGTAAAACCGGTGCCTGTTCCATATAAATATAGAACAAAATAAATGAATTACTTTTTAGCATTTTTGTGTTATTCGGACTTTTAAAATCAATATGTTCATACCTGAACAGTTACATAAAAAGCCACCCAACATATCTTGACATTGACCTCCATGTTGACAGGGCTGTGACTCACAATCATCTGTTAATAAATAGGGAATGTTTAAATTTTTTGTCATTTTAAGTTTCGGCAAAAAAATGTAACTACTTTAATATTATTATCATTTTGCTGCTTTCTGTGAGTATCTCAAATGGGTTTTTTGATTTTGTAATTACCTATATCAATTTCACAATGTTTTCCAGTCATCCCGTTTATGCACATACATTTATATTCGTCAATTCCATCAACACACGTAGAACCCTTGAAGCAGGGACTACTGGCACAGTCATCAATATCGTGAGCACAGTCCTTCCCTTCATACCCCGGTGGACAAACGCACTTGAAGTCATTAACCTATCAAAGAGGTAAAACTCTTTCAGTATTTAACTCGAAATGTATTGCCATTTTCAAAGTGTCTATCACCTTATTTATACATGTTGCATTATTTTTACATGGTTGACTTAAACACTCATCAACATCGCTTGAGCAATATATACCCGTATAACCTGGTTCACAATAGCATTTAAAGGTTCCAGGCTGATTTACACAAATTCCATGAACACAAATGTTCGGATTTTTTTTACATTCGTCAATATCATTTTCGCACAATGTTCCGTCGAATCCATCCGGGCAAATACACGCAGACGAATTTCCATTGCATGAACCACCATTCAAACAGGTGCAATCTTGACTTGAAATGGATTTACATTGTACACCAGTTGAATCGGATTCACAATCATATTCTTTATTCTCACACATTTCTCCACTAAATCCTCTTGGACAAATACACTGAAACGATTCGTTCCGATTGATGCATGTACCACCATTGTCACAAGGTTGCGTCACACATGGATCCATTAACTGTTCACAATTGAAACCAACAAAGTTGGACGGACATTCACAAACATAGCTGCCGTACGTGTCATAACAAACACCTCCGTTTAGACACAAGTTGGCATTTCTTTTACACTCATTCACATTATTTTCACATAGTGGCCCCGAATATCCAGTGTTTGAACAATTACAACGAAAGCCTGCCACTTCATCTTCGCAAATTCCGTTATTTTGACAGGGATTAGACTCACAATCGTCTTTATTCACCTGAAAAATACAAAAATTCACATGAAAATATAAATAAAAATTCGAATTTAATGAATTATTACTTCGCATCTGGCTCCAGTAAATCCTTTCGCGCAATCACACTCAATTTTCGAAGTGCCGTCAACAACGCGACAAATGCCATTATTTAAGCATGGCCGATTTTCACACAAAGGATGTATCGTGATTTCGATTTCGCAATGAGCGCCGGTAACACCTGCTGGACAATTACAAGAGTAATCACCACGGCTGTCTTCAATACATTTTCCAGAGTTGCACGGATTTGAATTGCAAGGTGATCCTTGATCGATTTCGCAGTTTTTCCCCGAATATCTAGCCGTACAATGACACACATATGTGTCTGCTTGAGAAACACAAACTCCCTTCTGCATGCATGGCTCATGAACGCAATAATCAACTGGAGTTCGTACTAACACATCGTTTTGAGTGCATGGACCTTGCATCAAAGGACACGGTCCAAATTGAATTGGATGATTTTGAACACTTGAACTAAAATTCAGGCCTATGAATTCAAAAAAAAGCAATGTGTTTGATTACAAAGACTTATTTTGAATCTAAAATAAAAAAGTGAAAATTTTACCTGGACCATGCAGCATACAGCCACTATATGTAGTAGCCAATATAAGTATGGCAGAATCATCACTGGGTGCATCGGTTAGAAACAGAGTGTTGTATGTTGAATTGGCAATTGTTGATTCTTTTCGGTCGATCAACAACTTCAAGGTTCCCATTTGCGGAAGGAACTCAATGGTATGCCATTTATTGTCTAACAAATTTGTAGTGATTCGTGCCTCAGTATGAGCATTTGGCGTGACCAATGAAATAGACACATAATCGGCATAAATCGACAATAAAAATGTTCGGCCGCCATACCTCTGTGAAATCAATTCACCGCCTGAAAAATAAAACCAATATGGTCTCATTAAAATAATACCTCATAAGCTATTGTTACTTATTAGTAATCGTTTTCGGTCTTATGCAAGTAAATTGTACAACTCTGTTAACATTTTATTTGTTTGTGCAACATTGAATATGAGGCACCAATCGAATTCGCATTACAATGAAACGTGCATTAGAATGTAATCAATTCAAAAGCATTTTTTCCTATTTGCAGCAATAAAGTGTAACAAAGTTGCCACAGAAAGATATTTCATCAAGATTCAGCATGACAGCCACGGGGAATGCAACACTCCTCTATTTAGTTTATCATACGCCAAAACACAAACGACTGAACTCAACCTCTATACTTTCAGTGAATTTTATTGTAATCGCGACATTTACATTATTGATTTTGATGTTTGCATGGAAACTGTTAAGTAGATTCACATTATGTTTGGATTTTAATGTAATTTTTTTATTACATTAAACTTAGTTATTACTTTACTTCAATTCAATAAACCGCTAAATATTTACCTTTACAACTTCTTATGCTGAACGCAGAGTGTTTCCACATTGGCATTGGTGTTAACAGTCGTAAATAAGACGATCCATTGAAATAAGCTTCTCGATTTTCATTTGCTTCTGTTGTTCCAGTCACGTGCGGTGTACAGGCTAAAGAAATCAATATTGAAAATTTATACACATTCACCGCATACATGTATTCTTCGCCCAAACCATCTATGAAAAATCCAATAAAGTTGCTACCGAAAAAACCTAATCACATGATCAGGTGATGTTTCATGAGAAAATCCAATTGATTGATTTAATATTCTTCTTTTATCTTGAAATCACACACTGAATTCGAAATATTTAATGGAAAAAATGCGCATTCTCATTACATAGATAATATCTAGTAAAGTATGCAAGTACATTGGCCCATTTCTCGTTTATTCCGTTCACAGGCATAAAACAAAACTGTTTTTTTCACATTTGATGATCTATTTGACCTAGAAAAACATGTAACACATAGTTTTTGACTTTTCAGCGAAATATTACATCTTCGGAAAAATCAGCAATCAATCAAAAAGGTCAGAAGATATGATGAGTTTAAGAAACATAAATAACAATAATAACTGCCATTTTTCAATCTATATGCGCGTGTCAAACAATCTACCTTACGCAGAAAAAACAGCACACACGCATACACACATAAGTTCACTAACACATACGCACTATTTGTACTATAACTAAACACCTTTATAACCTGCGTGCGAACGGTACGTGTATAAACGATGGGAAATTACAAACACAGGTAAACAACAATACATAACTTTGTGAACGTGTTGAACGTACTATAAGCGTTCTTTGAGACGTGTGTAATATTGGTGATTGAGGGCGGAATACATGAAAAATTAATTTTTATATGCATTATGTACTTTCCAATCTACTTTTTTGTTCATTATTATTCTTGCAATCAATTTGGACTTTATAGGTTTTCTTTTTTAGACAAACTTTACTTCTTTTTAATTTGATTATTTTGTCCTTACCGATGAAAATAGCCACTGAACAGAGGCCCCAAAAAGTAATCTGACTCATATTGTTGTTCCACACATTTGTTAAATATACATTTAAATTCTTTATTTTGCACAATCGAGAATAATTTTGATTATATTTTGATCCCACAAACACACACAAAAAAAAAACAAATTATAAAATAAAAAATTAAGGCCCACTATTGATGAAACGTATAAATAATAACACAAAACAGTACCAGAAAAAAGAGAACAAAAATTGAACAATACAAAACTTCTTGCACTCAAGTTACCAACTAACTGAAGTTGCTGTACACTACTTTACAATGTTTGTCTAAAGCTTGTTAACAAAACGACATCTATTACGCTACTCTATTTCATACATGGTAAGCATGTATTTGTTGTTTATGCCGCTTTTATGTGTTGATCATTCTTAAGTTTTGTTCACAGTGCATACTGCAAGTGTATATTGAATGAGTTTGTTTGTAGATACCTGTTGTTAGTTCCATTTTCCATTTCATTCACATTTGTGGTTTTGAATGAATCATTGAATACATAACAAGAAAGAGACTTGTTTTTGCATTCCGAAAATAAAAAAGACATTCCGTTATTTGCTTTAATTATAATTTGGTTTTATTTATTTTGAATTAGGTGAATGAATACTTACAAGAGAAACATTTACTTACATACATTTATTACCTTCATTTAACTGCTAAAATGTTGAGCAAAAAATAAAGGCACATTATTTCAGAAATAAGATTGTCATATAATTTATTACTACGGAAAATAAGTTAATACATTTTGATTTCTACATTTTAAACGTTTGTGATTTGATCGGCTAATCAATATCAAGAATGATGGCTCCACGACTCATATCTTTTTCAACTTGTAAATGTATATATTTTGAAAGTGTAGAAAATCGACGATTACCATTCCAACTTCCTTTAAATTAATATCGTTAATAAAAAATAATCTTATATATAGACATATTTCATATGTTCAGTTGATTAGATTTTTTTTTTTTGAAAATTCGTAATAATTGATGACATTAGAAGAATGATAAAATATTAGTAATGTTTTAACCGAATGTCAACCAAAGTTGGTTATGATAACGTAAGCAAATTTTTAAAATATTCACTTGAATGAAAAAAAAAAAGCAACAGAAACAAAGATCCTTGATAAATTCATCTTTACAAAATCTATGGATGAGACGCAATCGCTTTAAACTGATAGACAAAAAATAATCAAAAAGTATAGAAAGCAATACGTACACGAAAATGCATGAATGTATAATTCTTGAATGAAAAGTAATTCCGTACACTCAACAGACTGAATGTAATCCAACGTGTAAAAAACACTCTCTCCAAATATTACGATGCCTCGTCGAGTGAGATTCACGTCGTCGGATTAGATTCCTTTTATCGAAATGGGCGGATTTTTGTTATCGCATGGAAATCTGTTTTTTTGTGGCGTGTGTTTTTCTATTTCTAAGAGAGCTGACACTTGTCTGTGTATATACCGTCAAAAGATCTGAAAAATAGCCATGCTACATTCTATCGTTGTTAAATAAGAGTTATTCATATTGATATAGTATATTCAATATCCGTTGTCTTTGGTATGTGTCTCATCCTAATTAGATATTGCTAATTTCCTTCTTTTACATTTGTAAATAAACAAATGAGGTAGCTCCGCTACTATTAATTTTTGCTATATGTAATTACCAAATTACAAATCAAGTGAATTTTTCTAAGCAGTAGCAACACTTTTTTTGGAAAAGTTTATTTTTGAGTCTAATGCGGTCTATGCATATTATGTGAATGTGACTCAATTTTCTTCTTACCGTGAATCGGTGATGTTGGCGCCGATGTCGATTCATTATTACCTTGGCCGTCATTATTTTCACTATCATCAATGTGTGATTCCGCTTCAATAATCCGTCCTCTGTTATTTAAAAAGTCACGGATATGTTGAACAATCAACTCAATCGCAACTGGAGAAGAAACAAATAATTTCATAACTATCACCCTGAAATAATATTGTTCGTAAAACCTTTGAGAAGATTATACATGCTAAAAAAATTGTTATGAGAAGCTTATAATAAATAACACAAAATCAAAAGAAAGACTAGTACGAGATGAATTTCTATTTAAATTACTCGTTCACAGTGCACACCAAAAAAATGTTCGATAATGAAATGGCTAAAATCTACCTTAATAATGATGAAAAGTCATGAATAAGCAAAATAATACAGCATGCTTTCAATGAACGCAATTGTTATTGTTAAACTTGCCAAAGATGTAACGCCATCAAGAGAAGCTGCATATAATAATTTTGAAAACAGTTGCTGTGCATTGTTACAGTTTTTGGACACTATTTTGATAGTTCGCATTACTGGTATGAGTTTTTTTTTTGTCGAAAAAATCAATGTTTTTAGTAAGTATAAAATGATCGTGTAATGAACTGGTTTTATTTTTTTTATATTTCTATTGTATTTATGCTATGCTGTATCGTCCACCCTACAATATAGGGGCTTAAATAACATGCTATGCTTTATGTTGACAATTCACATTTTAATAATAATATTTTGTTAAATGATCATGTTTGTTTTATTTACTTTGGTTGTTGAAACATTTCTGATTTTATTTTTGGCGCCAAATTTTGGCGGCTAGAAACCAATTAGTTATTTTTTATTTTTTAGAAATTCGATGATTTGAACATGGTCTTAATTTTGCTAAATAAGATGAATATTTTGGTTTGTGGGCAAATTCACACTTGAAAAAGTAGTGATCTTGCACTTTTTTCTAGTTCAAGTTCTAGATATAATATCTTTTTTTTATTATGAAAACTTATAAAATATTTCATTTATTTGTATTTTTTTATGTTTTAAAAGATTTCTCTGCAGAATTATCAATTAGATGATTTGAAAAGAACATGTACCTTTCACATCATATCTAGATGATTATGCAAACTGGTGAGCTATAACAAAAAACCTTCTTCAGCAGAAAAACATCAAGTGCTGGTTTTACAACATTGCTGATTACAATAGTTGTGTTTTATCTTGTATGATTAGTTAGCCAGAATTCACCACCAAAAAATATGTAAAAAAGTTATACGTTCTTTTCAAATATATTCACAGACATTATATCGACAATTTTTAATTAATAAGATGCATTAAGAGAAAAATAAGTATTTTTAAAATGACAATATTGTTTTAATGCAGACAATAATTTGTAATCGCATAATCTAAATTATGAACTTGAAACTGTGCTGAGCAATTTCCATCATGGATCTGCTTCAAGTCAAAATTATCAAGTATTTTCGATTTTTCGATTTATGTGGACCTTTTTCAGACACCAGGTAAATTCGATCATGTTTTGGCACTTTTTCCATGTATTGTTATGGTGCAATTAAATTTGCACTGCAAATATTACTATTTGTTACCATTTTGCACGATTTCTGCCGAATATTGGTTTGGTGTGAAACGTTGTGGAAAATTATCGAAATAATATAAAATAATATGGCCCAATGATGAGCACCTTTTTTTGGAAAGAAGTAAATGCGAAAAGAAAACCAAACCTTTTTCCAATTAATAAGTAAGACATGCTTGGTGGTAGAAGTTTGGATAATTGGTACTTATATGAGGCCTATAATTTTACATAAACCTACGCTCTTTTTATACCATTTTCTTTGAAATCGTCGTTACCGTTGGATAATTGGTACCCTTTCGGCTGCAAAATCGTATCGCGTATGTGATGAACAATTAATTCAATAGCAACTGCATATTATTAAATAAGCGCATACAGGGATTTCCAACGAGACAAATTTCAACCGAAAAAAAAAAAATAAACAAAAAATGAAAATAATAAATCATACTGCTGTGTTTAATAGAAAAGGATTTATTCCCGAATCAACTTGATAAATAAATATATGTGAATTAAAGCAAATTCTATGGGGAAAGGTTACATAATCGTCGAATCCGAAAATTCCAATTGTATTTGATTTTAGTCACTATTTTAAAATCACAAAAAGAGACTTGAACTTCCATTTCATTCAAAACTTAAACGGCAAATTTCAAATTTCTCATTGTGATTAAACAGTTCGTTCTCATTTGAAAACTTGACAAAACACCAATGAATCTGGTTAACTAACTACGTTTGTGTTAATATCTATTTTACTTTGGATTTTTGTATTAGCGGAATTGCGATGATTACGAAAACCGAATTGAATTCGTCTTTCCCTTTCATGCATGCATTTTAATTTTCAATACGAAAAACAGTAGAATCGACTATACCACTACTAAAATATGAAAATTCCACTTGAAATTTTCCGTTTTTAATAACTTTAATAAAATGGAATAGACACGGAGAAAAATATACACACCTGAATTGTCAGCACCTCTTGGGATAATGACATCAGCAAATTTCTTTGTCTGTAAGCAAAGCAATAACTTATTGTCTATGGGCCGTTCGAATAGAATTCACAACAAAACTTACAGGCGAGCAAAATTCTTCAAACGCTGGTTTCACCAAGGTCATATACTGAAACGGAAGGTATTTTTGTTTTATATCGATTGGATTATTCATTAAACTGTTTGATACATACCTGCGTCAAAATATGTTCCAAGTCACGACCACGCTCAGTTATATCTCGAACCACTAAATTAGAAAATATTATTAGAATTTTACTGACATAAAGTAAGTCATCTCCACAGAAGCAACTAATATACACTTAGATGACGTACGTTTAAGTTAGATATTTTACTACATGGTACATAACTTTTTGTACATTTTTTTGTATCACGTCAAAGTCAAAGGAACATAAGATTTCGTTGGTAATAAAACAACAAAATGGAAGTGTAACTACAACCATATGGTGCAACTGGTTCATTTTCAACGAAATCTCACATCAATTCAATTAGATTAGAATTAAATTGATCTTTAGGAATTTTGAAAACTGTTGTGTTAAGCTATAGAAGTGTGGTTGAAATCAATCGAATATTGTAATTGCATGAATGAAAGTAGAATTTCAATACCTCTGCGCGAAAGACGCGTATCCGAATCTATGAATTGGAAAAAATAAAATAAGCCATTTAGTTTTATAAAATGTCGCATTTAATGTACCTGTATCGACAAATAGCTTCATGTGAAAGAGATCTCTGATGGCTGGAAAGTAGAAAACTAAAATTCCTTCAAATAGTACAACGTCAGCTGGATATATAACCAAATGGTTATCAGGACATCTAAAACAATTAACGTATAAACAATTTGTTGAACAATGCCAACCTGATTGTACAATTATACAATACTTACTGAGCGTTACTTTTATAATCATAAACAGGGATAACCACTTTCTTCCCAGCAAGAATTTTCTTCAATGTTTCAAGAAGGTGTTCTTCATCGAAAGCCGATGGATGATCAAAGTTGAAGAGACCCTTTTCAGCTTTTGCTCTTTCAGCAGGGCCCAACTGACGGTAAAAACTGTCTTGGCTAATGCTGACAACCTACACAAAATGTCAAATTAATTTCAAAGTGATACTAAAATGACTAAGGAAATCGATTACCTGACGTTCTGCTTGTCCTAGTTCTGATTGACCCAATTGTTCCATTATTCGTTTACAAACAGTCGACTATAAAATAAAATTAAAAATAATTTCATAGAATCACTACGTCCAATGTCAATTGATGATGAATACCTTTCCACTAGCCGTTCCCCCAGCAACTCCAATCAAAAATGGAGTTTTTGGTTCTAAATTACTAGGGATTCCATTTAATTTAATAACATCTGGTTCGTTCGACATTTTTAAGCTTTTCAAAATCCACAATAATGTAAAAGGCAAGTTTTACTTCTATTTACGTTCTATTCTTTTATTTGGCTGAATGACAACTGAGAATTTTCATGAAAAGTTGCCTTTACACAACGTGCAATGTATATATATATAAATAGAAGGTCCAAAAATTGTCTGTCAGTTACTTTTTGACAACGAAAATTAACTATAGATGTCATCTCAGTCACTGATTTTTCTAGCGCAATATTTAAATCACTATATTTTCCAGCATTTTTCCGAAATTGTATAGGAAAATCTAATAAAAAGAAAATTGTTTGTGTTTGTTCTCTGCATGAGTTTATTTTGTTTTCTTGTAATCTTCAATCTTCCAAAAATACAGTTAAACTCAATTTCTCCTGTTAGAACGATAGGCATGTTATTTTTCGGTTCTATCTTCATATGTGCCAAATGTTTTATTTATTTATTCATAAAGTGTCTTTTCAACAGCATTAAAGATTATATTTTTACATATTATTCAAAGAAAAAACAAACCTGGTATTCATTTAGAAAACTCCGAACATAATTTTTTTTATCATTAATGTTAGTAATGTAGGGGCAGAGTGGCTAATATGACTACTGCAAGAAATCCAGCACCATATAGATTATGGCAGAAATCATTAAAAAAATGTAGCATACAATCGGCTGATCACCGATTTATCTGAAATAACTGATCAACAGAAACTGCTCCACTAGGACGTAAAGGCAGACAATATATTTGGATTTTGTCATCTGTATCATCGCCTAACGTTATTCAGATGAGCTGAAATATCCATATGACAAAAACCAAATATATTGTCAGATGTCAGGAAATAAAGAAAAATGTTAGTAAATCGAGAAAAGTCTTTGAGCCCCAGAACTCTTCGAATAAATATTAGAAGCCACATAAAAGACTTTAGATTTGTTTGTCACATGTGTGCTTTGAAAGGTAGATAAATATTATCTCTTCGGGTTTTTCTACTTCCATCAAGCAAACAATTATTTCAAGCTATAACATGTATTGAGGATCGATCCAAAGAAAATTACTATGAATAATTAAAAAACACCTCTTTCAAAAAGAAATCTAAATCGCGAAATTTAGGGTATGTATCATTTATTGACCGTTAAAATTTATGTAATGCAAAAAAAAAAAAACATTTGATTTTTTTTTTTTGGGTTGCGAAAAATAATTCGAAATCATATAATACGATTTTAAATATTCTTGTGCGCACCAGAAGCTACTTTGGAAAAGTATACCGATTACTCGCTTGTTTGCTTTTTTTTGCATGAATTTATTTCGCTTCATCGTTCAAATAATTTGCAAGTTAATCACATTGTTCCGTACAATTTGTATGAAATAAAAGTGTTAACTACAGCACTAAAAATGTGTTCGATTTCGTTTCAAACTTAATCGATCATTTGAAATTATTTTCATTCTTGTTTTGATATTTATTTCGAATTTGATAGAACTATTATCGATTAAATCGAAAAGTACGGGTTCATCTACACTGTGACTTGCCAGAAGTTATAAAGGAAATGAATGTTCAATTAAAAAAAGGCGATAGGTTCAAATTCTCAACAACAAAAAATATTTTAAGACTGAAATTACTCCGGAAATTATTTGAAGACGTATAAAGATACACTTTCCAATTGAAGAAAAAGAAATGAGCGTTTGAAAATTTATCAGAAGCATTTTTAGGGTAAAATCGAACTATTTCATTGTTGCGGGTGCGGCTGCATTAATAAAAATGGTCCTGAATTTGGGGGTTGCATGTATTGTGTAGCTACCACAGGTGGACCATTCATAACGGGAATCACTTGAAATTGTTGTGGAGCTTGATATTGTGTTGTGCCCGCTGGCTGAGGACCTTGATGAAATTGCTGCAACAACAAAATATTATCGATTATTGAGATTACATGAGAGAAATGAGTTTTTAGTTATCTACCTGTTGGTGTGGTTGGCCAGGTGAGGGCGTTGTCGAGGGTGGAGTCGCAGTCAAGTACTGTAATTGTTGGGGTTGGTGAGGAGTTTCCGGGTATCTATTCAGAACCTATTCGACGAATTCATATATTCATTTGATTAAGTTGGTGAAAATTGAATAAAAAAAGTATGCAATTTGTATTTTGTTTACCATATGCGCATACGGTCCTTGAAATGTTTGTGGATGAGCTTGCGGATAAGGTGAAATATAGGGAGCCATCGGTGTGGCAACGTGTAATGGCGCCCCGGTTACTGCGGAGGCAGCAGCTACTTGAACTTGAGAAACAGGCACTGAAAATTATTTTAGTCGATAAGAGATATTGAACGTGAGTTCATTATAATTATATGCTTACATTGATTCTTTCGTTCATATCCTGATTTTCTAAGTCCCATTGAAGCTCCTGAATAGGCTAGAATAGTTGCGATCAAATGATATTTTAAATAAATAAAAATTTAATTCACTGAAATATGCATGCACTTACCAAGTGCTTGCTGAGCATGTTGTGGAGTTGGGTAGGCTTGTTGTTGTTGAACAAAGTATGCCATAGTCATAACGGGACCTTGTGTAACATGTTGATTGGGAATTTGTTGTGGCTGGGGAGTTGGCTGTTGTGGTGGATGCATTGGTATTTGATTTTGCTGTGCGACAGCGGGAGCAATATTTGGATGAACTGATTGAGTGATAACTGAAAGACATAGTCATGACATGTTTATTTTAAAATTCTGTTGATTTCTTCGAATATTTTCGAAATATTTTCTCTGATGAATAATAAACTCACCATTATTTGGTTGTGTGCCTGGTGTTTGGGGCGTATGGGGTCGCGATGAATTTGGTGTTACCGGAATTCGAGGTGTGAACGGCTTTGCCGCAGGATTTAAAGTATACTTTTTCGGTGCACTCATCTGTTTGTCAGATGAAATTGAATCATTTGCTACGCTGCCAGGTGTTTGCTTTTAAAACGTAAAAAATAGTATAAATCTCTGAATTACCAATCACTTTTTGTAAACAAAATATACTTACTGGTGTGGATGATGTAGGAGGCGAATTGCTAGACGAGCTTATATTTGAAATTTGTTGTGTGGTTTGTGAAGAAGGAGACTGATATTCTTGATGTGGCTCGGGTACATTTGGAGTTGATCGTTCTATTTCTCCTACGTTTAGTTTATAGAAAAATATATTTTCATGAGTTGAACTTCAAATTTCTTTCTAAGTAATATGCTTTAACCATCCCAGTTTCGCAATTCTAAATGAAAACATGTGGAAAAAAACATAAAAATATATATTTGTTCTTACGTATAGGTTGTTGTTGTTGTTGTTGTTGATGCTGCTGTTGTTGTTGTTGTTGCTGCTGCTGCTGTTGTTGTTGTTGTTGCTGCTGCTGCTGCTGCTGCTGTTGCTGTTGTTGTTGTTGTTGTTGAGCAGGTGGTGATGACGATTGTTGATTTTGTGCTGTAGCAATACCTATCGATTGTGATTGAACTGAAACAAAGTGATCATTTTAAAAGAGATTTTATAAGTTAAACGTTAAACAAAAGTTCATAGACATATTTGTACGGTAAAAATTGTACTTAATACGTTATTGATTAAATTACCTGGTGGTTTCTGAGCAAGTAGCGGCTGTTGCGGCTGATTTTGCGATTGCGTTTGTTGAACAACGCTTACGTATGACTGTGCGGGCTGCTCAACCTGTAAGCATATTTGTGTTAATTTTATTCTTAAAAGTAACTTGAGCTAAATTGAAAAATACCTTAGCATCCGGTAATTGATTCGTATTACTGCTACTTGGAGTTGATCCAGGTTTTGACTATTGAAAAAAAAAATTATATTAATATTTAATGAGTGAAATTGCAATCGCAGCTTAAATAAACAATTAATGAAGTAAGAGCTTATTGCTTAAATCTTATTACTTGTTGTTGCGGAATCGATCTCTTATCATCAGGATTCATGTTAGAGATTGTTGACTCGGTAGATGACTGGCTAGTATATTGCTTTAATGGATTTACGTATGGTTTTGAGAACGGTTTTGATTGATTTGCATTTTCTTCAAGTGACGGTCTCAATTCTGGTTGATTCTGATGTTGTGATGGTTGATTTTGCTCCTAAAAATCAAGTAGTAATTAAATCACGTTTTTTTTGTTATTTATTTCAATTTCAAGAAATTCCTCTTACATTTCCACGCTGTCCCTTCGATGAATTAAGGATGAAATTTTGTTTGAATTTCCGGAAGTCAGCAATTTGTTCATCACGTTGTGGAACTCTTTGAACTCTTTGTGGTTGTGGCGGAGGTCCAACCTGTTGCTGCTGTTGAATTACCATATGTGCTGGCATATTCTGCTGACTATCTTGAGCTATCATCGGAGAATTGTGATACATTCGTACCTATGACGTATAATGATATTTTTTATTAGATTTACTTCAATTGCAACACAATATGATTTGATTTTTTGTTTTTTTGTTTTCTACCTGTGTTTGATGTGGTGGAGGACCTTGATGAGATGGAGGTGGCATTTGATTTATTTGAGACGTAACCAACATTTGACTATTGCTATTATTGGTACTGATTGCTTCTGAAAACGTGGGTAAATTTCCAGTTTGAACTATTTGTTGATTCGGAAGGGGATAATGACGCATTCCACCTCGTTGAGGCATTGATAGACCGCCTTTATTATTATCGCTATAATAATGTTTTACCATCAGTTTAATTTATTTAATGAGTTTGTATGTCTCTAATCTTAATATAGAGGAATTAAATCTCGGAACAATATGATATTTATTAGATTATGTCACGAATATTCATGACAAACAGATTACTTATTTTCAATCATGGTCTAACAGGATTCAAGTTAAATATTTATGTTATAAGAACGAAATTGTCGGAATTTTTATTATAATTACTTACCGTATATTTTCACGTATTTCCCGTTCACGATTATCTCTATCTCTTGGGTCTCGATTTTCTCTGCTATCTCTATCAATGCGATCAACTCTATCTCGATCTATTCTGTCTCCGCGTTCATTTCGTTCACTTGAGTTTTCAAAAAGTCCATATTAAATTAGTCAATTAAGTGTTAAAAATGTATTTGCCTACTCTAAGGTTTGATTGTGTATGAGAAACCCAAAAAAATCTTTCTTCCATTATAATCGATTAGAGACCGATTTAATTTTCTGGCAATGCCAATGAAAGGAATCACAATCATAGTACCGTATAGCTGAGCCATTTGGCGAGTATACACAAAATCATTTTGTCCATACAAACCATTTTCAAATAAATAAATCAAAAGTTTACCTATCAATATCGGGTCGATGACGTCGATGATGATTGTGCTTCATTTCATTACTAGATTGATCATCGCCATTCAACTTGTGTGACACTTGAACCTTGAAAATGATTGACTTGATGAATTAAATAACATTTTTCTTTGAAATACGAAGAAAATTCTAACCTGTTGCAAAGATGGTTGATTATGTATTCGATGAATAAGTGGTGGCTGTGGTCCACTTTGCTGAGGTGGCGCTATATCCACAATAAAATAAAAAAATACCTTAATAAAATATGCAATATTCATTTGGAAATTTCATGATAAAATGTCAAATATTTACCAGAATTTTTCTGCACTGATTGCTGTGGCGGCAAGGAATGTGAAACCAGTGGCGAATATTTATTATTACTATTTTGTTGTGGGGACAAGACCGGCACTGACGACTGGCTTGAACTACTGCTGTTGTTATTACTACTATTCAATTGTGTCGGTCGGATGAGCTTTCCGACTTGAGTGTTATGCTGTTTACGACGGCCCGGTGCCACATATTTTCCAACTTTAATTTCATCCGGACTGCTCGATTGTGGACGTTCCACAGCAGCAAATTTAGCTTCCTCATTTTCATCACCATTTTCAATGTCTGTACGCTCTTTATATGCTGGTTGACTTTCAATTTCTTGCGCTATTTTTTCAGCTTGCTCTTCTGCATCTCTGTATTGTCAATCAAATAGTAATGGCATTGAATGAATGTGTATCAAAAGATGTATTGTGGGGTTTCTTTTTATCAAACCATTGAAAGTCCCCGTTTTTTTTTTAAATAGTTTTTACTGTTCTGTATAATCCAAACACTAAAAATATTACCTGAAATCTTGTGTATCGTTCTTTTGAATTTGTATTGTGTATCCAGACAGTGATTGATCAAAAGTTGATTGAACTCCATAACGTTGTTCATTGCACTATAGACAAATGACCCGATTCGGTATTATAATATGAATAATGTTTTATTAGAGAGACATATACTCACCGAAAACATATCATTTACATCCCAACCATTTGCATTGTTATCCAATTCTAAGCTACAATCTGCATCACCATTGACCGAATTACTTTCACCATCAAACGACCATGGTTCCAGTTCTTTTTCATCGAATCGTGATCCATTACACTTGGAAATAGCTGTATCTGTTTGAAAAGTGTCTTTCGTTGCATAATCTAAATCGGCGTCTTTGGCTTTGAAAAAAACTACGTCTGTCGGTTTGAATATCAAAACATCATATATTGCATCCAATGACACATTGTGGTCATCAAACGGTGATCCAGATTCTATAAAAATAGAAAAATTTCCAAATTAAATGTTAAACGTTTCGTCATATGTGTAACCGCACGAAGTTTTAATACCCAAATTACCGCTACTAGTTAGACTACTATTAACTGGTGTATTATTCGATCCAGTTGATGATGATGAAACCGGAATTTCAATCCGGTGCACTAGCTGCAATACAATTTCAAAATGTGGTGAAACTGTATAGAAGATCCCCTCGAAAATAGCTCCTGATTTTGTTTGAATTTGAACTATGTTTCCTATCTGTGAAGCGATCGCATGCATAAAGTGAACATTGTTATATACTCCTTCAATAGCAGCTGATCGGCCACGCTGCTGAGGTCTGAAAAAAAATTAAAATAAACAGGCTGTAAGTTGACACATACATAAATTATAACCTTTTCCATAATAGGTTATGTGCTAAAAGTTACAATCGAAGTGTCAAGTGTGAATACAATGTGTGCCAACAGATCAAAAAAGTGGCATTTAATTTTCATTTGCTGCCATTCCATGTATATTGAACTTATTTTTGGCATTTCAATGAATTATTGCTGTTCTGGAAAAATTATTCACATAAATCTTACCTCGGTGGACCCGTTCGATTTTTTCGGTTGTTTTTATTCATTGCTGATAATGTGTGCTTTGTGGAGCGTTAAATTAAATGTTGAAACTCGAAATTCTCTTTTCAACGATTTACCGTAATTCAATTTACATATGCAGTGAATTAATTATTTAAGTTTTGAATTGAACGTTTCAATTTAATTTCAACTAATTCTTTATTCAAGCAAGCGACGATTTCTGTTTTCCAAATGATACAATTTGGTTAATCAGCCTTTCCTGAAGCGTTTGCTATATTTTGCCTTCGTTTCTATTATATTGGTGAAGCACTTTTAGTACAAACACACTTTTTTCCGATCAAATTTATTCGAACAAAACACACGAATTAACAATTTTTTTACAAAAGTTTGTATGCATTTAAAATATGAAATACCACGTTTTTGATTTTATTTAATTCTTTTTTTTAATTTTTAAATAAATTTTGAGCTTCTAAATAAACAACTTGTGGTGCCTTAAATAAACAATTTAAATATGTCTCCTATTTTTTTTTTCAATTTTTAGGCACTAAAGCAGTTCTGATTTTGATGACAAGATACAATCCAGTGTATCTAAAATGTGTGGCTGCTAACAATTGAATAGATAAAACGCGACAATGTCGACAGAGAAAAAACATATATTCTTCACTTTTACACAATAATTCTTTTTTCTTTCACTTCTTAACCGAATTGACCGAATCAATGTGTTGCAAATAAATTACTTCGAATAATTAACATAACATTCTAGGAATGAAGTTGCCGTTTTAATTTGTAGGACCAGTTGCAAAAAAAAATGTTCCGTTTTTTTTCAATTGATGACCTTTTATTGGAATTAACACAAAAACAATTCTCTTTCACTTATTATGCGTTTGAAGTCAATGCACATTTTTACAACAAACACCCAAAATTTACTTGAATTTCGTTTGCTTACTTCACTTCCGTGATAATAATATGATTCGTTTCTAAAACCGTGAATTGTGATATTGTTCTCAATTTATATCAGATTGAAATTTGTGTAAAGTACAGGAGATGTTGAATTCGGTACATTGAAATGCATTTTAGACATCAGCTTTGATTGAACAAGAGAAAATAAAGATGGAAGCGAATTTCTCGTATATCTCGAATAAAAATCAAGTTTTGACGAAGTCAGCGCCATTGCGGCGAAAAAGTACGACATTCTTCTCACAGATGTCGCTCATGATAAGAGAATTATTCTTTTTAGATTTTTCGATTTTCGAAACATAATTCGTTCTCGCCGACCAAATTATATAGTTTATTATTTATAATATTGAAAGGAATATGATGAATTCGCATAATAGTACATTATGCATACTATGGTTAAATTATTATAATACGTTAGTAAATGTCGTTCCGAAAACATTATGTAAATGCCAACAAATCTATCGATACAAGATAGAGATAATTGTTTGTATCAGTTCAAACAATTTAAAAAGATTTAAATATTGAACTTTGAGGAAGAGGTAAGATATTTTGCGATGCACAGTCGTCGGAGATGAAGAAACAATTCAATCAATTAAACGTTTACGATCATTTGTGATTTTGTATGCACAATTTAACAGTAGCCATTGCATAAACTTCACACATTCATATGTCATCGGCATGATTCTAACACGATCGTACTATTTAAAAAGAAAATTAATTCATGGCAGCCAACGAAGAACGAAACACATACGAATTACACGAAGCAGAATACCTACTAAAGAAGCCGTAATATGAAAGAACCAGTTGCTTTTTGATTGTTTCATTTGTGTGTGTGTGACACACTCATACCACATTAAAATACATGTCATATTATGAAGTATGCAATATGCTTTTCATTCAAGTAACCAGCCAAGAACCAGTCATCGAGTTTACCTACACGAAGCACCCACTTGATCCATTTAGATTTTAATTATTCAGTACCAAAATATTTTTGAAAATATATGTTTATCTACCAAGTGAGAATACTTTTACAATAGCTCAGGTAATTATTTGTGATCAAAAAAATAATTTCAATATATTCTTGATCATGAATTCATTTCATAAAATGCAAAAATTATGAAAATGGCATACAGATTGGATACTTGACAAAAGAAAAATACCAAAGTTGAAAAAAAGTTCTACCAAAAATGAAATGATTTATTTTTTGGGGAAAGCAAACAAAAAAAAGTTACATCTATTGACATTTTAAAAGGATTGAGATCAATACACTCTTCAAAGCAAGTGTAGAACAAGTTTATTTTTTGTTTGAATTTTCCTTTTCATTATTGTAATGAATTCCTAAATGTCAACGATATACAACACAACGTATTTAAGAATGTGTATTGGTAACAGGTTGTTTCACGTCACGTATTAGTGCTATTTTGCTTATTTGAATGAAATTTGATTCTAATATATACGTACGCATGTTATATGCACTTTGATAATTTGATTTTTTTTTTTTTTTTTTTTCAATATTTTTTCAGTTCAACTTGAGATCTGTGAAATGTCTTTGAATCACTTAATTAAGATTATAGTTCTATTTAAAATAGTAACTATGTCTGACGGAAGCTGCGGTGTGGCGTTCAAGGGAAAGTGCTGGTGTGGTGTAACTGAATATGATCGAATGCAACAATATGTTGTTAATTGCACAAATCAAGGCTTCTCAAACACATCGGTTCTAGAGCATATGCCAAAAGACGTGGAAGTTTTGATATTTACGGGGAATTTCCTTTCCAAATTGACTTGGAACATATTCGGTCGCATAAATGAGTATCCCAAATTGAAGATCATTGATATGTCAAACAATCATATACGTGAAATCCGTGGTAAGATAAAGATATTTCATAGAAAAATATAAAAGTCATCGATCTATAAAATATTCATTCGTTCAGATTTATTCATTCCCAAGAATTGAAACAGTATAATAATTAAATGCCAAGACAAATCAAACAATGCTATGAGTGTAAACTTTTAAAATCCCTAATTTGCATATTCTACTAAATTTCAGGTAAAACATATCATCACGTGCAGCAAGTCGAGCGCTTAATTCTTAACCACAATAATTTGAGCATATCATCCAATGAAGATGAAGTAAATCATTTACACCCACGAATTTTTTCGAATTTTATCAACCTGAGAGCGTTACATTTAACAAATGCATTCTCGGATTACTCTTCACCAGAGCTCAGTCAAGATTTGCATGCCATTTTTGTGAAGAGCAATTTGACAAATCTTCAAAAGCTTCACTTGGAACAAAACGAAATTAGTCGTTTCAAAGATCGGAATGTATTTTGTGACTTGCCACAGTTGGAGGACCTTCATCTTGGCGATAATAATTTAAGAGAGTTGAATTTCAATGTGATGTGTTTGCATCATCTGCGATTTCTGGATTTGGAACGTAATCGATTTGAATACGTTAAGAAACGTGACATTGAAGCATTAGAGATGCTTGAAGCTTCAAGTGGCCGCACCGAACGATTAATTTTGGATTTCAGTATGAATCCGTTTGCATGTGATTGTACTATATTTGATTTGGTCAATTGGCTACATTCAACAAATATAACAGTAAGATATAAAGAAAGATTGATGTGCAACCGAATCGAAGATCATGCTGAACGTATCAATTCTTTGGATTTTAAAAAGTGCAGCGTCAAATTACAAAATACAAGTGGTGGACATCAAGTGTTTTTAGTGTTCTTTTTAGTTGTTCTCATTTTTGTTTTAGTCGGTTTGATCGGTGCCATTTTGTATGTGAGCAAAGATCGAATCAAATATCTTGTCCCGCCAGTTGTGTCATCGAGAAAAGTTCATTATACATCAATCCAAGATGACGAAGTTGCTCAAGAGGTTCATGTTTAACAGCAACACATTCTCACACATACATGTTTTTCGAACATAAATTCATAAGGATCATATCAGTGAATCCGTAATGTGCCAAAATTTCTTACACAAAAATCAATCATATACATTTCTAACGTTATAAAAAAAAAACTTCGCAATTGATGTTTTGTTTTCATTTATACAAGATTGTTGAACTTTGTACACGTCAATTTCTTTTTTATAAAAAAAGTACTTACATTTTTATATTGATTTAATCATTTTTGTAGTTACGAAGATATAATATGGTTTTAAACATTTCATTTAAAATTTATGGTATATTGTTAACAAAACTGTGATGTAAATAAACTTCATTTTTAAATTTATTAATATCGAATTGATTTTATTGGACAGGATATACTATTAAATTATAAACAATTGATGAATATAAATGAATGAACGTTATTTGACGGATGAATCTTTGCGCTTACCAAAGGTCACTGTAAACATTTCAACATTTACATGTTTTACGCGATCCTGAGAGTCAAGCACCGAGAATGAATTTTGTTGAACATTTTCTGGTTTCGTTATTGATAAAGATGCAGCTGTTTCTTCTTTTGTACTGTTTTCATATGAAAGTTTAATACTTGTGTCACTTTTGTTTTTAGCCTCGTTTAGCTCGATTGGTTCATTGGAATTGATATTTTCCTTATTTTCGACAGACACAATGGATGTTTTATGCTCTTCACATTTGATAATCGGTTCACTTTTGATGATTGACACACTATTGAATGCGCTGAATGGTGTTAATGTTTCTTGTATCGGAGGTTTTTCTTTTGGTAACAAAACGATTGTGTTGTCTTCGCGACTATCGTTCTGTACATTTGAAGATGTTGAATTGGATGTGTGATAATTGAAATTGTCACTAAATATTTCTCTTACATCGGACCAACTACCGCTTGAAATGGGTTTTGTCGAATCAACATTGAACATGGAAATGTTTGGTTTGAAGCTATCATTCGTGTAGGTCAATGCATCGTCAATTATGGGTTTTTCATCGGTATCAAATTCTTTGTCAATTATTTGACGAACATTTTGCAATTTTGCATCAAAATTGATGTTGTTGTTTTCAAGTAACAATTCTCTGTTCATGATTATACAACGGTTTTTAAGTGCTTCAAAGCGCCACCTAAAAATAAATATAAATAATTACTATCATGTTACACAATTGTGTGATAATATGTATCACTCACTTGGCAGCCGTTTCTTGTGCCTGGGCATAGAGTCCTTCCGCTTCACTTTTTTTCATGCCATAACTCACCAACTGTGACTTTAGTTCTTTCGTCTCCTTTCTTAAACAAGAAACGTTTAAATAATTAACATAAGTATCGACTACAAAACGATATAAAACTATCTACTGTAGTTTCAATGTAGTTTTAATATTTTTGTCGTTAAACTTACTCGCAATATTCCAAAACCGAACTCAACCAGTTGACGCCATGTGTTTTGGCCAAAGTATCCATATCTAACTGAATTTGCTTGAGTTTTTCATTCAAACGATTATTTTCCATCTTCAAGAAGCCGATTTCTTCATAAAATTTCGATTTTTGAATTTTATCGGCACTCTTAAACATGTTGGCACATTCCTTGATTCCATTCAGTATATCGGTATTTTCACGTTTCAGACGATTTATCTCTCCACTGCTTAGTTCGTACTTCGATTTCATCTAAATATTCAATAATAAAACAATAAAAACTTCGTATGACCTTATTTGTGAAACATGTTTACAAACCGCTAGATATTGTTGCTTTTGGCGGCTTAACACGGCTCGCATTTGCTGTCGTTGATCATCGACTTCAGCAAACAATGAATTGCCTTTTGAATCTGTAGTTACAACATAGTATGATTACCTCATCAATTGAATTAAATACTTAAGAATACCACTTACTGTGATCAGGTTTGCCATTTTTGTATGACAGCAGTTCATTTTCAATTTCAACCAGTTTTTCTTGCAATGATTCGATGATAAGTTGTGCTTCATTCAATTCATCCGTTTTGTATTCTAAATTTTGTTTAGAACATTCATAGTATTCTTTCACTTCGTCCAAATCGCTCTGCCAATAAAAAAAGTAAAACGAAAAATCGTTAAAAAAAAAACGAAAACAAATGGGATCTTACGTGTATCTGATTGTACCTGTTTTTGCGTCACTTGTGACATAAGTTGTGCCTTTTCCGATTTGACTTGGGCCAATTCCGCAGTTAATTGGATAAATTCATTTTCAATTTTCGTCAAATATTCCATACGTTTTTTGGAGACAATCGTTTCATTTTCACTGATTGTATTTTGTTCGGGGCATGGTTTCGACGATTGTTCATTGAGTGTTGTGGTCAATTCATTTTGCAATTGTTGGTTCTCCAATTCGAGCTTTTCAAGTGCTGATCTTGTGTCTGTGAGGCGACTTTGAAGTTCACCAATTTGTATCGAATGTTTGATTTTTGTTTCTTTCAGTTCGCCTTCGTAATTCTCTGTTATTACTTGCAATTCTTGATTCAAAATTTTATCCTTAAGATCTTTTTCCTTTTTTAAAGTGTACACTTGCTGTTTGCAATGGTCAAGTAAAACTTTGTGTTGCATATAACTTGCTGTCAGTTTATCATATTCTTCGACCAAATCGTGTATTGATAATGCCGACGGATTTTTGACGATTTCAACATCGGCTATATCGTAATTAACAAAATTCATGTTTACACCAAATTGACGGAAGATTCATATAAAAATAAACATCAAATGTGGTGATTTGAATGATTCTTTAATTTATTTACACTGCATTCGCTACTAAAAAAACAGTTTATTGATGCGTCTGAGAACTGTCAAATTTAAAAAGAGAAATGTCGGACAAAATGTTGTACTAGATTTTTTATAGTTTTACGTAGTAGTCAAAAATTAAACAAATTAAACAGTTTAACATTTCAACTATATTTTTTTATCAACTTCAGTAAATTAATAACATACTTAATTTAGGCGAATCTAATCATACAATAATGACATATTTCTTGAAATTTTTTTTAATTATTTCTATGGTTTGAGTACGGTATTTCTAATTCTCGATATTCTCTGGTTCATAGAATTTAACTGTATGTAACACGGTTTGTATTTTCATATGTATTGAGTAAAATGGTAATTTTGAGAATAAATGATGCAAAATGAAACGCCTTGGTAATGGTTTATTTTAAAACTTTACTATATACAATCTGATTTCGTGAATTTTCTCTTAATAATCAAAAGTTGCGAATACGTTGAGATAAGATTAAATGATATTGATATGGCAATCTTGAAATTATTGATATAATAAATGAATATAAAAGACTTTTATTTCATTTTAAGCATTCGAACAATTATTTGGATTATTTAAGATTAATCAGATTTGCCCACGGCTAACGACTATGGCATATGTTGTTGTCAGAGATTTTGTGCGTGTAGACGCTACAATTAGAACTCACCATGAAGATCAGGCGCCAAATGAATATTTAATATCACTGTGACAATACTCGGCGCTTCATGCCATTACAATTTCAAAACTTGCTTAGATGTTATTAGTTAATACTATTACAATTCAAAATGAGATATGATATCAATGTTATTTCGATTATGTTATGGGATTTAATCTACAATCAAAGTTTTAAAAAATTTATCTCAGACACTGTGATCAAATATGGCTCAGTTTCAACTATGTTGCTACTGTTTGCAATTGTATATCAAGAAAAAAACAATGCGATGAATAAAAAATATTTGGACAAAAGTAGCTTGCCGTATTTGGCCAATTTTTTCTTTCAATAAACTAAAATCGTTGACTTAAATAAGTGGAAGAGAGTGATATCTAAGTCGATGAATTATTTATTGCTCGAATTTTTTGTTCTTGATTTTTTTTTTATGAGACATTGTTTTAATGCAGTTTTATATACAAATAAATTTTTGAAATGTTTAAGTACGAGTCTTTCATACTTTAATGAAGTCAATTTACGTTATCTCTTTGGTTTATTATTTAATTTCTAGATTTCTTTGAAATACCATAAAATACTAATCATTTCATACAATTAATTTTCGTAACCTAACTAAGTTTGTTCCATTGTATTTGTGCATATCAATCGGAGAAGCTACCGGATTCTTCTTTGTTTGTGTGTGCCATGTTAATATCTGAAATAATAGGGAAATTCAAGCATTCAAATTGATATTTATTTAAATTTCATCAAATACCTCTGTACAATTTGATGCTAGCAATTCAATTTCAGTGATATTCAGTGGCGATAGACTTCTCAGAAATTTATCTTCCTCGTATCCAGCGTGATATGGCATAATGGCCTTTGGTCGACTTAGGAAGAATTTAACATTTCTAATGGACATATAAAAATGGTTGGAAACATTGAAATAATCAAAAAATAAACAATATTTTCTATAAACATTGCTTGCTTACACTGCAAATCCAGCCATATCAACAGGATACTTTCTTCCACCTATCCATCCATCATAAAATCCAGATATCGACCCATTCCGAACGATTGGGCTGCTCAAGCCTGCTCATGAAAAAATATCATTTTTAATAAATTCATTGAAACCATAAAAAAAACACACACCGTATTTGGTAACTAAGCCAACTGGCCACATGGACACTTTTTTAGTATGTCGCATCTGGTCAAATATTTCTAAATCGTATGTATTATCATCGTCAGCAAAATAGAAAACACCGTCGGTTGCGTTTTTACGTATCCAAGTCAAACCACGATTTCTATTCGATACACCACGCGGCTTTACCACACGCTTTTTAAATTTGTCCGGCATTGGTGCTGATATAGAAATGATAAAAAAAAATTAATTACGCAATAAGTGTGAGAGAATGTTTAATGCACAAAACATCGTCAATAGAATTCAAATCGAACATACCAACCAAGTGTTCGAAGGGAACACCGATTCGTTTAAGTTGTCGTGTGACCAAAGCGGATGGAGTAGCAGCATCTTCGATAACTAACCATAACAAATTCGGTACGTGTTTCAAAGTGTACCCTAAGCGTGTAATTTCGGCCAATTGCTCGGGCCGTCGATAAGTAGGTGTTATAATATACAGTGGAGGCAACATTGGAGAAGGCTACAATGATAATACTTTGGTTGAATTTCACTTGGAAATTATAAAATGGTTAATAATAATCTACCTCTTTTAGTTCATTGCCATTTTTTTCACTTGTTATAATATTATTGGTGCTGGTGCTGCCACCGATAGAATCGCTTCGTTGCAATGTAACGAAACTTGCCTTTGACAACTGATATTGGAAGAAAACGATGCACAGAGTGGATAGAATGACAGACAAGTACATTTTCGTTGTTGTTTTCATTGCACAAATACTGGTGATTCTACTCATTTGAATTTTGTCCACAAAGTTTTTCTATAAAGTGATACGATCGTGTTAGGGTTATTATTTTAAATCAACATTTTAAAAATATTAAATTTTAGATTAGATAGGTATTAGTCTGACTAGAAATTCACATTTATTTATTATTGTGATTAGGTATTTTTAGCCCCATATAATAAATCTGTGAATCCATTGGTTGTTTGCTTTTGAATTGGATATATCGAAAGAAATATTGGTGAATAGCTATTGTGTGAAACAGGAAATATACTGGCCTAATTTACTGTTGTACAGTAAATCGAGTCGTAAAATAATCTATTGTTTCAAAATATGTGAGAAAATAGTATGTAGCAATATTCAGTTGTATGTACGTTAAGTAAATTGATTTTGTGATTTTGCAAACCATTTTATACACATAAAAATAAACCAATAAATTTCTTTCGAAAAGCTTACCATTCATATTATTATTTTATTAGCATAACTTCAGCTCCCACATGTTTTGTTAGTTGTTGTCCTATTGTGGAATTTTTATTTGGTCAGATCTGTAAAAGAAATAATTTGTTATTATGATTTTTTTGTGCGATTCACAAAGAAATCGTCGTATCTTATATGAGGGGTTCAGAGCAAAAATGTTATGTAGAAAAGTTCGGGAGCTAGCTAATTGATACCAAATAGCTTTAGTTGAGCTATTTGGTACCAAATAAATAATAGCTATTTGCGAAACATTCAAATGCTATTTGCGAAATATCTGTAGATACTGTTGATAATCTATGCCAAATACCATATCGTGATGGTGGTGATTTTTTTTACTTTATTGAATAAATAATATTGTTCACGCAACATTTATACAATAATATTGCAAACAACATCTTAACGAATGCAACAAAGTCATCGTAAAAATGACGTAAAATATTAATATTAGCAACAACAATAAAAATAAAACAATCTCAAATGGTGTCAATTGAATAAGTGAACATCTAGTTCCTCTAAATGAGCGCGTGTATGCACATATGCACAATCATTTGTTATTTGATGTGCTGAGAATGTCGTTTTTGAACTGTTTACATTCACCTGTCGATGCTTGAAGAGGATAAAACAGTTGGATTTTAATGTTATTTTTTCAACGTTTCTAATATTGAAGGTCTAAACAATTTGATATCTGAAATTTTCTCTTATTAATTTTAAATGTTAAATTCTTTTATATAATGGTTTCATTACATTTAGCACAATTTCTTGGACATTTCACACATGGAATGAACGTGAATATATATTCCAATGTGCGCGACCAAATTATAATATGTTTCGCAATGATATTCATACATTGCCTCGCACTGCCTATTCAGAGCATTTAAGCCGGAAATTTTTAGTTAACATTGAATCTAGGTTTGTCAGTAGTATAACAAGAAAATGGAGATAATGTTTCTAATAAACGATCTCAAAACAACAAAAATCCATTGGTAAAAATAAACATTTTTTTAAATTTAACAACAATGAATTAAACTGAAGATGTAAAAAAAGAGAATAGTGAATGAATTGTTTCTCTAGCACCATTAAATTTTAACCATTCCATTTGCTCTACTAATAAATTGGGGTCAACAGCTCGACCTTTTTGAATGAACAAAATTCAGTTAAATTTCTGAAAGGTTATCTTGATGCAAATAAATATAATACTCTGACTGTATGCTCATTAATTTGGTTTTGATGTTTTGAGAATGTGAAATTGTAACTATTTGTTGAAGAGGTGTAAATTAGTGTGCGGCGCCGTTCAAACAAAAGTCCGTGTTTGCACTCCAACTTGGTGTATCTTGTGATTTTTGTAGTATAACATAATGATGATAACAACAAGAGCTCGCTACAAATTGAACAAATTTGGAGAATATTTAGTGGAACCTGGCTAAAATCAAGTTTGACTATACGACACGTAAATTTTATATTGCCATTAAATCAACGATCTAACGGGCTCTATAATAATAAATGTAATTTTATAGTGACCATAAACTCTTTTTGTAACACTATTTTAGTACTTTGTTATATAACTAAATCGATTGTAAAAGATCAAAGTTAACAAGTTACGAGATAAATAAGTAATATAACTCACAGCGCAGGAAGTTGATTGGGTTTGGAGTACATTTGGTACTGAAATGTGTACAAGTTTGAATTACTGAAATAATCAGACGGAAGTCCATTTTATCAGAGTAGCGAACAGTTTAAGTGAATGACACATTATGGATTCTATTTCTTATATTACATCCTTTTTTGCTTAAAAATGAGGGCCGAATATATGAAATAGTTAACCGAATATTTGAATTTATGTTAAACAACAAGAACAGCGTTAAACAGAACATGGTAACAACTTATGATATGCCTAAGTGGTTTAACTGACTTATTTAGTTCAAACTTTTTTCAATGATAATAATCCAATTTCAGTGTGAATTACAAAACAATTGGTTTCGATTGTTTTCTGTGCTCACAAGTAAGAGAATGTGTCAAGGTATGTATGACGTCTGTATCTATCTTGAAGGTTGATGTTGTGTACTAGACAGGTTGATATTGACTTTTGCTAACCTGAAACATTTTTGAAGAGCAGCATCTGATAATAATATTTACCAAACATTGAATTGAATGCAATCTCCAAACATACAGCATGTGAGCACTTTTTTGTAAAACAACATTGCCAAGAGAAATTCGGTGTATGGCACGTTTTTGCTGTTAAGAATTCTAAAATCAACATGAATACTTTGTGGCTATTTATCCCTACTGGCTGCACTGTGTACACATTGTGAATATCTAAAAAAAAACACGTACTCATATAAAACCAATAATTACAGAAAGTCTACGTGTAAACAAATTTACTGTCTGTGACAATAACTCACATTTGTTTTCAATAGTACGAAAAAACAACAACACGAATTATGGTTTTGTATAACTCTTACCGTTTGAACTTTATTTTAACAGATTTCGAATCATTCTCCCTTATCAAACAGAAATAAGATAGTATTTTTGTATGCAATCGTTGAACATTTTATCCGGACTGATGTTTCCGGAAACTGATGTTCTTTTTATTTCCTTTTTTGTAGTTTTTATCACCTAATTTTTTTAAATAAAATCGGCTGTTCACTTGTCAACTTTAGTTGAGTAATGCTTGTGCGGCATTCAGCGATAATTTTTGCTGATGTCAGTATATCACATTTATGATTTTTTTTTGTCAACTTATGTTGTAAACTGAAATATTTTCATTCAACTTAGATACTTTTTTATATCATTACAATTTTTTTGTAAAATTCATGAGTATTTTTTTCAATTTTTCCCCTTGCGTTTGTGTTATTAAAACATGGCATTGCATAAATTTCAGTATACTTGAAAATTTCACTCAACACTCACATCCTCTAATGATGTTTTCAAGCATGTCAATGAACGGTGCTCATTTCTTTTTTTTTCCTTAAACATTATCACTATCATATCACTTTGAGATTATTTTCATCTATATATATATATATTTTGTACAGCTCTTTGAACGACAATTACATTAATGCTGTGCTAAATGACAACTCTTTTTTTTCCTCCCCTATCAACAATGAATAAGTGACAGTTAAAAAGTCCTTTTGACTAAATCCTGCGTGCGCTTTGTTGTTAAGTTTACGCCCTTATTCCATAAAGGTAAAAGGCATATTAATGCAACACTGCAAACAAATGCCAACAACAAAAATGGAACACGTAATTAAATCGTTAAACAGTATATTATATTGAATGTTAAAAATGCAAGAGATTTATTTGAATATGTAGGTTATTTAGAAATATTCGACGATATTTAATTTAAATTTAAATAATAGACAGCAAATTTTTTTTTAATAAATTCGTTTGAGTTCCTTCAAAGTTTGTTTATCAAATGAATTTCCGTTGTTTATCAAATAAAACCACTTCAATATTTCTACAAACCTTTATCCTTGGATTAATTTTTGCATCATATATGTCTATGACTACGAAGAACTTTAAATAACATCCCTTGACAATCGATTATTCACACATTTACACTCACATATTTACACATACACAACTAGTTTATGGATAGAAAAAAGGTAATTCCCAACCACCGCAAAAAATGTGTGATTCTAGCACAATTTTTTTTAACGAAGCTCTATACATATGCCGTGCGATGCATATGAATACTCGATATTCACTGTTGTTACAACCTTGAGAGTAGTCTAACTGAATTTGTGCGTCGCTGTCATGTTATGAGAAATACAAACACATTAAAAACATGTGTACGCTCCATTCATTTGTATATGTACCGCATTGGACTTACTGTAATGAGTGAGTGAGCGAGCGAATAATGGTGAGTGAATGTTTACATTATGGAATGCTCCGCTTCCTCCGAAATCAATATGCATGTGTCAAATTTATGCAAATAATGTTATTGTTGTTTTTCTATCATCATTTTGCATTTTTTTTTTTGGCGCAAACTATTGTAAGCGATGAAATGTGATTTGTTAAAAGGAATTGCACTAGAAAATAACGACTGCTGTATAACATTATGAAGAATGAAGGGGAATTTTCTTAGAATATGAGAACATTGTTATGAAGGACTTTCGTCTTTTAGAAAAATTTCAAAATTTTATTTACATGATTTTTTTTATCAAAAAAAAAAACCAAAAAATAATAACTTGAATTTAAAAACCAATAAACTGTTAATGAATCAAAAAAAGCCATTTCCTTTTATTTGCTTGTATTTTTAATGTTTTTTTTATTTCATTTTAATTACAAATTCTTACCAAATTAGTCTTTGAACATGAGCATAATCCGACCAGTAAATTTCTTTCGTGGTGAATATATAAAAAAAGATTAGATTAATGAACAAATACAGTATTAGTTCGAAAACTAATAGCTTAAATTTAACGGAAGAGGTCGAAATACGCGCTATCATAAATGGAATTATGAAATATCGCAGTTCAATCAGCTGTTGAAAAGCAATCGATACAATTGTGCACAGTATGTAAGTCAGTTGAAAACCTGCTGAGCGCATCGCGATTGACTGATACAAAATAGATATAGATATCAGATATAGAGGTACCATGGCAAATCTAAACCACCACATTTTCCCGTATAGCTTGTTCCATACGTAGAAAACGTAATGACGATTATCAGCTAATAAATAAGGATGTACAATTGTATTAGAATAAATTACAATTGTAGATGCTAGTGTTAGCAATATGGCCAGGATCCAGTGCTTTTGAATCATTTTCATGGTCGTTTCAATGAATTTCAGAGTAACGGACGGTGCAAATATCGTGTAGTAGATGCTAAAATAAAAAATCTGGAAGCGAAATTTAAATTTTAAATCGATAAATTTACATATAGCGTTTGAATAACAAAAAATAAGAATAACTTGATTCTAATCAAATTTAAACACGATTTATATTGCAAATTACCTGAGTCAAATGCAAAGCGGCTTCGTGAGCACTTTTATCGCCAACCACAATTGAACCGTTGACTAAAACAAATGCAATAAATCCAACAATGACTAAGATATAACCGATGAAGTGAATGAATAAAAGTCGAACTTGTTTTGGAACTAAATAAACGCGTTTTAAATAAAACCCAAGCACAGAAAATATGTCCTAGAAATGAGAGATTTTTTAAAAAATTGTTAAAAAACCAACATTCATAAACTGAAACATTTTATGGAATACCTGAAAGTTGTATGAATTATTCGAACGTTTTTCCGAGTCTTTTATAAATGGCAATGTTTGAGAAATTATCTTATCCATAATTGAATAACCAAGAATCATTCCAACCCAGACAATGTTTGTTTGTCGCATCAACACACTCAAAAATCCTACAGAAAAACAAACATTTATCGAATAAATAAAAAAAAAGGAAAATAGGATTTTTTTAAAACTCACCAAAAATGGCAGAAAGCCTATGTCTTTGCTTTTGGTTGAGCAAAAACATAGCTAAAACCATTGTGATGGAAACAATATCGGTGTAATAAAGATGCGCAAAAAGATACATTGGCGGCATAATCGACAGTATAAGAGTTTCAAATGCAATTTTGATTGAGTTTACCTGCATCCATAAAGAAAAAAAAACCATTTTATTTTTGTTTTCATTCAAAAATAAATTAAATATAAACTATACTTTTTGAAGGACATTTCGTCGAATTTCATAGATCAAAACAACGTTTATAATTGATGCAAATAAGGATGTTAGTCGAAGTGCAAAAGTACTGCATAAATCCATACCAAATAACTGGGCCGGCCAAAGAAGTATCGCTGAAAAAATGTATAAACCTGGGAATGTTGTTATCTTTTGGTCCCACTGTAAACAAAATGAATACAATAATTTATCTGTTTTCACGTTGAATTTTTTCAATAATCTTACTATATCAAAATTTCCCAAACAGTAATGACGTCCTTGTCTTAAGTGAAATTCCTCATCCACCACCAATTCGGATGCATTAAAGACCAAATAGAATATTGGCAATGAAAAAGATGTATAAAGAGCTAATATAAAGTAAAGCGGTGACATTTTTCAGTTGGGTGCACAATATTTATTTGTAAATTTTCGATATTTTAAAGAGTTTTTTGTTTGAAATAACATATTACGTTCATTATTTTCAAATTTGTTTTGATTCAATGTTAAGCAAGAACAATGTATGTGACAGACAAGTTTTAAGAAACGTCACAATCATATACGACATCTAAACGGAGCGAAATGATGAAAGCCGGGCACTGAAAATGAGTGCGTTTAATAACACATCAATATGTTTGAATACTATAGGCAACATTTCCAAAATGATTTGACTATTGGAATGTGAATGTGCACTGTGAACGATAAATTATTAATTTGGTGCTATTTTTTTAAAGTGTATTGTTGTTCTATAACATGAGTAGTGTGGAAAAGCGGGTTTAATCCACGTTTATTAGTATTAGTGTACACACACACACACGCACACACATATTTTCTCTCTCTCTCTCAACATCAACGTCTCTGCTTGCTGTATAAAGTATATGGCAACGATCGTGTGTGAAAGATGATGAGAATAGTGCAAAGCAATGAGATGTTAACCAACGTATAAATAAGTAAGGCACATGCACATGTGGTCAATAATGCAAAAGGCTTTGTTCCTCTTTCATATGTAATATTCTATGTATGTAGGATCAAAACAAAAAACAGGTAAGGTTTTCTATTTTCTGCAAAATGCATGTGCATAAGAAAAGACTTATTTTGTGCGCACAAAGAGCAAGAATAGAATACGAAAAACGAAGCTGTGAGATGTCAATTGCATTGTTTCAATGACAAAGACAAATTTTCAAGACCAATATCCCTTCATGAAAAAAACACAAATCTATTTATTACCAGTGATGGTTTTTTCCTATCTGAATAGCGCTAGCTATTCGCAGCGCCTGTACAGCATTGCTGCCCAGATGCTGAATCGTAGCGGTTGCCGCACGTGCAACACACTTCGTTTGTACCACAAAGAGCATATACGTTCGCATTCGTTCTCTGTTCGACATGCGTTTGTATACTGACTATAGTATTAGTGTATCATACTCTGTGAGCTCACTGGTTACTTAGACTATATGACAATATGTTGTGTGGTACAAAACGCGTGCGGCAACCGCTTCGATTCAGCATCTGGGCAGCAATGCTGTTCAGACGCTGCGAATAGCTAGCGCTATTCAGATAGGAAAAAACCATCACTGTTTATTACTACCTTTCATTCTCTCTTCACTAACCATCGTAATTGTTCATGACTAGACAATGAGCAAATGGAAAGATATTTCTTTACCGATTCATCTCTTTTGAATTTTTGAACTTTCCTGATTTTTGTATTCAAGCAAATGGAATAATTCGAAAAACAGTATTGATATTAGTTTTTGACTAGTAGGTTAAAATCAGTCGTGTTTTAGTTCTTGGGCACATCAAATGTTTCAGTCTTTTGCTGAAATAATTATTTTTTAAAAGTGAAAAAAAGAAAAATACTATATTTTTATCAATCAGATCAATATTTTGATAGCTTTTTTAATATTCAAAATGTAAGTTATTTTGTCTTAGTTTTCTTATTGCCGGTAAATATTTTGCCAGAAATGACCTTTATTCGTGCGTGATCGATCAATTTGCTTTTTTTCATGGGATATTTCTGGTGAACATTTGAAGAAAAAACTCATAAATATTATTATTCTAGGCGACTGTTGCTGGTGTTTTATTTGTATTCATCATTAACATCATACATATTCTCGTTCAACATTACCGATCTTGCCGATTGTCACATATATGATTTTGGAACACTCAGAGAAAAACTGGTCGATGATACTCATTCTTGTGACTTGAAATATTTATATCATATTTGTAACTGGAGAAATTTATCTAGACTTTATTTCGAGGAACATTCGTTAACAGCACTTCCACGTCATTTTCTATGGAACTGCCATAATTTAACCGATTTATATCTAAGCGGTAATAAAATAAAAAAAATTGCAAGAGATGCATTTGATAAGTTGACATCATTACCCTATTTGGATTTGTCAAATAATCAAATCAAAAGATTACATAAAGATACTTTTAAGCCATTGAAAGAATTAGAGTATCTATTATTACAACAAAATCATATTCAAGTGATCGATTCCAATTTATTTAAACATAATACAAGATATTTAGGCTATATTTGAATAGTAACGATTTAAGAATCATTGGAGATGGGGCATTCCGGATGATTCCAACTTTGGGAAGTCTTTATATTTCCAATAATCGTCACTTGAAGAGGATTGATTTAACCAATATTTCGCGTGGAGGTTCAGTTTTATATGATTTAAGCGTGAATCTAATTAACTGTAGCTTAAAAAAATTGTTCATTCCAATGAATGTAGTTGAGCTTAGCGTCTGCAGAAATCACATAACATCTATCAATGCTCATCCGAATAATCGATTGAAAGTTCTGAACCTAGATAATAATCATTTATCTACCATCCTCCATTTAAAATTGCCATATTTGACTCAGTTACTTATTGGAAGAAGAAATCGTATATCAATCAGCGATAGTTACGGCTTTAAACAACTAACGTATTTGAACTTTGATTTAAATTCGAAACAAAACATAAATATTACTGAAATAGGAAAGAATTTACCATTGCTTCAAAACGTTTACATAACATCTACAGACATGAGCACTGAACAACAAACACGAATTATCAACGATTTTAAACAATACAATGTTCGTTGTTACGTTGATACATGTTTTGATTACGAATAAGACGAAATAAAATTATAAATATTCAGTATTTTAGTTATAGTCACGTAAATAATTATTATCTAGAAGTAACACTGTTTTTAATTATGTTTTTGTATCAGCTCTTTCACCAGCACATTTATTTATTTTCCGTCTTCAAATATTGTGAACAGTGTTGGGACTTAGATACATATCTTTTTTTAGATATTCAGATATCTAGATATAGATATCAAAAAACGTATCTAAAATCTTATCTAGATAAATTATAAATATTGGAATTTATCTATATCTATCTAGATTCATGATTTTCAAAAGATATCTATTGCAATAGATAGATAGATATTATTTGTATAACCAGTTGCTTGTACCGTCGCTTCAGCTAGGGGGGAGACACCAAGAATAAATTCCGAATCCACTATATAAATTACTAATCCAGCTATTCCACTAATCCAAAAACACAAATGTGAAATCGAAACTATTTTTCCTATTCCATGCGAAACAGTGCATGTTAATTCTGCACTATTCCATTAATCCATCATTAAACGTCAAAAGAAATGTCAAATGGATTTATAGTGAAACAATTTTTGATATTCCATGCACTGTTTCGCTATTCCACGCGAATCCATTCACAGGCGTTGCTATTTCGTTGCTATTTCATTGCAATTTCTCGAATCTTTACACTAAAAGTCTAATCCTATTCCACATGTCTGCCCCCTAGCGCTTCAGATGAAAATTCTCACATCAAAGAAAAAAATTAAACATAAAAGATAAAAAATAAAAAAGACCAAGGAAAAATTCGAAAGTTAATTATTTTTATAATATATTTGGATTTTTATCAATTGAACAAAATACATTTCATTATCGTCGTATTAATATAAGAGTTTATAGTTTTTCATTACGTTTTATTATTTAATAGTGTTTTATTATAGCTGATAAATAAGCTGTATTCGAAATTCGACGATATAATCTTGTTACATCTGGGCGTAAAAATTAACGACGATCGACTTAAAAGTCTTTCAACTACACCTGAAGATGATAACGTGGTTTTAAATAAAATTCGAACGAATTCGAACAGAAGACATCATCGTCGTATCATTTTAAATTTTTTATCTATTTTTTTTAGATAGATATTAGATAAAGATAGATCTAGATAGATCTAGATACACATTTTAGATATCATATCTATATCTATATAGATTGTTTTCGTAAAACATCATAATATCTATATCTATCGTATCTAAGTCCCAACACTGATTGTGAACACCTTTTGAGACACGTTTCTCTTACTTTGCATTTATCAAATTTATCATTTAATCAGTTTGTCACGTTTAAACAAACATCTCTTTCCATATAAATAGCCATTAGGTCACTATTTTAATAAATTCCCAAAAAGATACCCAAATATTCGAACAATTCTTCGGATGTAACAACGCATTTCACATCAGCCAACATTTCCAACCTCAGCCAGATGGAGAAGGAAGATTTGGTATGGTTTATGATTGCTTCTGTATGGAAGAATTCCTGAAAAATTTGTCATCGATGTATCACTATTTCGGTTCTGCAAAAGCGCATAGAGAAGGAGGCAATTTTTCGCAATCAAAAAAAAAAAATGTTGGGGAAAAATTAAACCAATCATCAAATGTCGATTGTATGTATCTGTAGAAGTCGATAGATCAAGCCATTGCACACCGAAATTATGCCCCAGAAGAGACTGTATAAAATGCAAAACTGTAGCACTGCTAGCGCCACTACGGACAACTATGAAGTTCTAGTCTGTTGTTTGCAACTGAGCAAAAGTCTTTTCACTATTTGGCGGCAACTTGATGTAAATTACACTGAATTCCGTCGTGGCGCTAGCAGTGTGACAGTTTGGGTATAATTTCGGTACGAGCCGTTGTATACAATACTATGTAGAACGAAATGGTAAACTATCATGGCAAAAAATTGACGCCCCAGTATACAACCAAGCTGCTCTATTGGAACCATACGAAAATGATATTGACACCAACAACTAGCTAGTAGTTCTAATCATGTGACACATTTTTCTTGTTTAATTCCCCTGTGCTTTATATTTTTTTAAATATTTTTTTTGTTCATGATTTTTTGCGCACAACATTTATTCAAAATCAAAATGATTAAATCAACTTTGCACAAATTGTCTCTAAAACAGTTATAATAAAAATTGACTTGAATTTTGACACAAAAAAGATACTTTTTTTTGTTTATTTAATTTTTCCAGCAATCATCGAATTATGATCGTAAAGTTTTGTGCTTTTTCGTAAAATTTTGCAGTTCGGTTTTTTTGTCGTTTCTTCAGCGTTCTTTTTGTCTGTTCTCACCATTGTTAGCGGCGGCATTTCAAAGAGACATATCACGAATCAAATCGATCGCATCGATGGCAAGTCGATCTGGTTTGGCCATTATGCACTCAGGCATTGGATTCATTTGACGAATTACTTCTCGATTTTTAGTCAAAATTTTTTGAGCTAAACCGGGAAAATTTGGTTGATCAACTACGACAGCTTCATCATATTGCTGTGGTGTAATCAAACGCAGATTACCATTTTTTTCGCAAATACAATGTTTTGGCAATATCTGTTTTTTTCAAAATGAGGGTGCTTTTTACACGTTCATTCCATACGAATTTCTCTTATTGATCATGATCTTGAGCAATTATCAATAAAATTCAATTTTCACTTTCAATAAAATTACAAATATTTTTAAATTTCGCATGGAATGAATGCATATTGGTGAATATATATTTTTCTTTCACTTTCATATTGGATGCATGGAATGAAACAGATGCGTCTAAAGAGGGAAACAAAGCATCAATTTTTGTTCATCAAAAGACTTTCCTTACATTTTTACTAATACATGGAAGGAAAATACACCATTATTTTCTAGAAAGTTATTTTGCTGACCATGAGAAAAAAACGAAATATTTTGCTATCTCCAAATATTTATAATTTTGAAGTTCTACGTGTGAGCTCCAGAACTGTTAGGCCATTTTGCAGAAATTTCACAGATTTCAAAAAGAGATCTTATTTTTAAATCTATTTCATAACGTCTAAGTATGTTTTGGGCGAGATGTCGCCGAATATGCAGTTAGTTTTACGATTCAAATAATATTTAGTACACTTTTCATACAAAAGTCATCGAAAATTTGGATTTTTGTATGAAAGCTATATCTGAATGAAATCATAATGACTTGAAACTTTGCACAGGTTATTTTTTCCACAAAAAAATGAGACTGTAAACGTTTGAAGCAATTTCGAACAAAACAAAGGTCGATTTTTGCTTAAAAATAAAAAAAATGTATGTGAGGTACCCCTAATTTGCATTGAAATGTCTTCAAACTTTCAGAATGTAATTTCTTGTTGAAAAAAATAACTTGTGCACAGTTTCACAACGTTACGATAATGTTGAGAGAGAGTGAGAGAATATTCATTTGTGGGAGTGATCTAAACCGGTTTTCACACACGTGTATGAATAAAATAGAGAGAGAGAAAATAGGTGTGTGCGTGTGTGTGTCTGTGTACACTAATACTAATAAACGTGGATTAAACCCGCTTTTTCACACTACTAACATGCTATTAAACTACATCAATAATGATGATGAAGCTGATCCTTTTATGGTTATCTTTGCATCAGCCCATTTTGTGTGAATCAAACGGCTTATGAGAGCCGATGTTCCGTCATCTCGAGAAACAGATGAGGTTGGTACATTACTCGCATTGTTTGAATCATTTTCAGCTTGGTTACGATTGTCAACAGTCATCGACAAGTAGTTTCCTGCGCAAGTATAGTAATGCAATTCAAATCGCTTTTCAGCATGATAATTTCGAAGTAATTCACGATTTGAATTAAACATAACGCCATAGTGTCCACAAATCAATGAAATCCAAATGGGAAGACCAGGTGTTTTTAACCTTGAACCTGGCTGACGCGATAGAATTGACGATGCATGACTTTCATTTTCCAAGATAAGTAAACCCACTGGTGACCGAGACAAAATACCAAATTGTGGCAACGCCTAAAAATATTATATTGTCAAATACTTTTTATGTGCAATAAATTAATTCTCGTTTTACATAGTGATCTTCGTCTCCGACGTAAATGACTCCATTGTGTCTGAAAATAGATACATACACATGGTATTAGATCAGGCGATTATATATTCATCAGTCGATATTAGATACAAGTATGGTGTCGCCCTTCCAGTTAGTAGCAATGTAACAATATTCAATGAGCCTTCTTCAGCAGTCCCCATTAAATATGTGCCCTTTGGCCCATCCAAATCTGTTATTATCCTTTAAAACAACATTTTTTTAAAATTTAAATAACATGCATAACATGCAACGTTTGAATTAAAATATACTTTGCTGGAGTACGAGTCAAAACTGCACTATATAGAAATAGCAATGCACCTGCTCCATTCTCTTCACAGAACTGAAAGTTATTTTACTTAACTTTTATTTTCAAGCGTAGTTGTGAAAACTTGATATATGAATGTTTTTGATTCATTTCTTAGTGCAAAAAGAACAGTTAAACATATTTTACTTACAAAATAAAGGTATCTTTTTACAAAGATTTCCAAATTCTCAAGTGTTATGAACTCGAAAATTAAAAGCTGACGATTAGTTTAAACTTATATTAGTTAAAAATAAATACCGAACTTATTTAATAGAAAAGAGTACCTTTTCTGTTACAGAATCTTGAAAGTAAGAATGACTGTGTGGTATGAGATTGGTTTCACCAGTTAATACAACTACAACTTTTGATTTTTCCCCAATATTCCATAGAATTTCCGAAATTGCAGTAATCAAAGCATCATTTTGTTGAATGTCTGTCGGTTTTAACAATCTAAAGAAAATGCAATCATTTTTCTAAAGAAAAGCAATCGTATTTCAATGATCAATAATCGAAAAGAGTTTCACAAACACTTCAATGGGCACCGATTTTTTTTCACGTGGACGTACGCTAAACAAAAAGTGTTTCATGATGTACGCTTGTAAAACGGATTGTAATCCTCTGCTGGCATTTTTGGGACTGCGTAATCCGTACGGATGTTCCTTTTTTGAAAAAAATTGTTTACCTCAAATAATTTGAAATAAATTATCAAATATCCAATTCACGTACTTCTTTATAAGAGCCAAATAAAATTGGCGTTCGTGTCCATTCACCGCGGCTACGATTTATATATATTGAATGTTTTGTTCTCTTTCAAAAGATTGTGTTTTAAAATTTAACTTACGGTGGTGCTGCCGACGATCCAAAAACACATTTTCTCAACTCCTGCGACGTGAAATAGGATATAGCAAAAAGATTTGATTTAAAATTTCCTACGATAAAACTTACAATCGCCTGTTCTTTAGTTATCGGTGTTCCTCCTATTAATTTGGCACGAGTAGCCATTTCCGAGCGAGAATCAGAGAAAAAACGTTTGTCTTTATTGAGTTTTTCTTTAGCAATGATTGGCATTAGCAGAATGTTTGATGGTTTGATTGAAAAACACTTTAAATAATAACATTTTTTCGTTTCAAATACAGGATGTACCAGCCTGCATGTCTTCATTGTACTATGTGTAGAAAATCAATCATGTGTCTACTGTTTACACGTATGCAAGTGTTTTGTTGAACACGCACGCAAAGACGTTTTGTAAATATCAGCTGAATCATTTCAGAGTAATTATGGAATGGTGCGAATGGGTGTATTTTTTAAACAAATATTTCTCATTTGCTTTGAAACTTTAACAATTACATTGAATGTACTTTATTACGTTTGTCAAAAATGTATTTACAAATATTTGCTCAATGAAACCACTATTGTTCTTTCATTCTGAAGTCGTCATTCTCGCTGATTTTCAAATAGGTGATTAAATAACAAAGTACTACATATCCATATAAATCACATGCGATTGAAGACACGAAACGTTATTAAAGTTTTTTTTCGCCTATCTTCTGTAAATATGTAGATTTCCATTTTCACACCATAATAGTTGCATGGAATAGAATATTGATTTTATGTTTGATAAATGAAATTTTAAATTCAGGCCATGCGTTAATTGAACTTTAAATAGATGTGTTTTTACTGTTGACGGTTAAGGATTTTTGTTTGCCATAACTAATGTCAAAGTTGTCTAGGATGAAAAGTTTAACTGTATTGTTACGTAAAACATTTTAATTGCAACAGCAAAAAAAAAGTCATAGAATGTTTATTAATATTTTTTTTTGCGTTAATAAAGAGTGTACTTTAGTTTATCAAAAAATAATTTGATATTTGTTGAAGGATCAGAATATGGCATTTTCAATTATCCAATTTGAAAATTTATTCACTCGTGTATAAACGCCCGGATATTTTTCTCCACATCGAATCCCATATGAAACAATGCCGACGGTTACCCAACGTTTATTTGGAAGTTGAACAAGAAGTGGACCTATTGAATTTAAATATTGTAGGAACATGTTTATTGAACATTACACATAAAAGATCAATCAAATTACATACCCCCTGAATCACCCTATAAATCATAAATGTGTGTGTCAATTAATAACGAAAATAATAAAATATCTTTGTAGTTTGTAAATTTAGGAAATCTTCAAAGCTTGCCTGGCATGAGTCCCTTCCACCTTCTTTTGTACCAGCGCAGAGGACATTTTCTCCAATCCGTTCGACAAATGAATTCTGGCAATCATCAGAATTCAAAATTGGTATTGACACTTCCATTAGAACATTTGAACTCGGGCCGCCAAAAAACTGTGTCCCCCAACCAGTCACTATGCCTGCGAAAAATACACATATTTATCTAAAACTAAGCTAGAATGACGTATCTAAAAAAAAACACTGACCAATGTAACCTTCAAAAGATTCTCCCGGTGGTGGCATACAAACTGGCCAAATATATGAATTAAACAATACTTTTTGATTAAGTTTTAGAATGGCTATATCATTGTCATAAGTAAATTCATCGAAATCAATGTGTGAACGAATCTCAGCCACACGAAAATCTCGCGCCCGTGTTTCATTTTTTATAGCGATATCGTATTCGCCAAGTCTAACGGTTAATTCACTTTTATCATATTTGAAAACACAATGTGAAGCCGTCAAGATGTGTACATCGGTGATCAAAACACCACCACAAGATACCATATTTGGTTGTCCCCTTCGAATAATTGCAGCCATCCAAGGCCACTCATTCGGATCAGCAGGTCTTCCGCCGGTGATTCTTGAATACGATTTTGTTGAAAGTCCACAACCTCGATTCTCCGGTCGAATTTTATTTGACATATCAATCGATTGTTTGCCCATTATAACATCATTTGTGTTACCTTGTTGAGGTAGTGACTCTGCTTGATTATCCGGACAACATACTCCGATTGAACTGATTTTTTTTACCAATAATCGTAATTTGTGAGAAAAAAATGTTGAAAATCAAATTTCATATTACTTACGATTGCCCAATTATGCACAAATAATCTAACATTTTCAAAGTATTTTGTCTCAGTTCAGGCAACGGACATTGACTGCTGAGCCTACAATGGCCTCTTTCTCCACTTGGTGTTTGACATTCTCCTGGATTGCTTTTGTTTGGCTTTAATTATTATTTTAAAACATTTTAGATGGATTACAATTTATACGTAGGATTGAAAATTCGGTATCTATTCACCTCACTACGTCTTTCTCGATTATTCAATTTTTCAAGTTTTACTGAGTTTGGTTGATCAAAACACTGACACGTATAGTAAACCAATAAAGAAATAAAAATTAAAAGACCTTTCATTTTCTTCAATCTGTAAGTAACACACTTTTCGAACGATGATATTGAAATAAAACTTGGCGGTGAATATGCTACAGTTAGAACATAATTGTGCCAAAAATCCGAATAAATGAGATAATAAGTACATATATATACACTTTCCTTATAAAAGCGATATTTCATTTCCTTGATAACATAAAGATGATAATATTTGTTGTTAACCCAATTAATGTTAGGGTGACCAAAACAGTTTATGAAAACACAATAGAAGATTTTTGTTCATTCAAGTTATTTGTTTAATATTTCCAATAAAAGTGTCAATACAGAATATGTCTCGCATCTTCAGAGTGGAAAATTGTCGAATGCTTTAAACTGATTCTTGAATTGGAGGCTCATAGCCGGCTGGACGTTCAACGACAACACCTTCAGCATTGGTAACACCTTCAGCTGATTTGCCGCCACTTCCATCACCATGCAATTCCAACAATTTTGACAGATCGAAACGAGGTTTTTTCAACACTTTAACCTATTTGAATAAAAAACAAATAAAAATTCGCAGTTTAGTGAAATAAATGCACACCCTATTTCATTATTTGTACTCACTTTGCGAATATGCACGTCGTGTAATGGATAAATGCCATGACATGCTTTTTCAATGTCTTTTGCAATAGAATCTGGTATCAATTTATTGACGACTTCTTTCAAATCGGAGCTGGTCACATCCCGAGTAATGATGTCGCTCATCTTCTTACGGATGGCGCGAACTTGCGAGTGTTGTGCGTAAAATGTTTTACGTTGCGACATCGAATCCTTGGATGTGAAACCAATGCAGAATACACGCAGTAAATATCCATCGGTAGTTTTTACATCAATATGTGCTTCAATTAATGTTTGCCATTTCTTGACCATCGAACTGTAAATCAAAATCGAAAAAAAAATTTAATAATAGCGTTGATGGTTTGGTATGTTTTGTATGGAGTTTTGATGTTATTGATTCAGTTGTTGTTGTTGTTATTGTTGATGTATACAGTGTATAGTAAACATTGCTGACAACAGTTCCACTGAACTTACCGTAATTTATCGGTTGTCAAATTCATTCCATGGAAATTGGTCAAACAATGACTGCCCTGGACATCTTCGCAAATTAAACGAAATTTACGGAATGAACGTTCTGCATCGTTTTCGTTTTGCAAGTCGGCGAGTGACACTTCAAACACGCGGTGCTTCAAACCTTCTGATGCGATTTTCGTACCTTGTGTACGATTAACCAATGTTTTTCCAACTTGACGTTGGGAAAACATATTTGGTGCTTTGATATCATACCAATCTTTACGTGAAAAAGGATCGATAACCTTCTTTTTCGAACCTTTCTTTCCACCTTTAGAGAGACCCTTATTTTTTCCGACAGCCATCGTGATTGATCAACACTGAAAAGAAAGATGTCATAAAGAAATTTTATAAAGCCTATAAGCCATAGGAAACAGTAAAAACGTCACTACTTTATCTGTCACGTTGAAGCGAATTCGGACGCAGGGTTGGACAATTTTTAGTCAGTAACATTTCCATTATATCAATTAATACGATACATGCACAAAAATATGGTTAATTTTCAGATCACATTTTATTTTTTAATTAGTAAATAAATGAAAATTATTTGATGGAGAAAATTTGAAGAATTTGAACGTTTTAACCGATAGTCATATGAAAAGCATAGATGTCAACTGTTTTGACATTTCAATGTGAAAAAAGTTCCTCTAAACACATTGCACCATCAATAACAAAGTTTCACATTTTGCGTTCTAATATTCCTATTATTGAACTTCGGTAACAAAGGAAAATGGTAAAATTAATTTATTATTGACTACAATTTTTCTTTCTTTGAAAAAACTTATTCAATCAAACAATAAATTTTAATTTATAGTCGAGCGCAATATTGGCAGGTCTCTCATTGGCTGCCGTTGGTTTAACTGGGCGGTATTTAATGAGAAGGGCACCACAAATGACACAGAAATTCTCCGAAGCCATGAAATCGTTCCCATCAGCGGAATCACTTGCAACATCAAAGTATTATCGTGGAGGGTTTGATGCAAAAATGAACAAAAGAGAAGCAGCTCTCATACTAGGAGTCAGTCCGACGGCACCAAAAAACAAAGTATGTTGACAGCATCTAATATCTTATTAGATTAAATTGAGTTGCCACAAACCTGTTGATAATGAATATTTTGAACTTCCACAGATTAAAGATGCCCATAAAAAAATTATGCTGAGTAATCATCCCGATCGTGGTGGTTCACCATACTTGGCTGCCAAAATTAACGAAGCGAAAGATTTGTTAGATTCACAGAAATAATTAAATAATTTTATAATTATGTAGTGTTTAACATATGTACAAAATAAATTGAAACGTAAAAATAAAGTGAACAATTTGAATTCGTTGTAGAAAAGTTGGAATCGATTTTGACGTTTGAAAAGTAATCCCTAAATCCATATGAACCTATCGTCTATCAAAATAATTTTCTTTTTGAGATTTTCAAGTTCACCCATGTGAATAACATCTTACTTATTGAATATAATACTTGCTATTCCGCACATTAATCCATCAATCTATACATACAAATATTCAGTAAAACTATTTGGAAATGTCTAGAGAAAATGCGTACTCTCTTTTATTGGAAATTTTTTTTTCACCACTTTAATTCAAATTACGAGGGGTATTACATAAATTTCAAAATCTTGCAGACGGATTAAGCCCTAGTTAGACTTCAGGTACATTTTTCTTTATAAATAAACGGAAATATTAACTTAAAATTAGATACATATCGAAAAATAGCCTCGGCCTATTTTTGGTTGAGTTATCAGCAAAGGATTTAAGGCACTGATTGAATGCAATTGATTTAGAAAACGGTAAATGTGGAAGTTCATTAAAAAAATATGTCCTAATAACTATGGAAAAATTGTATAAATGGAACCAAACAATTACTTACAATATTTACTTTCCAAAAAATGGTTGCTCAGTAAATATCCTCATGTGGTTTTATGATAATAACAACAAAATCTTAGTTGGTATAAGTTCAATTCCTTACAAAAGATATATGTATCTATTATTGTACTAAAATTTGACCATCTAGCGGCACAGTTACAAACTATTTATGCATGCAACATTTTTACCAATTTTGTACATTGAACAATTAGTAGCAATCGAATCGGCAGACCGTTAACAGTATTTCATCATATCGCAGTAACCCCACTAACACAATTTGCTATAGTTCCGAGAACAATGCAAAGGCAAACCTTAGAATTCGAAGTCGTTTCTTCTTCCATACTCGCTGGACTCAACAATATATCTATGGACGAAAATAGAGTAATAATAACTGAACTAACTTTTGATTAATTTAATCGTCTTATTAAAATAATACAAATTCACATAGCAATCCGGTGCCACCGCTGAAATATCGGGCATTCTAGCTGCACATCATTTTTTACCCAAAGTCCAAAATCTACGTTGGTGTAGACGCAATTTTGACATCGGTGTTCAATGCAATTGATCAAAATGTGTTCAACTGCAATTTGGATGGAACAAAATTGGAATGGTGTCATTGAAATCACGTGCTTTGGTCACCTATCGGCAATATACTTTGACGACACGACAAACTTTCATTCGGTGCAGCGAGTTTTGGTTCAAAAACCGTACAAGAAAGCAATTCATGGAAGCCGTTTTGGTAAGTTGCGCAATTATACACGTTACATTTGCAAATGGAATAAAAGTGTTTTTTCCCATACAGTACGAAATGCTTGATTTATACTTAACCCTAAGGGCCGAGGAAGAAATCAGCGACAATTTGAACATTTATTTACTTGAAGCTGCAACTACCTATCTTAACCGCTGTTTTGGAACCAATCTCGCAATCAATAACAACAACAGCAAACAGAAAAATGTGGACGAATCGGACGTTGAACGTATTTTGGAATCAGTTGCCAATGATCGCAAGATGTCGACAAAGAAGGCTCGAATGGAAGGTTTAAAAGTCACTCCAGAAATACGAGTTTTGTCGAAAAAATTGAAAGGCAATAGCCGTGAATTCAAGTGTGTTAAAAAGTGCGGCGTAGCATGCTATTGTCCACCACAAATGAAGTTCCGAGAGCATTTCTTTGGAGCAAATATTTACGCAATTTATACTGTCGAGGAAAATAAAGTGAAGTGCATTCTTTGTCAAGAAGAAATGCCAAAGGGAACTATGGACACGCATCTCGACAATAATTGCCCCATATTCAGACCGTTTTAAACTATTTCATTTTTTTCAAAAAAAAAAATTCCATGAATGATAATAATGTATCATTAATTATGACTACAATGTAACTTTCATTTAATAAAGTTTTTTTTGTTAAGTGAACAAAATTCACTGAAAATAAATCACAGTCGTACTTGTCGTACAGATCAAAATCGCAAATATGCTTACGTAAAGGATACGTGATTTTTAATGCTTATAGATGTAATTGGATACTACATGAAGTTTATTATTTCATAGGAACGCAGACCAAAGAAAAACAAATCAATGTTTTCTTTGTAGAAAAGTATGTATGTAAGTGTATTTCCAAAAATCATTACACGTCATAGGAATAAACATTCTATGTCCATGACATAGTAACGTTTATTTATTTTTTAGCTATAAAACATTATATTGCATATTTCGTGATATATGGAGAATCTATTCAATTGCTCAAAGCTCATTGTGCTGTTCATGAATTTCAAGTGAACATTCAGACTCAACTTTTTCCAGTGAAACATATAAGAAGAGAACATTATTCCTTTGATATATTAATACAATTTTTTTCAAAGCTTAGCCTGAACTGGCCGAAAATCATCCGGCTGACATAACTTTACTGGTTCAGTCTTTATAATGTCGATCCCAGTCTTTTGTGCGACAGTGTAAGTTACATACAAAATCATATTTTCGATCGTGATCAAGCGTTAAAATATCGCGTGATCACGTCCGTGCACATTTCTCATCACATACACATACACATGTTGTTTGGGTAAATACATACATAAATACAAATACAAGCCCACAACCGTTTCTTTCTTTGTAAAGTCTCTACTCATGTTTATGTTGAATTTCTGCCTTATTGTGCCGGTATCATATACTATATGTTATAGGTTTCGCTTACCATTCGTGGATCTTTGTTTCGATGACATACTTGTTTACTTTCGTATAAGATACGATGCAAGCAACTAACTGCTTGCTACATTTATTTGCAGACTTCAGTATTATGTAGCAAGCAGTACGCTACTTTTCAACGTTGTTGGAACACAAAGTCATTCTATCGTGCATTTATTTGCTGAATTTCAATCACTTATCCTCTTAAGTCGATTGTTTCCATTCACAGAATTGAATATTTATTCATAATCTGCATTTGAAAATAGTGATCAAGTGAAACACCTGCGGACAGTGATTTGAACATTAAATAAATAAATAAAATTTGTGAAAACTATTATAGTAATTTGTTGATGTTGTTGCTTCTTTGCGCAATATATATGAAAAATGCTTAGTAAGGTTGTTTTTATGGTGAACATTTAATTGTGATTAGTTTCGGTTTCGAAAATAAAATTTTAAAGTGAAGTTGAGCTGTTTGGGATTTGGAAGAATTTTTTTCATCTTGAACTTCTTCGATAGTTCTCGGTGAGTATTTGGCAAATGGTCGTCAAGAGTGTAAAAAAAGAAAAAAAAAGAAAAAGAATAACATGTTATCTTTTAATGATAACATATAATTTAATTTTATAGCCAATCAATTTAATAAATTTACAAGACCTATCTTAACGTTAAAATTAAATAATAAAAACAAGGGGTCACCCTAGTACGCAAGTAAATTAATATAAAAAAATCCAATATAATTCAGTATATACTCACTTTTGTCAAGTGGATGACTCAAAACATAGTCATACCTTTTGTCATATTTACTTATATTATATGTGCAGCAGAGTCTTATGCTCCTTCTCTTATGAAAATTACTGTACAAAATATCAAGAGGTGAGATCTCTTGAGATCCAAACTATGCAAATCAAAGCGAAAAAAAATCAAATATTGAAAATGACTTAGTTTGCAGTGTAGTGAGTGTGTAACTTGCACTGCGCAACCAAATGCAAAACAATAAATAAACATTTGAAATTATCTTGCGAATCAAAAGATATGATTCACATAGCGTATCAATATGGTCACTATGTGAAGATTTGTGTTATTGAGCTCAATAAGATATGGCCGAATCGATTTCTGTTATCAAGTGCTATATAAACGTTGTTTACTATTAAATTTAATGAAAATTAAATTGACGCAAGAAAGTCTACGACAAGGGCCCAATAAAAAGATCTCTTATTGAACATATTTTGAAAAGACACTCTTATAATGGAAGATGGAAAAAAATTATTGTTTGAGGTTTTTCAAACAAAAGTATGTTTTAAATACAATAAATAAACAGTTAAAATTCCAATAAAGCTGACCACATGTTATGATATCTCAACAAAGCAGCCTTTAAAATAACAATAGCCAAATACGGGCTTAGTGAAAACTATCAACATGTCTGTTTGTCTATCACTGTATGGAAATTACTTTAAATAAATTTTGGATGGACTGATTTTTATAATCATTTAAATACATAGAAATTAGGCGAATATTCGTCAAGTTACGAGTATATCTTTGCAGAAGATATATTTATGGTACTGCCACTCCCTTCATGAAAAAAAAATTGATTCATTCTACATCTTTATTTTTTTTAAATGAGAACATGTTTGCTGATATTTATCTGCGACAATTAACATCAATTGTGGTAACGTCGTAATATCTAGATGTATTTTAAAGTTACAAAATATGTCGAGTATTTTAGTTGTATGATTTGAAGTGAATAATCGGTTTATTGGGGTATTAGGTGTTGGTATGTGCAATGTGCGCCGCAATATGAACAATTGTAACTTCGTAGCTACAACCAAACAACTTGATCGTTCTTATCCTTCAAGGATACGAAGAATGGATACAGTTCATTAAAATTAATTAAATAAAAGTGAACATTTATAGACCTTGTTTTCTGAATTCGATTGAGCCATTGTCATTTCATTGATTTTCATGATGATTTTCATCACCATCTTCGTCCAATTATTATACCGAATTGGTTGTTTTAATACCAAATTTGTAACATTTACCGATCGATCGGCCAAAATTTATTTAAATACTTATATAAAATTTATAATAAAATCAAAATCGCAGTACTTTCCCTGATGTATTTTCACTGATTGATTTATTTTGAGTTCAAACCGATTTGTGTTGTTTGAATCAATTTCAGATGACTTGCTTTCACCTAAAATTATGTATTTATCGCACTTGCAAGAATTATCCATTTTCTTCAAAATTTCGAATTAAAGTCATGAAAGGAAATTGAAACTGTGATTTAATTTTGATTGGCGGGAACAGCTACCGAATTTGAATGACAAAATGACCAGTAGCATATAAACACTTGTGCAAACAAATTGATTTTATTCTTGTTTTGAGTGCGTGCCCTATTCCAATATGGTAAAATCAATTTCGAACCTTTTTCATTTCTCTATTTTGAATTTTATGGTACTGGTATTGAAGTATACCTTACGAAAAAAATCACGTTCAATACTCAATGTACAGAATAGTCTGAGTTCATTGTCCTCGACTTGTACAATTGCAATTAAACTCAAATGTCTAATCATTTCATGGCTTCCGTTCAAATATGATATTGACTTAATGTTAGACTTTTTTCTGAAAATTGTTAAATTTGTTCTGTAATCTTAATATCATGCTCTTTTCCGCATTTCATTTATTAACAGATCGTAATCATGGTTCGATTAAAATGCCAAAGCAATGAAGGGATTATACAGTTCTTACTTGTATCATCAATGCTACAAATTGGCGCCATAGCAGTAAATGTAGACGAAAAAGATTTCCGTTTCATTTCATTCCAAGGTGAGTTTTATAGATAGATTTTTCTAAAGATTGATGGTGAATTTCGTTCGATTTTATTGAATATTAAGGAAAACATTTGGTTTTGTTTAAAGAGAAATATTGATAGATTTAATATAATCATACATCGATGTATGTGTGTGGCTTCTTTATGGACAATGTCATGGTGTAAATATGGTATGGAGCTTACATGAGAAAATGCGAAGTGAGAGGAGGAGAAGAATTGAAAAAACCAGATTTGTGAAACGTTATATCGTGCAAAAATTGACGAAGCAACAAGAGCAAAAACTGTATGAAACATCTCACTACATCCTTATTTCGGAATGTAACGCATGAGAGAAGAAGAAACCAAAAACATCTTTCATACGTGTATACAATGGATGGATTGATTAAATTCCATGCAGCTAACTTTATAACAATTATATGCGGCAAAAAAATCTTAGAAATTCACTGCAAGTCTATAAATATGTTGAGTGCTTAGAAGCATAAAAATAATTTGATTTGTACAGAACACCAGCGAAACATTCATCGAAACGATAACTAACCCTAAGCATAAAGTCATTGATCGATACAAACGATACAAATGGCTTGTATTGGTACACACCCATCTTAAGAAAGAAGTTAATCAAGTAAAAGGTTTAGCGACACTTTATTTTCAACTTCGGTCGTTTTCTTTCGTTCAGAAGATAATGCCAATGACCACTCTGTACAAATTGATAAATAATATTCTAGTTTTGAACAAGTTTTAATGCAACAAGGTAATTCTAAATAGATTTACTATATTTTGCATTAATTTTAACAAAAATTTTACGAAGGTCACTACGAGCACATTTGGTTTATTGAAAGACTGGAAGATAGAATGCATTAATTTTTTATGTCCACATCAAAAGATAATTTGTATTCAATCACATGCAATCAGCTTAGATAGTAATATGTTTTTGTGTTGACTTTGAACCGTTAATGTTGATTAATGAAATGATACATACCGAGTTTTTTTTCTTGTTTGTGGCCATAAAATCTTTCTCAGGAATTCTAAATACATTTCATTTTAATACACAAATTATCAGTTGATGAAAACAATTAAATTTTTAAAGGGCGCAATTTATATCAATCTTATCTTTTGTCTTACCCCGCTAAGTGAAGTTGTTATTCTGTTAAGGATAAGCATGTGTTAGCACATTTGTGTGAACTCGTTGTGAACAAAAAATATGCTCCAAGAAAGAAAAAAATAATATATCTTGACAAATATTTTAATATTTCTGAAGTTGAAATTTGATTGGCAACAATTTAACTTTCAATGGCTCCTTAAAAATGCATGTATCGATTACGGTAACTGAATGTAATTTTGGGTCAGCAGACAGTCTATAATTATCTTTTTTTTTGAAATATTTGAATTAACATCGCCAGATCACCTAGGTAAGACACTGGTTTTTTCCTAAACTGCTAAGAAATTGTAAACAGCATTGCATTTTCTCAGTTTATGCAGCTATTATGCATTGGAATGGAGACATGAGTTGCTTTTAATTGCGGAGGTTGTTCTGGTTTTAGGCTAGTTTTGTTTTGCAGGTGTTAAATTTTTTTTATCATCGTACACTGTCAATCTATTTTAATTAGATATATACGAAATATGTGGCGCCAATGATAACATTTACTTCATACTAAATCATTTTCCACACTTTTTAATATTGGACATAAAACAATATTTATATATTATGTTATATTTTTTCAAATTTTAGACTTGCACCAAACATCTGACCGCTTCGAAGATGAGAAATTTTCATCTTTTTCACGATTTCTGTTTGACGTTTCGCATAATCAATTGGTGGTTGGAGCTCGGTAAGTTAATTTTAAATTAAATAACTTGAACACATTTTGTTTTCGGAAAATTCTACAATCTTTTCATAAATTGACACAATGAATAGGCTCTTCTTGATCAAATTTCACCCGAATTAAAGTTAGCTTTTCTGAGATTTATTCTCCAGTCTTCTACTTTCGAATCGAAACCCTTTTGTTTTTCAATCAGTCATTTTTCAATTATTCTACAATCGAATAAAGAGAAGAGATTTATTATATCTAATGATTTTTTGTTGTTGTCGGAAGCAGCTTTGCTTACAATGAAAATCTTATGAATAGAGAGAGAGAGAGAGAGAGAGAGAGAGAGAGAGAGCGCATTGGTAACACGATGAGTATACCAAAGAAAATATTGCAAATCTTCCATTACATTCAACTTGCGATCAAATTCAAGCGAAATGTAAAAAGCGATACGTGCACTGACATCAGAAAATGAATTGAGTGAGGATCGACATGCAAACCGGTTGAATAAGTTCCATGGGCCCACAGCCTACATAAATGTAGCACAACACAACTTCGTTGCCGATGTGGGCGTAAGTGCGCGTTACGATGATATGGCGGTGCACATATGGTGAACGCATTGCCATCTATTTTTATTGAGAAAAATTCTATCCCGTTCAAACAAATATGCCTCTTTATTGCACCCAATAATACTCAATTTTTTTAAAAAATAATAGCAACATTTATAATAATTGGAAGAACAGAAAGCATAAGCACGGAAAAACAATGAACTCTTGTCCTTGTGAAAATGAAAACATTCACTAAACTTCAGTTTCAAGTCAATTCGATTTTACTTTCTTTATAAACACGCTTGTTTTGAGTTTCAAGTCTGGTTCAACTGATTAATAAGTTGTTGAAAATGATAGCGTCAAAGGCACATATGATGGAAAATAATCATAGACCAAGTTAACTTATACATTTGAATATTTTTATAGACAAGATGTGGAATTTTTTCTCGCCTACTTACCTCTTTAATCTCTTGATTTTCATTTTTTAATATTTAAAAAAATATATTCCTTCATACAACTTTCTTAATTCTAGCGATGCTTTATTTCGTCTGTCATTCTCACTGGAATTGTATGAGAGCCGCGTTTGGGAAGCAAGTGACTCAATTATTGAAATGTGTAAAACGAAAGGTGCTAGTGATGATGATTGCCACAATTACATAATGGTATTACAAAGTTATGGTAATCAATTGTACGCTTGTGGAACACATGCTTTTAGTCCACAGTGCTCTTGGCGCCAAGTGAGTATCTATTGTTCATTTATTTGGGTTGCCAAGATCAACTAGTTTGTGTTTATTGATTTGAATTTCAGATGGACAATTTGAACATCACGAAACTTGACAAAGGAGTGGCGAAATGTCCATTTAATCCACATGCCAATATAACTACGTTGATGACAGAAAATGGCAGTCTGTTTATTGGTTCTTCTACCGATTTTTCTGGCACCGATCCAGCCATTTTGCGAGCGGATGTGTCAAAAGTATGAAAACTGGACTATGCCTATTCACACTTCACACTTTTATTTTCATTACTACAAAATGTTGCTTTAATTTTTGATCAAACAGAAGAGAGAGGACAATAAGATCATCCGTACCGATCAATACAATTCAAAATGGCTGAATGCTCCAAATTTTGTTGGCAGTTTTGAAGCTGGAGATTTTGTCTATTTTGTGTTTCGTGAAGTAGCCGTCGAATACATCAACTGTGGAAAGGTACAAACAATCTTGTGACGGATAATATTGTTTTGATTCACTATTTCTTTGTCAATTTTGCATATTTAGATTATTTATTCACGTATTGCACGTGTTTGCAAATCCGATCCAGGTGGACAGCGAGGTAGTAGAGATAATTGGACATCATTTGCAAAGGCACGATTAAATTGTTCTCTGCCCGGTGAATATCCATTTTATTTTAACGAAGTTCAAGGAATTGAATATTTAACGGATGAAAATATTTTATATGCTACATTCACCACACCACAGTAAGAAAAAGTCTTTATGCCAAAGTGTGATATACGTATATTAATGTAAAATATGCTCTTCCTCACAACAGAAACAGTATCCACGGTTCCGCAATTTGTGCGTTCAATTTATCGGCTATAAATTTGGCATTCAGTGGTCCATTTAAGCACCAAGAAACCACTTTATCCACGTGGGAACGGAAAGACTGGGAGTTCCGTAATCAATTTGAGTGCAAATTTAGTTCAGTTCCGTCAATACGTCATGATCTTTTGATGGGGTCACATCGCTTCCAATTGATGAATGATGCCATTCAGCCAATTACAACTCAACCATTGTACACATCTGAACAAGAACGTTTTACTCATATCGCTTTGGACGCAATTGCAACAAAACTTTACAATAGAGTACAAATCATGTATGTGGCCACAGAGGAAAATTTGATAAAAAAACTATCGATATTACCGCGTACCAAGGAAACATGTCTCATCGAAATTTGGCAACCAGTAATTCAAGAAGATTCGACCATATTGACCATGCAATTTTTAAAGCACACCGAATCATTGTACGTTGGAACTAAAAAATCAGTTCTCCGAATTCCAGCACAGCATTGTAGTCGACATTCGAAAACGAATTGCATAATTGCGATGGATCCATATTGCGGTAAAAATTTGCCCGTCAAAAGTTTCTCTTTTTCCTATACTAAACACACGATGTGTTAAACTCTCATAAATTTTAGGTTGGAATGATTTGAAAGAAGAGTGTACAACTCCCCCAAATGGAGAAACGTCGAAACGTTTCTGGGTCCAACAAGCCAATGAATGTCCCGTCACAACTAAAATACCAATTGACGGTGGATTTTCTTCTTGGAGTGAATGGAAGTTGTGCAATCATCACAGCGATGATAATCGACACGAATCCAGCAACATTGACAATTGTTTGTGTCGCACAAGAACTTGTGATAATCCATCGCCAAAAAATGGCGGAAAAGAATGTAAAGGTAAATCAAAACCATTTGCCAGAATCCACAAATCCATACATTGGAGTTGAAAATTAACTCGGGGAAATCTTCTTTTTTTATTTAAAGGGGCAACAATTAGTGTGACCAATTGTACAGTGCACGGAAGGTGGACCGAATTTGGGCCGTGGGGTAATTTTTTTTATATTATAAATATTTTATAATTTTCCAGTCAATCGTTCAACATTGAGTGAAAGCGCCATGCCACTTTTAAAGAGTTTGACTATAGCACTTTCACCGAATGTTGTACAGTTTTATAAAATACTAATACGTAGAATATCGCTTTTTGTCAAACTGTAGGTCCGTGCAGTCAAACGTGTGGAATTGCAGTAAAAAGTCGGCGGAGATTTTGCGGTAATCCGGCTCCGGCGTTTGGTGGACGAACTTGCGTCGGATCGGACAGAAGTAAAAACTGAAAATCAAACACAAAACTAGTGATTTTAATGAATATAAACTTTACATTCTAGGTGAAATGTATTGCTCTAATCTCCCGCCTTGCCCAGAGCCGAAAAAGCAAGCGATTGTTGTTGACGGTGGTTGGGGTCCATTCGGAAAGTGGTCCGAATGTTCAACGCCCTGCGGAGGTGGATATCGTTTGCGCCGAAGAATTTGTGATGATCCCTCCCCAGAAAACGGCGGCCTTGACTGTACAGGGTAAATATTTCTAACTAACTTGAAAATATTGTTGCACTATACCATTCAATACACTTTTTGTAGTTGTGGTGTTGAATATGAGATGTGTAATACACAGCCATGTTTAGAAGTACAAAAGCTTGGACCATGGACACCTTGGTTACAACAACCGATGGCTAACTATACCAATATCAATGGCGAATACCTTGAGAAGCGTTTCCGTTTTATGTGCAAATTGAATGGAACCGATGCAAAAGTTTTCAAAGCAAAAGAAGAAAGCCGAATTTGCTCGGGTGGATTTTGTCATCGTGTTAGCGATGAAAATGGTAATTTGGGTTTCAGTGAATGGTCTGTGTGGAGTAACTGCTCTGCCCACTGTGGTGGGGGACAACAATTCCGTACGAGAACATGTGAGCGAAATATCTGTGAAGGATCTACGAAAATGACGAGAGCATGTAATACACAACCATGCTTAAAGCTACAAAAGCTTGGACCCTGGATACCTGAAGGTACGCAAATGATACATGTGTAGATGACCTATGTGCCAATCTTATATCCAATTCTTCATTTTTATTTTAGACAACTGGTCATGTTGGAGTGATTGGAGTCAATGTAATGAGGACGGCGAAAGTATGCGAACGAGAACGTGTCTATCATCACATACAGATTCAAATATATGCCATGGAAACGATCGCGAAATTCGATCATGCGATAATTATTTAACAAATGGTATTGAAAATATAATATCATTTGGAAATTTATTTTGTTTTAATCGTTAAAATTTATTCACAGAAATATCGACAGCTGGACCATCGTCGTATTTGTTAATCTTTTTAATAGTGTTGCTCTCGTGTTCAAACTGTTTCATCTATGTGTATATGAAAAGACGTTATGGTTCACCACGAGAAATAAAAAATATCGGATCGCCATGTTTTGATTCATTTCCAAACCAATATTCAAGTTTACCGACAAGAGAAGATAGACCAAAGGTGAAGCGTCAGTCATCGTTCATTGGTACAAATGGATCGCACGTAAAACTATTGTCAAATGGCACATTAACAAAATCAAATAACGTGAGTGGTCATAACATGCCAAAAGTGTTATCAAAATCTTTTGTTGAAGTTGACACGGCAACAATAAAGCGCAATTCACATGGACTAAATAATTTGCGGCCAATACGCAGCATTGATGATGACAAATTTTAGCAACAGAAAAAAATAATTGAAAAAGTCTGATTTTGTCAAAACTACAACGAGTTCACAAAATGTTTATTATCCATAAAAAAACATAGCGAGATAACTAATCTAATCGTGATTTAAATGAATTAACGAGTAAAATTGTATTGTTAAAAAAGACGTCCAGCTACTTAAGATGCAACATAGTTGCTTTATTTGTTTAATGAAATAGAGTATTCGTCTAACAAAGATAATAATTTGTGCCATCCAATTTCTACATTTTAAAACAATTTTTTTAGAAGTATTTAATGTATTAAGAATCTATGATACGTAGAATATGTGACAAATGTCATACTTCTTTTGTTGTAGCTCATATTGAGCCAAAATATAAACTTATACAATTTTAAAATAGTTTCTACTTTCGTTTCGGCCAGAGAATTGTCATTAAAGTAATACAATAATGAAAATAATACAACTAATAAAGAGTAACTATTTAGAAATTTTCGTTCATTTGTCCAATTTTTTTCAATCTCGTAAATCGATTTCAATGTGGTATGTATTGCGTCAAATATCTTAAACTTAGGCACAGCATGGCTATCGCGCTAGAAATAGCTGTGCCTGCTGAAACCATACAAAACACACAGCCTGTTTCTGTATGTTATATTTCAAGCGATTTTGTTTCAATTTTTTCTTCAGAAATGGCTTTCCTTATGTGCATTGTTTCGAACGGTTTTCGTTCACCTCTTGTTCGACAATTGAAGTACAGGTCTGTGAATGTGGGGGTTGTTGGTGTATATTTTTTGGTTTGTAAACTATACCTGTGAGCCAAAAATCACCAATTGATTCGCAACAAATTCACGAGAGCAATGCTAACATTTGACAACCAATCGAGAGACACATTGGCCACTTTCTTTCGCTTGCAAATTTCCAATTTTTGCATTCGTTTATTGTTTTCGGTATTTATTTCGATGCAACACATCAAGTCATGTCGATATTATCCTCTTATTGTCACCGATTCACAACTTGAAGTTGTGGAATCGCATAAAAAGTATTTCTTTTCAGTGGGTTAACAATCGATCTATTTTCTTATTCTTAATTAGCAGACGGTTTGCATATCGGGATATTTAACGCGAAAACAATAAAAGTGATTGTTATGGTTTATATTCTGAAATATCTCGAATGAATATCCATCCAAAATATATAGACTGGGGATAGGTTTGTAAATTCAGTTCCATGTTGTTCGATTTTATTTATTAAAATCAATTGGAGTATCATGCATGATTAAAACAAATTTCTTCTTCTCTTCGGAGGAAAACACAGAGTTTTTATTTCAATTATTTCGAACTTAAAATATAAATGTATAAAAACAAAAAATGTTCTATTATATATTCAAGTACGTCTCGTAAACATGTTTCTCGATAGAATCATAAAAAAATTCATTTGGCATTAAACTCGTCAATAAATTGGCTGTGTAGTCATAATTTTGCTACATAATTTTTTTTCAAAATTTATTTTTTCAATTAAGTGTAGAGGAAGTGTAGGTAAGTGTACAACATTTTGTTTCGAAGTGTACCTGAATTTTTTTTTCAAAAAATCGACTTCATTTTTTTGGGGTCCTCATAATTGAATGCTTGAGAATAATAATGAAACTTAATTTTTGTTCAAACTGAAGTGTCCCTTCGAAATATTTCCAATAAAAGTGTCCCAAGTTTATATGGCAAACTATATACAAACTTGGGACACTTTTATTGGAAATATTCCGAAGGGACACTTCAGTTTGAACAAAAATTATGTTTCATTATTATTCTCAACCATTCAATTTTGCCCGGGGTAGCTATTTTCTAAATCCAAAATGTCTCTATTGTCAATTGAAAGTGGATTTGGATCGGTTATTACATAAACTTTAAATGTTAAACTTCAGCGTAACATATCCCTTTTGTCATTTGATATACATACGAGGGGGAAACCACGGATTCTAATATGTGCTAATTTTTTCTAATATTTCTAGTAAAACGCCATATAACATGTACATTTGACATCTTTCTAATATGTTCTAGTTTTTCTAGTATCGAGTTCGTGGGTAACCGCAAGTATACATATGATCGGCTGAGAATAAAAGTGACTTTAAGTTTTTTCAAACCGTCTCCATCTTATGTAAATCCTACACAAATTATGAGACACTTTTAAGATTTTTTCTGCTTAAAGTCTCTTTTATTACCAGCCGTACATATGTAATATATAAAGTAGTAAATGCATTTCCTATAATAAAACGGATGATGATCAAAGAACACGTATTTTTAATGGAACGAACAAAATTTTACACATATACACTAATTTTTTTTAAAACTACTCATTTAAAATGTAAATTGAATCTAAAATGAAAAAAGAATAAGAAGAAAATCATAAATTTATTATGAACGTTGGACGTAAAATGTGTGCGAAAATGTCGCGCATGTTAGTGAATGCATTCTCATTCAAATATTAGTCTATGTTGGGCAGCAAGAAACGTTCCTTCATTTCAAAAGTATAATAACATAATAATAATTATTGTCTGTAGTTTCTGGCCTCATCCTCTTCCTTCTTGAGTGCCTGAATTAAAACCAAGCTTAGCACCACATTTATAACCTAGAAAGAGCAAAATCAACGAGAGAGAGAGAGAGAGAGAGAGAGAGAGAGAGAACAAAAGGAATGAGCAAATGGAAAAAAATTGTACAAGTTCATATTTCAGCAATACAACCGGCATTTTTAACATTTTTATTCTGCCGTTGCATTTTGTATCCAGTGCATTGTGCAAATGATAGACTATGGCTTACAGAGGCTCATCAATGTAATTGAAATTTTCAAATAACCACATATTTTCCACATCTAACATTTCAAATTAATAAAATGCAAACGAATAAAAAAGGAAAAAAAAGGCTCATGTTTGAAAAAAAAGCCTAATGATTAAAAATCGCAGAAAAATTTGTTTTAATGTTCAGAAATGTTGGGGTTGGAACATCAAAAATATGTCAAAGATGGACATTTCCATCATTTTGCACAATATTATAATCATAAAAATAAAATTGAATCTTTTTCAACAAAATGCTGTTACAGAATTCATTCGGTTTTCATTTTGGATTACCCATACGTACTTGAATGAATGCAAGTGTCATCGCCAGTCCGGCAACCCAACCACTTTTATCCTCAAGTAGCCAGGTCAGCTCATCAACACAGCCATGGAAAAATGCATTACCCGTTACAGTGTCCCGACATGTTGATGGCAATGGTTGACGCATAATAATATAGTCATTAGACCCATCTGCACCGCAGCAACCAATCTGGATTGGATAAAGAGCAAAAAAAAAAGAATTCAAAAAAATGTTGTCAGAAAAATAGTTAAAATGGAACATAATAAAGAAAATAAAATTCGGAAACTTATATTGCAAAACCGCTTAACAAGATGTTAACAACGAAAAACCATTTTACTTTTTTTGTTATTTTCTTTACTTTTGTATCATTTGGTTCTAATTCGGTAATCGATTTTATTATTTGATTTCGTATACATTTTCATCTGTCTGTCATTCATCGTTCGCAATTCGAGTGTGTTCTAATGTCTATACATCTAATATACTTACATTTTCCTGAATCATTTTCAAAACGGTCGTTGATTGAGGTGTAGACGATGACATGATTAAACGTCTCATTGAGTCACGAATGAATGGCTGTATGCTTGAATTTAGTGTACTGTAATCCAATAGTACAGCCGATCCAGCCACATGTATGATGAATGCCAAACATTGCGTTCCAATAAACTGTTGATGTGCACATGACCGTTTTGAAATCATGTTGATATTTCGTTTTGTGTGTCCATATCGTCCAGGCGTGAGACGGTTTAATGATGGCCACAGTAAGAAGTCCACGATGATGACGGTTTTATTGTATTTGATAGGCGATTCAGGCGCAGATGAGGGATGAAAACAACATGTGTTCGCACAAAACACACAAACGGTCAGCGTTGTCGTCATCGTCGTTGTTATCCGCACGATGAATTGAAAAGCAAAAAAAAAAAAACACAAGAAAAAAGATAGAAATTGTTTGAAAAAATAATAATAATATCGAAGTATACTGGTAACTTTTATTCCGAATTCGTTTTTAGGCAAAAAGGTACATTGATAATAGAAAATAAGTAACCGAAGAGATTACTATTGTAAATTCAATTTGTGTTTAAACAATTTGGAATTTACTGAATGAGCATGTTCCACTCTCTTGTAAATTTTCCAAGAGTGGATCGTGTGGAAGGGGCAGACTGCTTTGACGATAAATAATACAGAATCTATTAAATAAGAAAATGCTTACCAAAAACAATCCCTGCGTATGTTCCATTAGTGCACTGCAACATCCCAAAAATGACACAATCAATATTATCACCGAAGCAGCAATTAAAATGTAAATGCCAACATAGTAAACGTATATGTCTAATATTTGGATCCATTCTTCAAAACTTTTCTCCGCACGAATCCATACCGTTGCAATAAACATTCCAGCGCCAATTATCTGTATAATGTAAAATCATTTATCACTATTATTAACTAATTTTTATCCTCTTCGGTTGTGGACAACCAAAATTTCAAATATGGTAGCATATTTGGTGGACCCATGTTTTAGCTAACAAACCAACTGCTGATAAAAGTAGCTGGCTATTCGTGGAATTATGACCGATCATTGCACCAGACTTTATGATAAAGTATAGACTATCAGCGGTTAGTTGATGGCTAGTCGCAATTCAGTAACTGCTGAGCAGTTAGATCGAGCATGGGTGTGATACAATGGCATTGATGCAGTTGAAGTAATGGAAAGGATTTACTAAAATTTACATTTTTATTGAAATAGAGATCTATTTATTCTTCAAATTCAAATGGGAAATAAATACGAGTTTATTCATTCGATGATAGGATTTTTCTTTTCGCCCCTAAACTCAGAAAATATAAAACGAAACAGAGCAAAAACAAAATGCAACGAAAAAAGAAAATTACATTGAGTCTATTGCATCGAGAATTTATGGACATTTCGTTCGATTGTATATTCATGCCAATATTGCAATAGAATCTAGCATGCTAATATTGCAAACACGATATTGTGTCGCGTAAATGTGTTAAACATGCAATCCATATTCTTACCGCTCTGACACATATACACATTACACATACAATCGTGAATTGTTTCGAGACTTGATTTCGACGTCTCTCAATCTCTATCACTATTTGTATATGATAGCATGAGACACTTTTTCCCTACGCCATCGTTGTTGCTTCTGTGCTAAAGCATTTCTTATCAGCGCACTCTGCAATGAATCTCTCATAGCAATGAATCACCGCACGACTCATACGTTATGATGCATAAACTTCGAAGAATTTCCTGGAAAATCAAATGTCTGGGGTGTGTGTCACTTGTTTTATGCCAGTACTACGGAACTTTATAAACGTTTTGCTTGTTCATTTTTTTGATTCTCGTATGTTCCAATTCCGAAATGTATACGAATTAAAAAACACTGTTTTAGTCATGTTTTCGTTCATTTCGTACTTTTTTTGTTGGCTCAATTGATCGAAAAAGGGAATTTGAAATTGCGAAGGTGATGCTGCTGGAAACACTAAAACACATACACACAACTTGTCAATGTTTCACTCTCGTTCACTTACCCATGCAATGATGTTGAAACAGAATATGGAATATTTTATGGTCGATATTTGATTTTCCAATTTAGCCATGTTGGCTCCTTGACCATTTCCTTTGCCAGCCATGTCACTTCGTTTCGTTCAGCCTTCTCTTACTCTAAGTTTTTATACTGTGATCCGATTACACCGTCGCCCCTTTACTTTTTCTCTATTTCGAAAGCAACTTTAAACTGATATATCACGTCAAGCACGGGCTTCAATTTTCAGGTCAATCAGATAGCACAAAATTAAAAATTGGCTTGGTAAATTATAAATTTTATTTGAATGTTTTACTTTAACTAAAAATGCCCAATCAATTTACTTTGTTTTTTTTTCACTTTTGAATCAAACACGCCGTTTTTGTAACGATTTTTGCACCAACTTTTTAAGTTAATCACTGTATACAATTTATGATTTTTTCAATTCGAAAAATGTTCAAATCAAATGAATATCTATTATTTTTCATTCCAACGAATTGATTGGCACACCTTGAATTATTTCAAATTGTGGGAGAAGAATTTAATTTGAATATCAAGTTAAAAGACACTCACTTGTACTATTAAAACCTCGCCCTATATTCGGATCGCAAACTAAATGTTCGACATCTAATACGATATAAGAATATGTGAAATTCATTACACGAATTGGCTACGATTGTTCATATCATATCTTTGGTTGATTTTTGTGTGGTAATCTATTCGTGTGTTTTCTTTACATGTTTCCGTTTTTAGGTGTGTGAATTACACTATCTATGTCGTTTTGTTATTATTGGTATGAAAATTCATTGGAATTCTTCGTTCGTTGGATTTATTTAGTTGGGATTCAACCTGTTTCGATTACAAAATACATTGTGTGTGTGTTTAAAAGCTTGTGTTTTAAATACGATGTGTGCAGAAAAAGATAATCTTATCTCTTATCGTGCGTTTGTTCGTGCGATCGTGTTCGCGTTCTTTTACTCGCTCGATCTCACAGCGTTGAAGCCGTGACAATATCTCGAGCGTTGTTATCTTACGTTACGCCCGTTAGCTGCGCGCGATTCTTACACGAAACAGCAACAAAAAATACACACCACGAATATAAGCTCGAAATATGAAAGAGACAACGAAGTGTGATAAAGTGTTTGTTGTCTTTTTTGTACTGAAGAAGAAGAAGAAAGCCGAATTTGCTCGGGTGGATTTTGTCATCGTGTCAGCGATGAAAATGGTAATTTGGAAATTCAGTGAATGGTCTGTGTGGAGTAACTGCTCTGCCAACTGTGGTGGGGGACAAGAATTCCGTACGAGAACATGTGAGCGAAATATCTGTGAAGGATCTACGAAAATGACGAGAGAATGTAATACACAACCATGCTTAAAGCTACAAAAGCTTGGACCCTGGATACCTGAAGGTACGCAAATGATACATGTATAGATGACCTATGTGCCAATCTTATATCCAATCGCACGTAAAACTATTGTCAAATGGAACATTAACAAAATCAAATAACGTGAGTGGTCATAGCATGCCAAAAGTGTTATCAAAATCTTTTGTTGAAGTTGACACGGCCACAATAAAGCGCAATTCACATGGACTTAATAATATGCGGCCAATACGCAGCATTGATGATGACAAATTTTAGCAACAGAAAAAATAATTGAAAAAGTCTGATTTTGTAAAAACTACAACGAGTTCACAAAATGTTTATTATCCATAAAAAAACATAGCTAGATAACTAATCTAATCGTGATTTAAATGAATTAATGAGTTTAAAATTATATTGTTAAAAAGGACGTCCAGCTACTTAAGATGCAACATAGTTGCTTTATTTGTTTAATGAAATAGAGTATTCGTCTAACAAAGATAATAATTTATGCCATCCAATTTCTACATTTTAAAACAATTTTTTAGAAGTATTTGATGTATTAAGAATCTATGATACGTAGAATATGTGACAAATGTCAACTTCTTTTGTTGTAGCTCATATTGAGCCAAAATATAAACTTATACATTTTTAAAATAGTTTCTTCTTTCGTTTCGGCCAGAGAATTGTCATTAAAGTAATACAATAATAAAAATAATACAACTAATAAAGAATAACTATTCAGTAATTTTCGTTCATTTGTCCAATTTTTTCAATCTCGTTAAGTAGATTATCGATTGTAGCTTCTGTTGGAGCCGGAAAACATGTTAATGTCATTCGGAAGAAATTGCCAATATTTTTCGATGGCAAAGGTGCATAATTAACCATTACAGTGCCATTTCGTATCATTGCTTCCTTGATTTTTGGCACAATATTATAGACCTCACTCCACCAGCTTTCATTCTCCGTTTTCATGCGCAACGCTTGTGGAACATACCAAAACGAAACGTTTGTATATTGAAAATTGCTCATGACCAAGCGGAATGCAGAACGTTTTGATAGCTGTTGTTCTAAATAGTTGGCCTTTTCCATACAGTTGTCAAACAAGCGTTCAAATCCAGATATTCCACGTGCTGTCAGAAGAATCAATCAATTGTTTATATCATGATTAAATGCCCGTATTTCATATTACTTCAACAAATTCTTACCTTTTAGCATTAACCAAAACTTGAAAACATCCACTTTTCTTCCACATTGAACGCTTTTATCTCCTAAAATGATATTTTAAAGAAAAAATAAAATAAACATTCAAGTTTATTGCTATGGATCGATTAGAAAGTGCACTAAATACCGGTGTCGTATGAAACATCATAAAATTTATCCTGCTGAAAAAGATAATCGGCATTCGCTGAATTGCATTTATGTAGAAATCCATTTTCTTTTGTCAAGTACATTGAACATTGCAACGGAACCCCCAGACTTTTATGCGGATTAAATGCAATCGAATCAGCACGGTGAATTCCGTCCAGAAGGTGCTTATGTTTTTTAGAGAATATTGAACTTCCTCCAAGACATGCATCCACGTGCAACCATATGTTATATTTTTCACACACGTCAGCAATGGCATTCAGATTATCGAAAGCACCCAAAACTAGAATTGAAAACAAAAAACCGATAAGAAATTGATACATTTTTTCCATAAACGACACATACCTGTAGTCCCTGCGGTAGCGTTAACAAAGAAAGGCTGACGATTACTCAGTAGTACATTTTCAATGTTCTCAATTAGGTCATCCACTTCCATACGTCCTTTTTCATCAGTTTTCACAACAATCAGATTGTCTATTCCGATACCGAGCCAGTGAATCGCCTTCTTAATACTATAATGCGATTGATCAGAAGTGAATGCGACGATTGGACGCATCCCAAAACATCCAGTCGATTTGACATTCGGTATTAATTTATATCTCGCTGAAACCATTCCATACCTACAATGAAAATCATTCGAATTCGAAAGTGGTCACGAGTTCCATTTTCTTTATCTTTTTTGTTGTTAGACTGGGAAATGGACTTACATGTTCGATAGTGATCCCCCAGGAGAAAAAATGCCGTCACCATTTTCAAAGCCGAAAAGTTTACAAAAAGTTCGTATGACTTCATTTTCCATTAACGTGAAGACGGGAGCCACTTCAAATGTGTACTGACTGGTATTCAACGCATCTGTTATCCAACTTCCTGCCAAACCGTAAGGATCCACTGCCCCAAATAATTGATTATGAAATTGTGGATGAGACGTTTTCAGCGAATATTGTATGACTAATTCGCAAAATTTTCGAATTTCCTTTAAATTGGTTCCATCATCAGGGATTTTAAAATCTAGAACATTCTGTACAACACATATTATTATAATTACATTGTTTGTATTATGATTTCATCAATAAACTACCATCAGTTCGTCGGGAAACTTAAAATTCACTATTGGCGTTGAGGTCTTTGGATTTAATATATTTGCATCCTCCAACATCTTATATACGTCTCGTAAAAGACTCCATTCATCCGTAGTTTCTTGTACGTTCATTTTTCAATAATTGTTGTTTACCGTTTGGAACTAAATTTACAAAAATTTATATATTTTATTGAATAAGAGATCTTTTCTATGTAAAAAAAACCAGCAATATTATTTATAATATTATTGTTCTTTGACATAAGAACACATTTTTCAAAAGCAACACGTGATGCATACTAATTAGGTAGAAAATTTTAAAATACTTCTCACTTCCTCACTACTTTCAGCCGTTATAGTCGTGTCAAATCGATTGCGAACCTTCAACACTATCAGTTCAATTAAATTTCTACAAAAAATCACATGTTGTTTAGTTCAAATGTTATATATTGCTAACTATATCGAGTAAAAAGCATTAAATATAAATTAAACATAATTATGTATGCTAATGATGTTAAATAATTTCATCATAAAACTGTTAATTTCATAGATTCATTGAATGAAAGAAGAAAAAAAACCTTTCAACGTCACACCATTCATTTCTCTTAACTGACACCAGCGTATAGGAGTGGCATTATTCTATTTATTTGTGTGGTGCGTATGTCAGTGAACTGTCAAAATAAACTGTGTCGACATCAAAACTAAAAGGTTTTTTTCCCTTCATAAAAGTCAATAAATTTTAGTAACTAGTGATTTTTCGAAAAATATTTCCAAATAAAATGCCAGTAAGTTGATTGTTATGATTGGTGTATGATATTTATTTTTTAATTTAACAATTATTCCGGTTTACCTCGAAGGAAGAAGATGAAAATAACACACACTCAAGCGAAAATGATGATGAAATCGAAAATGTTCGAGTTGTGGTTCGTGTACGTCCAATGGATAAATCTGAACTGGAATCAGGTTGCGAAAACTGTGTAAAGGTGGACAAGATAAATAGATGCATCACTGTAATTAAGCCAAATGCACCAGCCACTGAACCACCGAAAAACTATTATTTCGACAGCGTTTATGCAGAGGATTCAACACAGGTGCGTTTTTATTGACATATACACTTGCACAGACTGCGTTCACAAACACAACTATACGTTTAATATGGACAAATCGTTTACATTTTTGAGTTACCTTTTATTGATTTTTCGTTTAAAAAATTAAATTGGTAGTTTCTATAATTGTCGTTATGGTTTCATATCGCGCTTATTGCGTCTTAGGAACGCATAACAAATTTGTATAGCTTGTGTTTTGTTTATATTGATTTTTCTTTTCTATCTGTATGACAATATTACGTCCAGACAAAAAAAGAGAATGTTGAAGAAAAGAATGAAAATGAAAATTTAATTCTGAAAAAAGTTTCAAACATCTGTTTAACAACAGCAACAAAATATTACTACGAGAACTAAACGGTGTCAAGCGTAATTATTCCGTTTCCCCCCCCAACATAATGCATCTCTGTCTCTAATCGCTACATAAGCACGAATACAACAGCAAAGCCATACTCAAATGAAATCAGACGAAAATGAAATAACTACACTCATCGTTCACGCATATTTTTTTTTTATTGCCAACATATGTTTAGAGCATTCTCGACTCGAGCATGAAAATTTCGAGCATCTGGAAGAAGTTTTTTCACGTCATATCGTAAAAAAACATACCAAATTGGATGTCACAACTAAAGTTTCAAGTGGAAAAAAGCTATTGAAATTGTTTTAAAAAGAATAATAACGCTATTACTGTTTTTTTAGTCTTTGAACAAATACTTACTTAAATTATGGGGAAAGAGCGTGACGTCTCATAAAATTCGAACCAACTTATGAATAATTTACGTATTCAAAAAATGTAATGTGCGTGATAGCATGTCAAGATTTTCTCCATTTTCACGGAAGATCAAACTTACCAAAACTTGTCCCTTCTTTTCAAGTGTGCTATGGAAAAACAATTTACTCACCTTATCGCCAAAAATGAACACTTTTTCTTCTGAACAAATAGATATTAGTGAAAGGAATTGATAGTCGCTTTCTTTGTACACGTCATTTATTTATTCATAACATAGTTACAACAATGAAGTTTGAGAAAAGAAATAGTTATAATAATAAGACATTGGATTGCAGTTTGTTTAAAATAAAAGTAATGGCCACTCTTCTGTTGTGTTTGCTCTATTGTTACCTTCGCATGTTTTGAATTGTGTTGATGTGCACTATTAAAAATATTCTCTGTTAATGCTTCATCATTTCATATATGCATTATAAATGTAGTTATTTAAAATGACTTTATGTTTTTTCAAAAAATAAAAGAAAAGAATAGTGTGCCTAAATATATAGTAATAATTGCTAACGGTTTAAATTTTTGGTAAATCATTGAACATCAATTACACATGTACTATATAATATTCGAATATAAATCATTGGATGGAACTATTTTGCACTAGAGGCACTTTTATAAATTTTGAATTTTATTTGATTCCCTGCCACGTTGTCTACTCGAAAAATTGCATCTTATTAATGGTTTACCGTATTTGTTTTGCGTGGAAATGCGTTTAAAAGTATATATATTAACTCAAATATAAATCTGTGGGTTGAGCTAGATTTGATGTTAAACCATTTTACAGTACGTAAACTATTAAGAATACGTAGATAAAGTAACTCTTTTTGTTTTAATTACTACGAGCATAATGCTTAATTTTTTTGTTTGTTGCTTAAAATCGAAAATCGATATTTCTTTCTTTTCGTTGTTTTGATCGATTGGATCGTTGTTTCTGTATATTGACCGCCGCTTGATAAAATTTAATATTCGAATTCACCTCGGTTGCCGGCGCGAATCATCAAAATAGCATCGACCAAAAAGGTGATGGCGGTAATGATCGATATGAATCCAGATGCACAAAGTAGATCCAATCTAAGAGAAATGGGACCATAATATCTTTTATTAGCGAAGTCAAATACATTCTTTTCCACAAGGAATACTTAAAGGGTGTTAGATAATTAGTGAGCATACAAAACGACGATATTTTAATCATCAACGTGTGTTTTTTTTTTCTAATTAGGAATTGTGGTGAAAGTTTGTGTTTGATAAATGAGTGACTCATACATGAAACTTTCATGAAAGAACATGCATATATGAGTGAAATAAAATCCATACTCTATATTTGAAAATAAGTTAAATAGTTTACAATTAATATACAATCTCAATATTACAATAGCCAATTGAACAGCTTGGGTCGTCGTCAGTTTTATTGATTTGGTTTGATTGGAAAAGTCAAACGTTGGCTGTATTTTATAGACCAATGTATGAATAATTTATTGAAATTTTCAATGGTTTTTCATATATTGCGTGCTTGTTTTCATCATGTGCCTGGTTAAACAAAACAGATGACAAAAATCCCACCCATTCAGAATATAATGGAAGACCAATTTGTTATTAATTATGAAGTATTTGTAGGGGTAGTTTCTGTTCGCCACAATGAATACTTGGGCGTACTTTACATGGCATGATTTGTTTTCGAACGTTCTACTTTTCGGCGTTCAATGTGCTTACACAGTTAAAATATCGATATTTGAAAGTTTTTTTTTCTAACATAATTTCAAGAAAATGGAAAATGTATGTCAGCTTTAAAAAAAAAATCTTTTTCGAAATCGAAATATTGAGATTATAAATACCAGCAATTTCATCAATAATACGTGTTTCAAACGAACGTGAACATATACAAAATGTGTTGTTTGGTTGTATAAACGGACGAATACACAGTTAACCCTCTAACCGATAAGCGCCAATTCGTGGCAACTTTTTTGGAAATTTTTATTGAGAGTCCGATTTTCTTTCGGATACGGACCCAGCGGTTAGAGAATTATGAAAAAATCAATTCAAAATATATTCAATACACAAATATCTAAAGCACAACAAACAAAATGAATGAACTGTTATATTCATGAAATTTTAAATTTTTCACATGAATACACATCGAACATACACAAGAATTCTTTGCGGATGGATAAATTCGCACCCTTTGGTTGTTTCAACCGGTATACCATTCGGATTATTTGTGTTCATCGGTGCTGGCTCACCAGGGCTACTAAAATTGTTTGCATTTTCATTTTGTTTTTGTCATCACATGCATCGCATTCATTATGCACAAAAACAAAAGTCAATAAATTAATTGTTGTCTCATCAAAATCACTTGATTCGAATAACTTTAGCATTAAACATTCAAGAAGTAAAACAATAGATTTGAGAAAACTACCTGGTTGTATTTGGTGGCCAAATGTTGCGTTCCTTTGTGTCGGACCAGTTCTTCAACAACAAAAATCCACAGACCAAGAACAAGAACACCGCCACGCACGCGAAAATTGATGCTGTCTTCCACGGCCATCTGATTTTTAACAAAAAGATAATCGAAATCGCATTAAATTGGCTGCCAAAATTTATGTGAATAAAAATCATTATAAAATTTCTTACTCGTCACGAATGAGTTTTCCAATTAGGAAAATAAGAGTGTAGATCAAGTATGATCCAAATGTGACATAGACGAATGAAACTGTTCGTTGAGATACAAAAACATGAATTCTTGAATTATGCGCTGGATCATCGATCAGAACAAGGCACAATAAACACAAAACCTGGGAGAATGTTTAAAACAAAATTGAATATAGAAGTTGAATCTTACAAATGAATCTAATCTATTGAGTTTCTTACCAATTCAATCGATTTAAGAATGGTTGGCCAATATTTCTTTGCCGATGAAGATCCACCGCCAAAAGTGTACTTTCCAGATGAGTCTGTTTGTTCAGCATCTCCCGCCATATTCAAATGAGATATTTCTAAATAGAACGATAGCAAAAAGAATCATTAGATTATGATTGTTGATGACTAACAAGTGACATGATGGTCGTCACCCACCAGCTTCACAGTTAATTTAATGTTTCTGCCAGTTGTAAAACGTTAAATTCTATTAATTTACAATTGTGTAATATTAATTCTATTAAATGAATTAAATTAATTCGTGGGAGACGAATTGAATACTTTTTTTTTACTTTTTCGCTTGGATATTAAGTCTGTCGTATTGACAAAGTGGACTAAAACAACCGTCTGATATTACTTATTACACGAACAGTGTAGATAAGCATCGCTTGCGAAAGTGAACGACATACGCCCAACAAAATCTACTAATTAATAGAACTTTAAATGAGAATTAGTGGATAATTGAACGGTTTTCTTTATTTTGGATGTTTTATTTAATTTATCACTAAATACATATTTAGTATATTTGTGTGGCTTGTTAAATCGTTAACCATTTGTGTCAGTTGTAAATTGAGTGATTCATGCAAAATTGCTTGCACATTACCTATATTCATCGTAGAAAATACGAAATTATTGTCTGAGTCCCAGTTGAATTTTTGTTCTAAATAAATTTAAATGAATGTAGTATGTGTCATATTTTGAGAGTGCAGCCAAATGTTTGCTCGTCAGAAAATACATAGAATATAAATGAATCATAAAAACAATAGGTCAAATGTGAACTTCAGTGACTTTACTCATGGCATTACATCTATCAATTGTTTTTGGTCGTGATATTGCTGAGTCGGAGTATCAATCTTTCACATTTCAACAAATTGAATTTATCCACACAAAAAAAGTTGTAGAGAAAGCGAATGTGAATCTTTTTAAAAATTGCTCAACAAAATAGGTTATTCGTTCCGGCATTTATATTCAAACGAACACGCATATATAATTAAAGCAGCGTTTGTTTTGTATCATCACATACTCTTTTCAAAAACAATGTAATTTATTGACAACTGCGTATTTTCCCATGCTTCATAATGATGATTATTGTTGTTGTTGTTGTGATTTTTTTCGCTGTATTTTGCATAGAGATTGTTTAAAGTTTTCCACTTTTCATTTTTTATACGATTGCATTTGGTATCATCGTGTTTTTCAACGACAAATGAATTTTCTGCAATTGTGTACCTACAATGAGGTCATACTGGCACACAATTCAATATTGTTTCTAATTAAGTAGCACAATTCATGTTGGCACATCTCATACGAGCTTTAAAAATGATTATTTCCCCTTTTACATGAAACAATTTCGGGCATTTTTCACCTTTTTGATAAAAAAATGACAAATTTTTACAAAGAATCACATTTTAAGAAGTGAAAACTCAACCTAAATTCAATTGTAAAATCGAATTTATAAGAAAAGCAAGTTAATATGAACAAAATTCATTTCAAAGTTATAGAGAAATGTTAACTCTTCGTTATATTTGAATACAACGGATGTTAAGCGCGACAAAAGTACGGATGAAGAGAAAAACTCTACCACGATAATTGTGTACCGAGTGAAAGTAGTAATGTTGCGTTTTACGCATGCTATGTTTGTAGTGGTATGCCACTTGCGTAACGTAAAAATGTACAACATAAACTATTCCAAATCCAGATTTTCCGTAAACAATGAAGAACATTTTTAAATTCATATATTAAACGTGAATAGATAATATTGTTGGAAATAGGAATTTTTATGACTGTATAGATTTTTAAATGCATATTGAAAAGCGTACAAAAAAGAAGCCTCTTAAAAAGCGAGTGAAATTTGTCCACAAATATTCTGACCGCTCGTAGCATTAGCAACATTTAACTCAATTTTAAATACACACAATGATTTGGTATTGTCGTACACACTTTACGCCCAACATAATGGTTGCGTAGCATTTGGGGAAATTGTCCAATTGGCATTTATGACACAACCAATTAGATTTTGTGTGTATCATGGAATAATATTTTATAAATTCGTGAAGAAAATCTTCTTTTTTAATTTCTCAAGATTCAATTTTCGTGATTGAGGGCAAGGAATGGAAAGAATTTGTTTAATTGAAATGAAAATTAATTTGTCAGAACAAAAGGTCTTGCATTAACGGAGCGCATGGAAACCGCATTTCATACACTCTACACGAATGAATGAGTGCAGCCATTAAATTACCATATTTAAAAACGCAAAAACAAAAAATATATGGGCAAGTGTGTGTGTGATCAAAATACTGATTACGCAGCAATAATCTTGTTTATTTGTAAGAGTGGGAAAAAAGAACGACATAAATGACCGATGTATGTTAACCAATGATTTACACGGTGTTGAACGGAGCTTATTTTTTTAATACAACACACTTATGAATCATACACAGAACTATGTTTCGATTTTATACAGAACATTTCGGCGTTCAAATATATGTATAGCCGAAATCATATGGTAAAATAAAAATATAGTTTTGGAATCATATCGCTTTCAATAATTATGTCTTTCACATTTTTAAGATTCTTCTCTTCTCTTTCTCTGTATCGAAAAATTTGAACGAAACTGTACTCTTTGTAAGATCATTGTGAAATTCTACACTTGATTCACTTTTTTTTTTTCTCTTATGAACTAAAACAATTGTAAATAAATGAAACTGTAAACAATTTGGAACACGTCATATGCAAATGAAAGAGAATGTAAAGCAATCTATGCGACTTCTACCGTCGATAAATAAATCAATAGCTGAAAATTGAGAAAATGTAAAATACCTTGTTTTTGTTTCGTTTTTAAAAGAATTTAAAAAAATATTTTTTCAAAAAAAATATATTCACTTCAGCTTCGAATGATCGAAAGTAAACACAAAAAACTGTTTAGTTTTGGATGAATAATGTTTTATTCTGGAACGAGCTCGCAGGTAGCGTTAGCAATCTTTCGTTTTTATGACTTTTCGTCTTGTGTACAAAACAACAACTGAATCGCATGAAAATGTTACAACGGAAACGTAGTAAGACCTTTTTTATTCAACTTGGTCGCGCGTTCGCGTAAAGTGGTTAAACGAGAATTGTCTGTGTATTCGTGTGAACATTTTATAGAAAATGTATGTGTGGTTGGGTTGTTTGTGTTTCTGGCATTCTTCATTTCATACTATTTCTCGTATTCCGTTCGGGCGTATGATTGCAACGTGTATCATTCTGTCCATTGTGTATTTCATGTTGTTTCACTGGGTTTGTGTGTGTGTGTGGTTATATGGAACGAAAATGTTTAAGAGAATAACGTTGTTTTGTTCATATAATATGTAGAGTATTATTGACCAATATATTCATGTGCTTCGCCCTGCGTAAATTTATATATATGCGTGTTCAGAGGAAAACAAACATTTGATGGTGCGCGTGGTTTATATCAATATAATTAAAACATTCTACTTTCAATAGACTGGTACTTTACGATCAAATTTTTATGTGGAAACAGATTTTCAGGAATGACATAATGTTTCATGGACATCAGCCGATTTTATATGCATTTTTTATGTTAAGAATTTATAAATATTCAGTACAATATCGCCATTTGTTCTTATCAGAAGAAGGAATGTAATAATTGTTCTTGAATTGAACTTGAATTATCAGAAAATAATTTTTTTTCGCACAAAATGCGTCCAAATAAAATGAGGATGTGGTGATTTATTCTGTGCGGTCAAATTTAAACTGAATGCGGTTATATTTTTATCATTATTTTGATTCGCATCCTCATTCTATTTGGCCGCATATTTTTTGTGTATGTTGCCACTATCGCTGCTGCTTTGGATACGTTTGTATTCTGCACAATGTGCAATGCATTTACTATATAATTAGCAATTTGCTATATTCAAAAAACCGTAACCATCGGTTTGTTTGTTTTTATCGATTGTCAAAAATCATGTAAGAATAAAACATTGAATTGATTTTAATTTGGGCCATCTGGATAGCGTACGTTGGACATAAGGCCCTATGAATAATTTTGTAAAAATTGAAAATCGAAATTCGTTGCTATAGTTTTCCTCTTTTGATCATTATTTTCAATTGAACTGCACATGTATGTGAACTACATATTCAAAAATGCCGTTACCATGTTTACATTTAAGAGCTGCGTTGCAAACACTCAATGTGTTAATCATGTCACAATGTACCCAAATACCAACACACACACACACATCTCGGCTTCTTCGATCTGTATACATTAAGAAATTGATTTGATTCAGACGATTGTGTATGTATGCTTTATGTAGTCAAAACAGGTTTTCAAAATATATGTGTTAGGCGTGTTCGACACATACTACTGTAAAAAACATTTACGAGACGTATCACATGAACTGAGTACAAATTTTTGCACGAGAAATAATAATAACAAATATTTATCTTCATTGCAACGCCGAACATTTTTGTGTTGACGTTAGTAAGGAATGTATAAGATATGAATACTGAATTATTGACGATGGTGTGGGAAAATTTCACAATTCATTGTTGATCAAGATTGCATATAATTGTTATTTTCGAGCTTTATGAATCTTATTTATTGTACCGATTCATTGTTCGAAACTTAATGATATAAAACGCAGAACGAAAAAAATGTATGTTCAATGATAGATGTAAACGAAAATTCCTATGGTTATTCAACATATGTACTATGGATTTTTAAAAAACCGAATACTTTGCTCTAATTCTATTACTCATGAATTATTTATGCTAAAAAGAAGTCCCAACATTATACAAAACGTTCCCTTAAAGCTAATGTTATTTATTTGGTTTTGTTTTTAGTAAAATTGTTCAATGTAAAAAAGAGAAAACGATTAAAATATAAAAATAGACAATTTATCGATTGAATTTATCCCTTCTTATAGATTGACCTATATGTTGATACCGCGAGACCAATCGTTGATAAGGTTCTTGAAGGATACAATGGAACTATCTTGGCGTATGGTCAAACTGGGACGGGCAAAACTTATACAATGTCCGGACATTCTGCTACCGCACAGACCAAAGGTGTTATCCCGAATACATTTGCACACATATTTGGTCATATTGCGAAGGCAAAGGACAATCAAAAGTATGTGATACAAACAGCATTGCGTTGATGCGGCGGTAAATTTTTAAAATTAAACCATTTCCATTTGCAGATTTTTGGTGCGTGTCAGCTATATGGAAATTTACAATGAAGAAGTTCGCGATTTATTAGCAAAAGAGATGAAAAAAAGTCTCGAAGTGAAGGAACGTGCTGATATTGGTGTTTATGTTAAAGATCTTAGCGGATATGTTGTTAACAATGCCGATGACTTGGATAATATAATGAAGCTGGGAAATAAGAATCGCGCAACTGGGGCAACGAAAATGAACATGGAATCATCTCGTTCTCATGCAATTTTCTCAATAACAGTCGAAAGTAGCGAAACTGATGACAAGGGCGCCGAACATGTGAAAATGGGAAAATTACAACTTGTGGACTTGGCTGTATGTATGAATTGCTAATTAGCAATGCATCTCTTTAATTCCGTGAATATATTTTTCACATCAACATTCAGATCAGCATACATTGATCTCAAGCTATTTAAAATTCTCTACGGAATGTTCACTGTGCATTATATGAATAATAAATGAATTTCCTGTTTTTATTTTCTCATAGGGTTCGGAACGTCAAAGCAAAACTCAAGCCACCGGCATTCGTCTAAAGGAAGCAACGAAAATAAATCTCTCACTGTCCGTACTTGGAAACGTAATAAGTGCTTTGGTTGATGGTAAAAGCACACACATTCCGTACAGAAATTCAAAACTGACCCGTCTATTGCAAGATTCTTTGGGGGGAAATTCAAAAACCGTTATGTGCGCAAGTATTAGTCCGGCCGATTCCAATTATGTGGAGACCATTTCAACGCTTCGCTATGCAAGTCGAGCCAAAAGTATTCAGAACCATACTCATATTAATGATGAACCGAAAGATGCATTGCTGCGACATTTCCAAGAAGAAATTGCCGAACTCAAAAAGCAATTGGAAGAAGGTGCAATCGAAAACACATTCGACGAAACGGATGAAGATGCCAATGATGATGATGAGGCAAACATCGATTCGAATGCTGAGAATAACAAAGAGGAGCTACAAAATAAGATGGAAAAGAAGAAGAAACGACGAAGCAAGGCCAAAACGGATGCAGCCGAATCGGAAAAAGAATTGCTTGCGGCCAAAGTCTTGGAAAGGGAAAGCGAATTAAAGCGAACCAAAACCGAGCAGGAGACTTTGCTCACAAAACTTCAAACATTGGAGAACAAAATTCTGGTTGGCGGTGAAAATTTGTTAGAAAAAGCGGATGCTCAAGAAAAATTACTAGAATCATCGATTGCTCAATTAGAGGAAGTTGCAAAGATTGAGTTGGAACTGAAGGAATCGTTACAGAAAAAAGAAGCCGAACGAATTGATATCGAAGAGCGTTATTCATCATTGCAAGAGGAATGTATTGGTAAAACAAAAAAATTACATCGAGTCATGCAGATGTTGATGGGAGTCAAGAGCGAATTGGCCGACCAACAACAAGAGCAGCAACGCGAGAAGGAGGGAATTCTTGAAAGTATTCGAATTTTATCGCGTGAGTTGGCATTGTGTGAATTTGTTCTAAATTCATACGTTCCACGGGAGTACATTAATATGATAGAAGGATTCACACAATGGAATGAAGATGTTGGTGATTGGCAATTGAAATGTGTGGCTTATACGGGCAACAATATGCGCAAAAATATGCAGGATGAACGCAGACACACCAAAGAAACGGAATTTGTTGATTTGTCACACATTTATTTGAGCTACAGTACGGGCTCAGTGATTGAACCGATGAGAGCACGAGGTCAGTCGGCTACAAGACCACGAACATCGGGCTCTGGTGTACCACGTCCTCTGACTCGCCCATATAAAATAAAAAGTTAAACAAAATATGACATTGATTCTAATCAGACAACAAATAGCTATTCCATCACCAATTTCACACTACCATTTGATCTATTAAGCACAAAAAGCATTTGAATTGTATCTTGTAATCTAGTTACTCTACACAACACGCCTGTTAATCATTCCACGTTCCCAATGGATTCATCAATTTATGTTCCACATTTTTTGGGCTTAATTTCTTTGCTCTAGTCACTAGTATTAAATCTGAAAAAAAAAACATTATTATATATTCAAACTAATTGGTCAATTTGCAAATACTTTTGAAGCATTTGATTAGCATGAATACGTATTTATAATATGATGCTTTTTTGAACTAAACAAATAAATAAATTATATCTACAAAACCATATTATCTGTGTTTTTATTATTAATAAAATAAGCGCCATTGGTTCTGAATGAAGAAGGTGTAAGATGAAATAAAAAATAATGAAATGTACCATAGAAAAACATTAAAATTCACATTAAAAGAGTTTTATCAATATAATTCTGCATGAAGGACGCATAATAAAATGTATGGTCACTATAAACTGATACATTTTCTGTAATAAAACGTATTCTGAACGTATTTTGAACATTGCACTAAATATTAAAATATTTTTTTAAAAATAAAATCATATTTGATATAAAAAAATACATTGATTTGTTTAAATTAGCATTCGCACTTATCATGTAAGTAAATATTCTATAATTTATATAACAAATAAATGCTACAACAGTCTTTCGTTTATGATTAAATTGATAGGAGTTTTTGGTGTCAGTAAGAATTCAAATTCCATTTCGAGTGAATCACAAAAAGTAATATTGAATGCACGCGCCATCTGAAGTTGAATAGTTCAAAATAGAATTACTTACAAGTTCAATGTAAAAGAAAAAGAAAAAGTTTTTACTACCTTTGCAACGATCATTATCAACTCCATTTCAACGAAACGTCGGCCAGGGCATTGACGCTTTCCAACACCAAAAGGTACAACAAGATTGGCTCCTGGTTCACTACATCTAGCGTTTACTTTTGAATCGTCAACCAACCAGCGATTGGGCCTAAATTCTTCGGGAGCGCTGAAGTTTTGTGGATCATGACACGAGATCATATTTTGGCATAAGATGACGGTCCCAGCTTTGATATCATATCCAGATAGACATGTATCTTCTTGTAATATACGAGCTAAACAAAATGCGGTTGGGCATATTCTGTACGTCTCTTGTAAGCATGCTTTTGTAAACACCGCCTGTGACAAATCATTGAATTCAATATCGTTTGAACAGTGATCGAATTCATCTTTGATTTTTTCCAAAGTTCCTTTCTGGCTGGTTATATAATGCAATATAAAGATTAGAGTGTTTGCAAGAGTCTCGATTCCGGCAGCAATAAAATCAATAATCGCTGATTTTTTATCTCTAATGTCTAAATCTTTTTCGCATAAAATACTGAAAAATACACTGTTCACACTGTCTTCATCAATAAAATCCATTTGATTTTCGTTTAAGGCTTCATCAACAATTTCTGATATTATGCTGAAAAATAATAATAACCGTATTATAATTACTAATCATTAGGAAAATAGCTAAAAATGTAGATTTATTGTGCTCACTTGTAAATGGTGTCTTCAGTTTCAACAAAATCACGATATGTTTTAGTTGAAACATATTTCCACATATTAAATCCATAAGATGAGTCTCGTTGAGTGATGAATAGTGTTTTAACAGCAGCAGCCAATTTGGCTACATTTTGTGGTGGACATTTTGATAGGAAGCCCATTCTTTTACCTAACATCAATGTACAAACTGCTTCCAGCCCAAATAAATTGACAATATTTTGAAAATTCTCGATCACATTTGTATCCGGATTACGTTTCACTCGCAACAAATCTATGAAATCGTCACAAATGCAATTTAAAGATGGAAGGAATGCCTTTAGGACCCGCGGACTAGTTATCTGTGAAGTGAGTTTTGTGCGCAAGTTGTGCCATACTTCTCCTTGCCTGAAATTATATCAAAATTGGAACATACAAATGGAAATACACAGTGAAAACCGGGCATAGTGAAAAAAATAGACATATTTCGGCACATCAATAGGTATTGCTTCTTCGAGTGGTAGGGAAGGAACAACATCTACTTTCTTTTCTTGAGATTAGAAATCTCAAAAATGTGCGATTTAATGAGATTGAAATCATTTCGAGGCAAAAAGATTTTCCATCAACGGAATCGCATTGAGCAAATTCCCCATTATCTCGAAGCAATTAAAAATGTTCCACTTTATGAATATTTGGAACAGTTTAAAAAAAACTTACTCGTTTGTAATTCCTGTGCTTGCATATCGATCAGGACGCATTTTTCGATAAAAGGCAACAATCTCGGTTGGGGGTCGAAATGGATATTTCGATGGAAAGCGTAGAACTTTTTCAATATCTTGGCGATTATACAAGTTTACAATTGGGATGCCACTTGGGGTTACTTCTAACACAATCGGTCCATATTGCCGATTAAAGTCTTCATAACATATGAAAAAAATGTGTAAAGAAAAGAAATTGTTCAAGCCATTTTCGTATTCAACTCATTAAAGATTAATTACCCCAATAAACTTCATGGATTTTGGACATCTTATACTTCCACAAATAAATCCATTTTGTGCCAAAAAATGGTATTTTTATAGGCCCTGGTATTGACCATATATTCGAAGCAATGTGTGAACTATAATTTTCATTGCCATTGTTATTGTTATATGTTGTGTTGTTGTTTGCAATTTTTGTATCGTTGCGGTTCGCGTCGTGTGCATACTTTTGACTCGATGAAGTAATAAACCGCTTTAAAAATTTGTAGTTAACAAACAGCAAGAAGCATAACCCGATTATAATATAAAAACAAACTAAAGTCAACGACATTTTCAAAAGTCTTTCGTTATACGTGGAATAAAATGCAGATATCGATTGTCGATGCAAGTTCAAAACAGAGTCTACTGTTTTTTATACACGTCATCTGAAAGAAAGTAATAAAATATTCATATACAGTTTACGTTTTAGTTCTAAGTAAAATCATGTATAATTTTTTGTTGGATTTTTCTTTCAGTAAATAGGACTTGAGAATGTTTTCTTATTCAATCAAGTGTTGACTTAAATAACAAGTTTTTTCTTCTTCTGAACAGTTTCGAATGAAACCAATATTTTCATTCTCACTATGTGCTTTATTTCACAAGCTTGTATGATTTGTAAATACAAAACATCTGTGCGCTCTACTATTTGTGTTAAATTCAAAGTCAAAGTCAAATGCAGTATGCTACTTTCCACACAACTTTCACTTCTCTGTTCGATTTTAACTTCTATCTGGCAATGTGGTTTGCATCGCAGTATCAACTTAGTAACATCTTTTTTCACCTTGTTTTTAAAAAAATTCCTGAAGATTCAAAATAATCGCTCACAGCACAGATTAGATATTTCAAATAGATGAACAAACAAGATGATAGACTGTGACGAACAACAATTAATCTTATCATCTAATCAGTTTAATTTATTTTTATAAATGCATTTTACTATGAAATCCAGGAAACTAAAATTTATTTTCAAATGTCATATGTTCATCAATATATTCAACAACAAAATCTATTTCTACGTCGTAATTTTAAGGCTTTAATTCTCCAATCATACGTATTTAAATCACTCCAAGTCAACTGATAAAAAAAAAACTTTCGAGCATAAAATATTTCAAACAATCGCCGCTTTCATATTTTAACATTGTGTGGAAAATTCTCACACGTATTTCTGGAAGCAGAAAAAAAAAAATCTAAGCGATACGAACGCGGTGAAACAAAATCGACAATAATACGCCGAGAAAAAAAATACACATACTAGAAGTTATTTCTATTAGCTCAAAGTGAAGAAGCATTTTTTCTGCTTTAATAATAATGTGTTTTCATCCAACACACAAACTTTTATCCGCATGACGCTTCACATTGAACTTGAACTTCACATCAACATAAATCTTGAATTGAGAAAGCAAACAAATGACGTGCTTGCAAAAAAACTTAATGATCACAATGATGTACCAGTTAGTTATAAAAAAATATTCAAATGAAAAAGTTACGCTTGAGTAGGAAGCAAAAAGTTGAACGCAAATAAAGAGTATCTCTTTCATTGCATAGAGTAGCGCTAACGAAATATGATTGAAACACAGATTAGCTTTGAAGAAACACCCGTGGAATAGGTGGAACACGGATTTTGAAACAATTTGCTACACTTTATCCATATTAATCACATAGACTATTTATAGAAATTAATGTTTTTTTTTGTTAAAGTGTCAATACCTGCTGTTTGTTCAAAATATTTCGGGCAAATCAAACCATTTCAAGCATTTTTCAAATACAATAAAGATTTCATTCATGTTTTCAATTGTCGTTAGTTTTAGAAATGATGTAGAACATTTGTCAGTAGGGATGTCAAAAAAAAAAAACAGACTAAACAAGCAAGCGAATTACATAAGTTAACCTAACGCATATATCAAATAAACTATACTAAAATACGCGGTATGGTAAATGCATAACAATCGTAAATTGACGTTAAATTGATAAAACGATAATAAACTGATAAGCACAATAGAAACGAAAATAAACAAGTACAATTGCTTCAAGTTCTTCTAATTGAAACATATTCTGCTATCGAGATTGGCATTATTCAGCCAATTTACTTTTGTTTTCTGATGCAGTTCGTCGATTGAAATACAATTTGAATCATATTTAATTTAATTCCATCGATTAAGTTATGCGTTACACAGTGTTAATACAATTATTCTAAATAATGGTTATGTAACGGAATCCACTCGTTCAGCGAAACCCTTTCTCACTCTCACCAGCAACACTTCATTTGTTGAAATGGTCAAGAGATCATCATAGTAATTGAAATTTGTGGTTTCAATGATTACATTCAATAATATGGCTATGATGAAAATCTGTGGTTGTGCACACACATTTATTTGAGCTCATTCAATTCGAAATGAGAAAAATGTGGAATTATTTACAAAAAACGGAAGATGAATATTATACATTGTGTATTAATAAAGTGATAATTTCGTATGCCACTATATTACATTTTGTTCGAAGTCATTGTTGCATAAGAAACGATCCTTTTTTTGGTACTGTTGAAAAATATGTGATGTGAGCCTGCACCAGATTTGGGCCATCAAAATTCTGGGTTAATATTTATGTATCTCTTGAGAGTTTACTTAATTCAATTAGTTTTTTTTTTTTTTCAATTCGAGTTGCTGACATAAATTTGATCATAATCAAAATTTCGCACAAAAGGCAGTAACTTCCTCTTTCATTCAGCACACATGGTCATTTTCTTTGTTTTGATTACGTAGTGGTCCGTTGCATCTCATTCTTTTATATCCAATAGTTCAATAAACCCAAAAAACTCGTTCATAAAACGTAAGTATTAGTATTGCGCAATTTACAAGTTGCCTTGCTTTACTCATGTAATTGACCGAGCATGTAATTCAATTTGTTACCAGTTTTTGTTTCTCTATTCATAACCGCAGTATGCCAAATAATGTATGCACCCGTGAGTTATATTTGTAACAAACAAAGTAGCGCTGCAGTCAATACAACGCTAGACTTTTGATAGCAAAATGTTGATAATAATACATTAACTGTAATTTTCTTACGATCGATCTATTTGCAAACACTACTCCGTATCATATGTCCTGCTGAACTTTTATACCTGTTGCTACTGTGCAAAATGTGTATGTCGCATTCGTCTTTTGACTTAAATTGATAAACATATTTATTTAGTCGATGAACTCAACGATTATATAAATTATTTAAAAGGAATTTTCTGTGCGTGTTCATAAAATTAAATCATAGAGTAACCTTTTTAGTTTCTTAGTATCTTTTACAATAAAACAGAATGCATTTCGACAAGTCGACTGAGTTCATAGTTGTTGCTGTTTTTTTTTTCACGTCAATTTGTGGAGAATCTTGAAGAAAATTGAACCGAGTTTCACATTCTTACTTAGATGTGTTAACTAACAGTGCCTTGAAATAGTAGGAAGTTTACAGCGCACATGACTTATGACTCGGCTTGATAGTAATATATTAAATGCGACATTTTATCAGTTCAAAATGTGTTGCGAAAGAAAAATTTAAATTTATAAACGCCAAGATGTTTTATCCATAAATCAAAGATAATTTTTGTTAAATATTTTCACCCTGACGAAAACTAATCCGACTTGTTGATAACTTATTTCACACAAAACCAATAAATTACAGGTCTGATGAGTTATCTTCTATTTTGTGCACATGATATTTTGTCAACATCAGCTACACATTCAACACTGTTACAGATAATAATTATTTACTTTTCTCTTATAAATTTCATCTTTTCTTCATTTAAACTTACAAATGTTCATGCTCAGTCATTGTATGTATTCTGTTAAAACCGATGAATACACATACACACAGTCGATAAAACACGATCAATTAAATCAAAATAAAATGTGTTAAAAACACGTTCAGCATAAATATTTGAGTTCAAACAATCCAAAGGTCTTTTTTTTAGAATCTGCACTTTAAATAAAATTGCCTACAAAACTCTATTACAATCACACCGAACGAAAATTATTAATTTCTTTATGCTTTACTCGCCACTTTTGTTTGATCCAATTTTGAATGAACGACAAAACAAACATAAAATCGTGGCTGTTTTTGTTTTTTTTTTTTTCTTCACAAATTATAAAACAATTTTTGTTGAATTAATGTGGAACCAAATTTTTGATTACGTTGAATATAAGAATAAAAAATGTTGCCAACAATAAGATAAGTGAACAAAAGGCACGCACAGAGGCAGAGGTACGTTCTTTCAACTCAACTGCTTGGAAATGACTGACTAGCTATCGTCAATTCGATTGCGTTCATAACGTTATCTTCGATACGCCGCTCTCCAGTATGCCGGTAGTCAACATCACCAGTACAAATAAAACATGAATTTTAATAGAAGAAGCAACGTGATCGTTTCAACTGTTGATACATACCTGATTTATACTCTTGTTTTTTGCTTTTTAAATGACACTTTTTATTTACTCATTTTATTGATCGAGCTGAGCATGACATTGTCGCGGAAGAACAAAATGATTACAATTCTTTGCTTCGGTATTTAGATATATCTGCCGCAAAAAAATTCGGCGTAGGTAAAATATTTTTTTGTTAGTTTTCTTCTGGAATGGAATTACAGACTGATGATTGCATTGCATTCAATAATTACTGATAATAAAATGTCAACGGTTAAAGACAAATAACTGATTTATGTGATTCCTGTGTACAGTTATAATCAAAACTGATAAGTTTTCTAGTATAGGGGATGGACTCGATCAAATAAGACAAATTTAAGCGTTAAGACATTTTACGATTTTGATAAATAAAAATAAATAAATATTCCGATTTCCATGATATTAAAATATTTGCATGCAATTTCGATAAACATAATTTCCAAAGGTTTGTTATTTTGACCATGAAAAACTTAATGTAAAAACAAAGAATAATTCCAGACTTCACGTCCAGTAGATATCAGAAAAGATTCGAAGATTAATATGTGATTTGATAGTCGCCTAACCCCTAGATTTTGTCACACAAGTAAAATTGTGTACAGCTGTATGCAACTATAAATCAAAAGTGAGTACTGGCGACGAATTTCTTTTCCAAAATTATAAACATTCCTAGACGAATATAATCGGTCTTTTCAAACGGTTACAAAATAACACAATTTTGATGATACCAATAAAAGTATTAAAATATAATTCCATTGAGGAGAGTAATTTGCAATTGTTTTATTCTTTATCAATTAAAAAATGAACCGCAGCACTTTTAAATGTGTTCATTAGTTGTAGACTACAACTGTATTGTTTGATGTAAGCTTTTTTTACGAATAATCTAAAGATGTACGTTGAATGGCTCGAATCAAGTTCAAGGTAAAACAAATCTGGTGAAACATTGATGAGTGTGCAAATATTAGAATAGCAAATGTATCTTCTCATAATTATAAAATTATAAAAGTTGGTAAAAAAAATAGCGAACAAATGAATCGACCAAAAAATGATCAATATTCAGATTAGTTCTTTTTAGTAAGCAAAATTTCCATAGTTCTTCAATAAAAATTAAAGTTACCAGAGATGTTCAACCTCGTATTAAAAGTATTATAATATTAATATTTTTTGTAAATATTATTATTATTATTATATTATGACTTTTTAATTTTTAATATTTCAAATAAAACAATACATTTTCCATTCGGGCATGGATTTACTGTCATCTTTGATGTTGTGAGAACGTGATCTTAGCCCATTTTGATACATTTACCTCTGTTCGGTGAAATAATAATGCGTTTTAGAAAAAAGATACAATCGACATCATTCGAATAAAGTTGACCTGAAAATGCAACGAACATACGTGACATGACAATGATGATGTTCTTTTAAATTAAATTTCATATGCAAAAACGAATTTTATCATTCTTCAAGAAAAGTTGGTAAAAGATATTAGCTCTACTCAAGTTTTGGTAAAATATGAATTAAAGTTCTGTTGATTTCTTTCAAGTGATTTCTATTTAAAATGGTTTAATAACTTTGGTTTACTTAATGAGTGGAAAAGTGTTTCCAACTATTCTATACGAGATGGAGCTTCGAACGGGAAGATATGTATTAATCACTTACGAATAGTCCGTCATAAGTAAATTTCATTTTGTTTGGTTGTCATCCTGATCTTTTGATTGGCAATTAATTATTGACGCATACGATCGAAGTGTTTTTGTTTTGTTACATTCCATGGAGATTTTATTTTATAATTTCTTTCACTAAGCCTGCCAGCAAAATCACAAAAATCTTGTGTAGTCGATGTTTTAAAGGTATTTGAATTAAAAATAATAATTCGCTTTACGTTATAGTTATTAAAGAATGTAAAAGGTGTAGTGTGCTATATAACATGTAGCATAGGAACAACGCCCTAAAATGAATATGTTCTATAAATGAAATATTGAAATATTCACCGAAATATCAAACTATTGTTGAATAATTTAAATGTTTTATTTCAAAGGTCTGTCACAAAGGAACTAAATAAAGTGCATCATGTATGGGAGAAAAACGCCAAACACGTCATATACGCGATCGACCGCTTCGATCCATTCCACTGGAAGGTTGTTTCAATTTTCAATATTTTGATATGATTCGACACGAATTGAAACACTAAATTTTTAACTGATTATTCCCTCTTAGATCGCTGTCGAATCTCCAATCTCAAAAGTCACGTTCCATGAAATCAGTGAAAATTCCATGGTATCAAAAACCAATATTGCACAACAACAAATACATAAATGTTCAGCGAGGTGCCATGTTAGCAGCAGTCTTTACACTGGTACCAATTGGTTTTTAGTTAATTAGTGGTGCGAATTTTTAACCATTTCAAATATTATCATTATAGTTTCTGTCCATTTTTACTATTGTGACTGCCGTTTTTGATATTTATTGTTTGTCTATGGCAGCGCCAGGTTCTACTCATTACGGATATTATTTTATATCGTATGAGTTTGTTTATGTTGGAAATCGTTATGGTAAAGTTTAAATTTCAAGAATTCAATATAAAAAATATTGATAGTAAATATTTTGTGTTTTTAGTTCGGAACATATTGGTAATGTTTGCGCTTTTCTCATTCCTCGCCGGCCTTGCTGTATTCGTAACTTCGATTTTGTTGACCGTAGCATTGCGAAAAGTAATATAATTCATTCGGTGATTTAAATTTAATATTTATCAATTTGAATTTATTTTATTTTATAGGAATACGAAGAGAAAATATTGCCATGGCTGTGGACTATGGCCATTTTTACAATTCTACGATCTTTGGCATGGTTATTCTTCAGCATTGTTAATGATCTTATATTTGCATACAACATTTTCATTTGCTTAGCATGGGTTATAATAATCGTGCTCTCAATTTGGAGTTGGCTTGTAGTCTATTCTTTGTACGTTGAATTGAAAGATTTATCAAAGCTAGAGGATCTGGCACATCTACGGGTAATCAATTAATTGTGTTTTAAATGTTTCCTCATTTTTATTCAATAATCTTGAAAAATATTGTAGATGGGAACGATGGCATCTGTGCATGCATCGACAAATCCATCTTTAGCCGGATCTCGACCAACGACTCCATACATAGCATCGTCAATTCCATAAATTGGAATTAAGCACTTAAAACGAATATATTTACCAATCGACAAAAACATCATAAGTATGCATAAGAATTCAGTTTTTTTCGTAGAAAACATTAGTATAAGTTTCACAATGAGACACGTAACATGAACACTTTATTGATCTGAATGAAGTCAAATCGACATACTTATATAGGAATCAATCCGTCCAGAAATTTTACAACAAAATATATACTATGTTTACAATTTTGTAATATCATTTTTAATTTTGTATTTCGACAGTTTATTATCGTAAATAAAATGTAATCTAATTATAATGAAGAAAGTGGGAAGATATTACTTGTTCTTTATTAAAATCTAGTATCTATTCTAATTTTTGTGATGGCATCATGCGAAAAAACTTCCAGCAGTTATAAAGCAAGCCCGTTATGTCATTGGTTTGGGTGAGAAAAGTG